TTTTAGGCTTGATATTTCTCTTAAAATACTCCCTTAGGGTCCACTCCGTATCACTCTTTTTTAGGTGTTAAGATGGAACTTAACATTTTCCTGATAGGACCCGTACAGAGGGAGCTACTCACGTAAGGAGTGGTGAAACCAATATATCACTCCTTACTTTCATCTGCTCTGATCTACAGAGAGGGGCTGATCCCACTGTGGTGGGCTGCAGGAGGAACCCATCGCTCTCTGCACTCACCAAAATGATACTGCACCATTTGCATCGCTATTGCAAAAAAAAGCTTGATCTGGAGTGTAGGCTTACTGTCCATCAGAAGCGATATCTGGCTTCTTTTGTAGAAAAAATAACTCATTTTATAATTCAAAGATCGATTTTTGGAAGTTGTGGATCGCTGCTAATGGGATAAGAATCTCCATTATTACACGATTAGATTTTCTCCACCCAACCCTAATAGACTGCTGCAGTAATTAAGTATTTTTGTAGGCCAACCGGGAAGTTATTATTGGATAGTGTGATGGCAAACAACGGTTTATGATAGTTACACATTTGTTTATGATTTTTGTAACGTAATTGCAATTGATTGAATAAAGAAGCTAACGTTAGGCTATAAAAGAACTACATCACAGTAACATAACTTCACGTTACCACTGCTAAGCTAATGGCGGATCAGCTTATTACAGGCCTTCAACCTATAACATGATCAAAAAAACGTTGACTAAGACGAGGAAACCCGGATCTGGTCAAATGCTCACTAATATCCACCTTTTTGGGACTCATTCCTGTACCACTCTATAGGAGACAGCAGAGGGTAGGGAAGTTTTACAAACCTTTGTGTGTATATAGCGAGGCTTATATGGATTGGGGCTGTGTGCGCGTGTGTGTGTGTGTGTGTGGAGTGTGTGTGTGTGAGGGAGTCTTGGATTGTTTTTCTTGCTGCAATGAGCTGATATGTGAGATAGAGCTGTGCTTACACACAGCTGCCCCAGTAGCCTGGCACTATGTTCATGTATGCATGTGTGTGTGTGTGTGTGTGTGTGTGTGTGTGTGTGTGTGTGTGTGTGTGTGTGTGTGTGTGTGTGTGTGTGTGTGTGTGTGTGTGTGCGCGTGTGTGTGTGTGTGTGTGTGTGTGTTGCTGGATGGCTCTAGTCATGGTGAATGAAAGATCAGAGAGAGAGAGGAGGCAGATGGACTGCCCTGAGGGCCAGGAGACAGAGAGGAAGACAGACGTAGATAGACAGAAAAAGAAAGAAGACTAAAATGCCAGTTAACCGCTGACACGCTGAGCCCTGCCAGCCTTCTTCCCATCTCCCCCCACCCCCCCCCATAATTTGCTTCTGTGTCAGCCCCTATGTGAGGATGCTTGATGTCACAGTGCAGCAATCATAAGGGCATCGAACCCCTATGTGCAGTAAGTGTGATAATCTCCAGGAATGTTTGATGAAATAAAAGCTATTAAGGGATATTGGATTTATACCAGATATTATAGCAATATTGTTTCCACCTAACTGCGAAGGGCATCATATCTCTGCTTTAGTTGAATTACCATATTATGATGCATCCATGAATTAGAACAGATGCTTCAGAGACTGTTGCTCAAAATTCAAGATTCGATGCTTTTATTATCTCTGTTAATAGTGTACGTAATGCCAATGAAACTCTTAAATCCCAGGCCCTGACAACAGTACAACAATCAATATACTTAAGATTCCAAATAAGTGATGCAAGAAATACTCTTTACAAAGCAAATACACACCCTATCATGTTTCACGTTAACCCAACTGCTGGGCTTTTCTTTACTTGTATTCAAAATCTCTGTTTCTTTTGGGATGCTTTTATGTTTTTTTAGTACCCCCCCCAAACTTTACTGATATTTAATGGTCTTATCCTTCATCAACTCTTATAACTTTAGCATTGACTGTTAAGGATTGTAATGACATCATGATGTCAGACTTTCTGGAGGTTAAGGACGATGAGAATGAGCAGCGAGGAGAACGGGTCGAGAAATCTGAACAAAGAGGAAAGGCAGACCGAGATGGAGGGAGATAAAGGGAGTTAGAGAGACAGGAGAGAAAATACAGGGAAGGAATTAGTGAGGGGAAAAAGGAGAAACGATGATAAGGGGGGGCAGAGCCATACCAAGAGATGGATGTAAAGACAGAGAGGCAGGACTGGAGGGACAGAAGAGAGAGAAGAAACAAGGAGTGACAAAGTGTGTGTGTGTGTGTGTGTGTGTGTGTGTGTGTGTGTGTGTGTGTGTGTGTGTGTGTGTGTGTGTGTGTGTGTGTGTGTGTGTGTGTGTGTGTGTGTGTCGCAGAGATGGGGAGTCAATAATGACTGATTACTGTAATTCAGCCTGTCACAGTCATCGACCTGCTGCTACTACCAATCAATACACACCAGGACACCGGCAGACACACACAAATACCCGAACAGGCCTGCGCGGCACATGTGTCACCGGGCACACACACACACACACACACACAATGTAAAAACCCAATTTATTGAAATCTCCAATATCAACGTAAGAGCTTGTGCCTCTTCGGGGGGTGCTAACACTTAACCATACACTTTATCGTTTACTTTCTCCGTCTTTATATGTAGATATGACTTTTCTCCGTTATACTCCGTCACGTTGTTTCCATAGCAACAACAACTTCCTGTCAACAGCGCTATCTCTCCTTCAAAATAAAAGCATGTCCATACAAAATAGGAAGCCAAGCCAAATTACACTTAAGACGTATACAACTGCAACGAAAGTAACAAACACAATGCGATATCCTTTTCAATTTCAAAGAACACAAATTGGGTTACATTAACAAATAACTATAAAACAACAATACTGTAGAATAACTAAATGAATGCCGTGAATAAACCGAAATACACGTGTTGAAGCGGATCGCTGCACACACACTAGGGCTGTGCGATTATGGCAAAAATCCTAATCACGATTATTTGGGTCAATAATTGATATCACGATTATTAAAAACGATTATCCATTTACTTTGAAAACATCCATTTATTGAAACAAAAATGTGAACAGTATGTTTTTAACAGTTGATTACCCTGAACTTTAAGTATAATTCAACTGAAAAACCAAAAAAAAAAATTAAAAAAATTATAATAATTACATTTTTTTTTTTTTTTATAAAAATAATAATCGTTTTATTTTGATTACGTTGTTTTCGTAATCGTTGCAAGCCAAAATCGTAATCGAGATTACAATACGATTAATTGCACAACACACACACACACACACACACACACACACTCCTTGAAGAAGGAGAAAAGGGAGGGAGGAGAACAGGAGCCAAAGTAGAGAACAGACGAAGGAGAGGAGGAACAAAGTGAAGCAGGACAAAAGAAAGAGAGGACAGGAAGGAGGTAGGAGAATGAATATGAGATACAGAGGATATAAATAAAAGTAAGGATAGGAAGACTTTTTATTTAGGTAAGAAAAATAGATAAAGGGTGGAAAGTGATTACTGCAGTGGCCGGGGTTCAAATCCAACCTGTGGCTGTTTACCCTTAGCACATGTTTTCCCCACCCAATCACAGTTGTCTGTCTATCTGCTGTAAGTTCTAAATAAAGCCCCCTGAAAAAACATTGAATCGAAAACATGTAAAGTAAATAGACCCGTCTGAGTACGTGTTTGTGACAACAGTTTTTTTTTAATACATTGCGATTTAGCTCATGTAAAACAATCGCTTAACAAATAGAAATCTTATCTGAGCACTAAGGGATTTGAATCTGAAAGGAACAAGTCAACTGGCCATTGATGTGTCCAGGGGACAGAACTACATTTTGTCCCCAACAATGCTGCATTATGGGCAAGAAATGTCTTTTGAAATCAGCACGGGACTTGGCGCTTTGGAATAAATAACTAATTGCGTCATTTGACAGACAATGCAATTGCGAAATGATTAGAGGGAATGAACATTTTTGAAAAGTTCTTCTAATTATCATTGAAAAAAATATATACATTTTTTTATTATGTATGTTTTTAAGAGGATCTGTACCAAACAAGGATTTCAAATTAAGTTGGTGGAATACCATTTGTAGTTTTTACCATGTACAGGCACGAAGACACCAATACAAGCCATGTATTTGGATTTGAGGAGCAGGAATTAGGGGGAAGGAGAAAAGAACAGGCGGGCAGACAGGAAGAAAGTACCATTAGGAAATCTAATTGCTTTAAGTGCTGCTTAGAAGAAATTCCAACGATCAGTGAGAAGCTCGGCTCGCCTCAACAGGGGACACTGTGTGGTGTGTGTGTGTGTGTGTGTGTGTGTGTGTGTGTGTGTGTGTGTGTGTGTGTGTGTGTGTGTGTGTGTGTGTGTGTGTGTGTGTGTGTGTGTGTGTGTGTGTGTGTGTGTGTGTGTGTGTGTGTGTGTGATTCTGCCTGTCTGCATGTGCATGACAGTGCCTCTGTGGAGCTATCAGGTGTAATCGTCTGTTCGCGCTTCTAGAATAAAGAGTGTGTAGAAGTGTGGACGTGTGTGTGTGTGTTTGAGAGCAGAGAGCAAAGCCCCCTCGTTTAGAAGCCGCGCTAGGGAGGAGAGTCATCGATAAGTATTGACCGTCGGGCTTGTTCATACCAAACTACCATCGCATCGGATCAAGCAGACAGACTGCACACACACACACACCTGTCTGTCCATTTCTCTTTCTCTCCTGCACACACAGATGCATACACACTTGATATATGGCACTTCAGAGCAGACTAAATACAGCTCCATCAAACTAGCACTTATACTCTGAAAGCCCGACCCCACTGGACATTGATTTGTTATTCTTAACACTCGAGCTGAGTGAGAGGCGACACTCTCGCTACATCTGTGAGGACTTCAGCACAATGGCACAGGTATATCCAAGTTTAAACCTAGAAACAACTCACTTTTAAAGAGCTGACCATGAGGCGGAAGCCCTGAAAGAGAAAGAAGTGCGACCTACCTTTGGCGTCTAGCTTTGCTTTTGCTCAGTAGGGCTTAGAAAGGATACAAGTTCTGGTAGAGTGGAATCAGTGATTTGAGAGCTCGACTGGCGTTGATGGCTGTGGCCCGGACCATGGTGGGCAAGATGTTCATGTCCACTACGGCACCGTCAAACAGTGGACCGAAGAATGGCACCTAGAGACACAAAGAGAAGTCGTGAAATAGTTATTAAAGCAGGAACAATAGATCAGCTGGGTTTGGTCATCCGAGTGCGGGCAGATAGTCGCACTCTCACACATACTCTTCTGGACACAGAGCACCAGAGGGAAATCTTGCACAAACTATACTATTTAATACAACGTTTAGCTAGGTAGCTACCATACATTCTCTCTAAATCCGAACGTTAGCTTTCACCAAAAGCGATGGGATTTCCCCATTGGTTTTATTCACACTAATTTCTGAAGCTTTCAGGCAATCGGCAGAACTTAAAAGCCAACGTAAGGATTTAGAAACCTACATTGCGGTCGCATGGCTGTGCATCACCAACGCTAAGCTAAAGGCGGACTTATGCGGCGATTATTTAGTCACTTGTTAGCAACCGCCATTTTTGTGACACATAGAAGCTTCAGACAGGGTGTTTACTGACATATTTGATGTCGTAGGAAGAAAACGAGTTACTCTCTTGAGCTTAACCCCAGACCTTATTTCAGGTTTCTAACCATAAACGCATAAAAAAACAGGTTTGAAATAAGGCTAACATGAAAGTAAACTCATTTCTGTGTTTTAGGACTCATTATTAGACCACTCTGTTGGCTAGGCCTAAAACAGGTCTTAGCTATCCTTTTGCAGGCCTCCTTTTGGCCTGTCTCTGGGCTCAGAAAACTGACATCCATTGAAAAGTTTGATCTCATTTGGACCAATGCGACTGCAGATTAACTCCATGCCAGATATGTTGTGTTCCACTAATGGAAGGCCCGATACGAGATGAATAAATCCTCGTGTGTGTTATCTTTGGCGTCATCTTACTGTAACGGAGTCTGGAGGGACAATTAAGTGAGATTGAATTCTTCTCTTTTTGGAAGAGAGTCACCTGAAGGAGATCTGCACTCTTCTGAGTGAGCTTTTCCAGTTAATAATGAATCTACTGCCAATACAAGTCTCCTGAAGAACTGCAATTCTAGATATTCTCATGAATAATCTTTAAGAGCCACTAGGTTTTAGTCAACCAACTTTGACAAGTCAAATGTAATGTAAGTCATTGCTTGTGGAATCTAGCAAAGAGAATAATGTGAAGCCTTTTTATTGAATTCATTCTCAGACCAGGTCTCTTAGCCATGCACTCTATGACCGAATGCAGTGCTTTCAGGACGACCACACAAAGAATATCTTATCTAACTGCTTTTTTTGATAATTCAATAGTTTTTGCTTTGTAGAATGAATGAAACAGAATGAGGTTATGTTATTAGTGCTGTGGTATCTATGTCATACAGAAAAAGCAGCATTTGATTGTGTTAGGTCTTGTTTGAAATAGAATTATGCTATCAGTGCTGTGGTATTAATGTCTGTGTTTTACACTGATACATTAACCAGAGCAGCAAAACGCAGGGGAACACTCTCTTTAGGATTGTTTCGTCAAGCTGGATGCATCTGTAATGTCTGCTACAGAACATTCAAGTATGGAGCAAAACACTGTGCAACTCAATTAGGGCTGCAACAAACGACTCATTTGATAATCGATTCATCTATCGATTAATGAAACGATTAATCGACTATTCGGACTATTATGCCTTGCACAATTTCTCAAACGCTCTTTTTTAGCCATCAACTTTTAGATTTAGCTTGAGGTTGTTTTAGGCATGTGGAAACTAACAATGAAGACAATAAAGATGAATACTTGATTCAAAAATACAGATATTATTAAATTAACTAAACAAATTGTGAACAAAATTAACATTGTTTTTTATTTAAATTAAATAAATAATATTTCACATCAAAAGAAACAACAATGTTTTAACAAATCGTATTAAATAATGTGATGACAGAACTGTAAACAGAATAGCTGAAACTTTAACAAAATAAATAACTCAGTTCCCTCTAATCATTAACCCATGTTTGTATCATTGAGTTAGCTCCGTGTGTTGCTGCTAGCATACATAATACCTGACGTGGAAACGTTACTCGTGGATGGGGCTACAGAGCTACTAGAGAGACAGTCGAACCCGGTGCATTTCTCCGTCTGGATGTGGTGCACTTGTTTAGACAAATTGCTCGTGTTACCGCCCTTACATGCTAAACTCTTATTGCACTATTGGCAACGAGCATTGTCCACATCGAGACGGGTAAAGTTTAACCACACCTCGGAGCGCTTCTCTCCGCCATCTCCTCCGTGTGTGTGTTGCTGCATGTAGCAGCTGCGTGTGTGTAAACTGCCCCGCCCCCTCGCACACAGACGGGAGAGAGATCTCTCGTCTGGATTGGAAAGATCGAAAATACATCAGACGCATTTTTTTGTCTTTTTGCATATTAGAAACGAGTTGGCGACACTAAGACTGTGATATAATGTTTATGTAGCATTAATACATATGACATATCTTTTTTAAATGTCTCCAGTACCGATAAAAAGACCGATAACGTCTGAGCTTAACGGCGCGTAAAACACACGTGATGACGTCACCAACGAATCGACGACTGAATTAGTTGGCAACTAATTTGGTCATCGATTTTAATTGATTAAGTCGATTAGTTGTTGCACCCCTAAACTCAATTCTTATTTCATTATTCCTTGGCAAAGCTATGGTCCCCTAATAAAAAGTCAAGGCTTGTCTTTTCTTATAATTGACTAAAGTTGTATTTTGATGACTTGTTATTTGTAAAAAGAAATAGTTCCCAGGGCAGAAGTGTGACAGCCACACACACTGCAACACTACTCCGTCTCACCTCCTCCTCTGTGTTGAACTCTGTAGTAGCTCAGTAAGCAAAGATCCCACAATAAACACGGAGCGCTAACTCGGACACACCCCCAATGTACCAACAAAAATAAAGAGCACTCACTCTGAGCTGAGAACAATAACCAAACTGCTTACTGACTGAAAATCTATATGAAATCCATGTTAATCTGCAGTTGAAATGATGTTATAGAGTGTTCATTTCTAAATTATATAATTATTGTTTAATTTGGATGACTGATTGGTCTCTCTTCATTTGTTGTTCTGTTTATAAAACATAGTGGCCGTAATAAAACTGGCTTATGAGCAGAAATAATTGTGGTTCAGAATGACGAACACATGTTTTAGCAGGTATAATGTTTGCCATGGTCATTATCTTGGTTTACAGAGTCAGCATGCTCTTCAAAACGCAAAAAAATAAAGTTCTGCATAAATGTTCTGCACATTGAAAAAAGAAAGAAATCTCATCTTTTTTTGTCACCAAAAATGAAGAGGTGATTGTTTGTTTGAAATTAGTACCGATTAGGCCTGAACACAAAGTACCGCCACCCGATAAGGATGTCATTTGTCTTGTGGGCAATTGATTATTTACAACATTTTATGAATAACCATACAATAGTTGTTGAAATATTTCCCTAAAGACCATAAATGTGATGGTGGCATGAGAGGAGGACTCAGTGGGGATCATACTCTGGGGATCATGAATGATTGGAGCAAGTTTCATAAAAAGCCATCTAATAGATGCAGGAGTGCCATCAATAGAGCTGTGCCACTGTGCGATGGCATTACACTGATTGGCCAATGAGTCACAATTACTGCAACAGGTGACGAGGGTCGTTTTCCCTGATTAGCCCAGAGGGGGACGGCATTATCATCCTGGGTTTTAATGACACATTTAAATGTCCTGCAGGAACTTTGTCCCAATGTTAAAGTATTCAGGGAACACTGACGAAACTAAACGCATTCTTACCTCAGGTTTTTTCAGTATGTGGATGGAGTACATGTGGTTCTTCATGGGGTAGATGATGATTAGCACGTCTCCGAACTCGGTGGGGATGATCCCTCGCCGGTAGTCTCTAGAATGTTCCGACCAAACGATGTGGACCTCGTCATTACCCAGGTGTCTTAGCTGCAGGGAGACAAGAGGAATTACACCTGAATCAAAACTGGAATAAACATCTGTTGCAGTATAAACAACACAAACTCAAACTCAGTCAACAACAACCACACACACTCAGGGTCCGGTGCAATGAGCCTGATATTCATCATAAACCCAAGGGTTTTTATCTTGTGTGTGTACGGGCTGTAAAGGTGGCCCTGGGGGTGATGGAGTGAAGATGGAGAGTGGACACGAAGACCTAGTGAAGCCCCGGAAAGATGGAGTATGGGCTGGAAGACAGATGGGATCAAATCTGGTGCTGTGCGATTCTGAGTGTGTGTGTGTGTGTGTGTGTGTGTGTGTGTGTGTGTGTGTGTGTGTGTGTGTGTGTGTGTGTATGTGTGTGTGTGTGTGTGTGTGTGTGTGTGTGTGTGTGTGTGTGTGTGTGCGTGTTTCACAATTGCTCAGTGGGCTACAGTAAGGGCCACTGACAGCTCTGTCATTAACCTTGATGCCTGGCAACACACACACACACACTTCTCTCTACTTGTCTGCGTTGTCTCACACCTTCAGATGTCTGTTGCTGTTGGCCTCGGCCCGGAGACAGTTTTTATTTATTTTTTATGAAAATTGCAATCAGTTGTGTGTTTCTTTTTACCTGTGAAGATGTTTTACTCTTAAAGGTTTTTTGTATCCTCTGGGATATAGTCATTGGACAGGCTGTGTCCATTTGTAAAATGGGTGTAATAACAGTGAAATGTGGGTGCAATAAGGGTGTAGTAGTGGAGAAACATGGGTGTAATATGGGTGTAGTAGCAGCGTAGCATGGGTATAATACGGGTGTAATAACTATGTAACATTGGTGTAATAACAGAGTAATAGGGGTGTAGTAATGTGTGATGCTGGTGTAATAGCAGTGTATTATGGATGTAATGTAGAAAATAGCCATTATTTAATGTTTGAGTGATGCCCATTAGGGATGATGACGTATGGTTTGCATACATATTTCTTTCGACGGTGAACCACAGCATTTTATTACATGTTTTTAATGTTGTTTTATTTCCACGCATGCAACTCAACTAATTGCCATATACAGCAAGTCTGAGGTTGATTTAAAGCAAAAACAGAGATATTTTGCTTCCATTACATGTTCAACAAGTGGAAAAGAACGTGTTCATTTGTGTCTGTAGATTTCTCATCAGATAATGCTGCATTTGCACAAAATAATTGTCTTAATTTAAGTAATCAAATGCGTAAGTATCAAGGTGACGTCTATTCGTTAAAATGATTCACATGGTGCATTAGTTAATCATCATGTTTGGAAGTGCCATAATGACACTACTTGAACTTTAAATATAGTAATTGCTTTAATTAACCTGACTTTACCTTTGACTAATGATACAGATTAGGCAAAGTCGCAAATATGTAAGGGAAAACATGTGTATTTATTACGGAACAGGATTAGGGCCACATTTTGTTTTGAGATCTGACCAAAAGAGACTTTGAGTTCTGAGATTAAAGTTAGAATTTGGGGGGAATAAACCTGAATTTAGAGATTAATGTCATTATTCATAGAATAAAGTCATAATTCTGAGAATTATGGGAATTCGTGAAAATACATTTCAGAATTATGACTTTAATGTCAGAATCTTCTGACACATATCACATTTAAAGATATTCTCATTATGACCATGACGCTGTATTTTTGAATTTCAGAACAATAAAGTGGCACAGTGTGAATAAGGAAAGGTGGAATCTGTCTGATGTGCGTCTCTGATCAATATCTCTACATTCTTAAATATTTCAACAATGAAGATCGGATTGCCGTCATCTTTGATTCCACAATCAGTTGCTGTAATGCAGCTTTAATCCTTTTTCAAGCAGATGTAGTATGAGAGGAAACAGAACACACAGCAAAGAGTGAGAGCTGTGTGTGTGTGTGTGTGTGTGTGTGTGTGTGTGTGTGTGTGTGTGTGTGTGTGTGTGTGTGTGTGTGTGTGTGTGTGTGTGTCTGTGTCTGTGTGTGTGTGTGTGTGTGTGTGTGTGTAGTAGGAGGATGAATGCCTGCCAGTATGGACATGTGTATGTCTGTCACTTTAACCTCTTTGTGGTCACATTTGTCAAACTGTGAGTGTTTGTAAGCCTGTACCATGTGCGAGTGTAATGTGTGTGTGTGTCTGTGTCCAACATTAACGCACATTTATAGCCGCGTGGTTATTTGTGCAGGCCGATGTGAATAAAGCCCTTAGTGGATGTGTGTTTGTGTCAAGTTAAATACAGGTTTATAGTCTGTGTGCGTGTATGTGTGTTTGTGCTTGTGTGTGTGTGTGTGTGTGTGTGTGTGTGTGTGTGTGCGTGTATGTGTGTTTGTGCTTGTGTGTGTGTGTGTGTGTGTGTGTGTGTGTGTGTGTGTGTGTGTGTGTGTGTGTGTGTGTGTGTGTGTGTGTGTTTGATGGGGCCATCAGCTGATCAGGGAGACGGATGGTGTCGGACCAGGCGCTGATAATCCAATCAGGAGCCTGCAGCGACGTGATAGGCCGAGAAGCAGGAAGTATGATCTGATTAAAGGGACATTATGGCCATGTGCAGGGCGCCTAATGCCTGAGGGTTGACAGGTGTACACACACAGAGACACACACAGAGACGCACACACATACACACACACTAACACACAAGTGTCCCCCTAACACACAATCAAAGTGCCTGCCTGGACGCTGATACGACCCGCACCGCGCACAAACACGGACATGATTGCTGCTCAGAGTTATTGGAAACATCGGTGTGCTTTAGACACGCCAACACAAACAGATAGGTGTGTGTGCAGCCACATATGTTCATTGGATGCAAATATAGGGATTGGGAGGCAGAAAACAAAAACACATTGTAAGGGAAGAACATAAGCCAGGTTTCAATACAAGTGCATCGCACATTTTAACGGATTTAGAGACCATCTGCAAAATGTATCCTTTTTTCTTCCACTACCATTATGCGGTTATAAAGGATTGGTTCGACGAGATTATTTACGTACTTCAATAGATCCTTTTTTATAAAACAATCGTGGGGGAGAATCGCCCCGGAATTGCTCTGCTTATTCAAAACCAGATGAATTCGAATATATGTCTGCAACTATGCCATTTTCAGTTCAGTGAAATCCAGACGCACATATGTCACATACAGATACGGACATATCACATTTAATCAGCAAGATCAACAAACTGATGTGCCCTTGCTACCTATTATTTTTACCCTGGGCCTGCCCTCGAAAAACAAATGCCCACCCACTGATTCAGGCCTGCCTCCGGGTCCGTGTAGATGTTTGAGACTTATCTAGATAAATGTTCTATTAGTTCCATACAGTGTTCATTTCGTTTTCTGCCGGGGATGGAGCATTCAAAAGTATAGTGACACTCTACAAAGCTCGTTTGCCATTAGTGTTTACGCGTAAGCGCGGTAACGAGCAGTCTGTCCAAACAGCTGGCCAAAAGGCATCATATTTAGTCGGAGAAATGCACCATTTTCGACTTCCTTAACTCGTAGCTCTGTTGCCCCAATTACGAGTAACGTAATTGTAGGAATATTCTGTTACAGTAAAAGTACTGCATTCTAAATGTTACTCAAGTAAAAGTAGACATTTTAGCATCAAAATATAGGTAAAGTACCAAAAGTAATTATTGTGCAGATTGGTCCATTTCAGAATAATATATATGATATGTTTTATAATGATTGATCATTAAAGTGTTCTCAAAGCTGGTAAAGGTGCAGCTAGTTGTAATGACTTTGTATACTGCAGGGTAGCTTGTGGATTTACTCCAGGTGGAACTCAAGTCTGATTTAACACTTGATTATATTTCACATCATTCATCCACATCTGTAAAGTAACTAAAGGGATTAAATACATGTAGTGGAGTAAAAGTACATCATTTACCTCTGACTTGTAGTGGAGTAGAAGTACTAAGTAGCAAAACATTTAAATACTCCAGTAAAGTACAAGTACCTCAACATTTTACTCAAGTACAGTAAAATATAATAACATAATTATAATATATTTTATTTATTTTACATTTAAATAAAGCAATGTTAATTTGGTTTACATTTGTTTAGTTTTTCCCTTTAAAAAAATAACAAAGTACCGATAAGAATACCGTTAAAGTACCGGATCGATAAGCAGTATCGATAAGAGTAGTAGCACCGTTAAAACCTTAGCGATACCCATCCCTAGATATTACACAAGTAAAGTGTTGAGTGAAATGTTGCTTTACGAATTTTAACACTTGATGCTGTCACCTTGATTCCAATTTCAGATAACTGAATTGGTTTGAAGAGAGAACACATGACTAAAAGTTGACTAAAATGTAATGATTTTTCATCGACTAAAACTGGACTAAAACTATGAAGGATAAAAAGGACTAAAATGTGACTAAAACTAATAACCATTTTCGTCTAAAGACTAAGACTAAATCTAAAATAGCTGCCCAAATTAACACTGGTTCCATATCTTACAGGCTATTGCGCATTTTTGGCAATACATTCATAAACATAAATATAATTCATTTGGATTGTATCCTGTGTGGAAGACATCTCATTTGATGGCTGGAACATCAAAATCTTCTGGAGCAAAAAGATTTCACAAGGAAGTGGCTGAAATTAGAGACACCCACCTTCCATTGAGGAATGGAATTAAATATATATATTTTATATATCATATGGAAAGAAAGCAATTTGACCAGAAAGTCTTCCTTTAATTGTTAAAGCCGTTTCTAGTGCACAAATTTGCGGTACATTTTTGTTGATGCGTATATCAGTTTTTTTCCACAAACTTTAGGTTTTCACTCAGGTTTTTAAAAGTGCAATTTGATAATCCATATAAAAAAAAAGTTGGATAAAAGACACCCAGAGAGACAAGAAGCATGGAGGATTATTTGTACTAATAACCGTGTCTTTGCCACTACAGAGGCTCACTCGACTGCATTTAGAAAGAAGGAAGCGCAGCATATGATTGGATCGTCAAATGTAGAGTGCTTGACACAAAGAAGAGACATATTCATTCAACTGTCAAGCAAATCAGAACATTTTGAAACATCAGTGTGTATAAATTAGTAAGTGGCCTTTCCCTTAACTGCACAGAGGATATTAAACCGTGGAAACTTCTATACTTTTCCTGAAAGGTTCTGCGTTACCTTCTTGGTGAGGTTGTGGTCCTGGTCGTGGGGCATGCGGGTGGAGACGTGGTAGATGACCTCTGTAGTGGAGGTGGCGTAGTAAGGCGTGGTCTGGCCCGTGCTGCGGTTCCTCTGGAGGCCTCCCATGAAGCCACAGTGGGTGGTGAGGTCCACCTGAAGGGGAAACACACACCATCAGGATGTATACAAATATGAACTCCCTTTTGATCTTAGTGCTGTCGTAAGATGTGTTCCCGTGACGTGAAGCGAACTCATGCCTCGTATTAATAATGTGTGTTTACTTGCTTCACTACTCCCCCCTTCACTCGGGCTCAGTTCCTGCTGCTGGTACACTTGTGTGGATGAAAGTGTTCTTACCTCCCAGCCCAGTCCGGAGACAAAGTCCTCGTACGCCTGGCTGCCCGCGGTGTTGGTCAGTATAGAGTGTTTGTCCTCTTGGCCCTCCGCCACATAAAATACAGCTATTTTATGAGTCTCCCGGCTAGAAGGAAAAGAAGGAAACCAATCACTACCGAGAGGACAGCTGCGGAATATCAGTTGCAGACAGAGGAATATAATATATCATATATATATATATAGAGTAAAGGCATGACACGATATATATTATAACTGTTACGAACCCTCTGAACACTATTCGTCAGACTTTTTAAATGCATTTAAATTAATATTTATAGAATGTTAAGGAAAAAACGTCAGAGAGGGAATAAAATAAGGCTGCGCAATTTAAGAAAATGTATTATTTGCGATTATTTCTGACTGATATTGTGATTACTAAAAAGAAGAAAGTGATCATTTTTGCATCATTATTATCAATATCATTTAAACATATATTAAAATATCATGCTGTGATTTTTAAAGGGGATCTGTAGCAAAGTTGTTTGAGTCTGTCAAATAGAATCTTTAGGCCGGGATATCTCAGCAGTTCCAAAATACTTCATTAACAAAAGGCATTTTAACAAATATTGTGTTTCCTGCAATAGACCATATTCCCATTTGATTGACAGTTACATATAATTGTGCAGCCCTAAAATTAAATAATAAATAGTGGAAAAGTAGAAAAGATTAAAAGAGATTTTTTTAAAAGGAGGTAGGAATGATCATATTTTCTTACCATTGCCGTGAGTCCAGGTTCTTCAGCTCTCTCAGTAACTTCTCATTCTTCCTCAACAAATGGAAGTTACTCCTGTAACACAGAAACAGGTTAGGAACCACTCTCCAAAGAATTGGTTAAACCTGCTTCTCCACCATCTTCTACCCTTCAACTTAATTGGCTGTTTGCTTGTTTTTGTCACTGCTTCCTAGTAAAATAAGGAATTCTAGTGAAAAAGACCCGAAGAGTTCAAGGTTTAAAAAAAGAGGATGAGAAAAACAGATCAATCAGAGGTATTCATATCCGAATAAAAGCGGTGACGTTTTAAGCTTTCGAAACAACAAGCCCAGGCTAACCTTAAACCAGCTGACCTATCAGCTCTATTTAAAAGTACTAATCTTAAATGTGGAGAGGGTATTGGCCTCCTTAAAACAAAGGCGGAGCTGGCTCCACAGACTAAATGTTTTGAAAGCTTCAAACATAATTGCTTTTATCAGGCTATCAATAACTGCTTTAGGCTTAAGACCTTCCTTTTTACTAAAGCTTATAGTTAGGGCTGGCCCAGGCTTACCTTGAACCAGCCCCTAGTTATGCTGCCATAAGCTCAGATTGTCAGGGGACTTTAGATAAGAGAGGACTTTATTTATCCCGAAGGAAATGGTTGTGCCAGAGTTACAAAGACACAATAAACACAGCAGCATAATAATAAAACTGCACACTAACAGTGCCGTAAAAAGAGCAGATCAAAACAGACAATGTTACGGAGCAACTGCAGCAGGCAGCCGCCTGTGGCAGCGCCATTTCACCTCCCTTCTTCTTCTTTCTCTCTTTGCAATTATGTCTCATATTTATGTCCCATGTATGTCTTTGTTTTAACATGTAAACATCCTATTGGGTTTTAGAATGAAGATTTGAAAGTGTATTGTCATTGTCACCCTCCAAAAAAAAAAAAAAAAGAATCTCTTAGAGAGACTTTTGCTGGCATATTGCACGAAAGATTTTTAGGAAAAAACGAATAAACTAGGAATACTAAAACACATGTATGCCTTACAAACGAAAAAAGCTGTGATCCATGTTGCTGCAATACATGTGTGGGAAGTCCTTTATACATGTTTATCTCCCTAAGAACAACCCCAAAGCCTGATGAATGCAAACGAGAGAAAAGATTCACATTCAACAAAGTATTTTGAGCCAATTAGACAACGTTTTCCACACTCACACCGAACAGCATTTCATCTTCTCAATGACTCTGGCCTGGAACACACAATGCCGAGGTATCACTTTAAATATATCTGGCCAGCTAATGGACACTCATCTCTCTTCATACTTTATCCAGGGAATTACACCTCCTGCATTCAGCCTGCACAATGGCCTCCTTTGTGTGTGTGTGTGGACGAGAGTGTGATAATGAGTTTAGTACTCTATTGATCGAACTCAAGCCATTTGGAGTTAGAATAAAGGGCAGTAGTTGAAAAAGATGGTTGAAAAAGAGGCAAATCAGAAGAAAGCACATGTGCATGAGGCGAAAAAGAAAACAAGTGCATTAATAGGGAAGAGAATGGCGGGATATATGGATAAAAAAAAGGAAGAGAGTGTCTAATCATCTATTATTGTCCCCTTACGTCTCTCCAGGTATTCAAATTGGACATCAGACACGAAGATACTGACAGTAGTGTGTGTGTGTGTGTGTGTGTGTGTGTCCCCTTTTATGCTTTTCCCAATAATCCAGGGTGTAAATGGAGTCTTTGAGAGCAGAGAATGAGGCCATTACCAAGTATCAGTTTAATAAAGAGCAAATTGCCGTCTCTCTCTCTTTCTCTCCCGCTCTTTCACTCTTTTTCTCCCTGTGTGAGAGTGAAAAGAATGACGTGTCATTATCAGTCCACTCCAAGCCTCACCGCCCAGGTCTCCGTTTTTATATCAGCGGTGCGGAGGTTGGTGGCTTCGGCCTCTCCACCGATGCCTGGACTATTCCAATGAAAGGCTTTTGTTTCGGTTAAAGAATAGGGTCCTGTCCTTTTCTGTGTGAAGAGGTAGTGGGGTGTCGTGCGTGAAATAATGTTGTGTTTGAATGATGTGCCGTATTCTTTATTTCCACGGTCCAGTCGCCAGTGTACAAACAGAAGTGCTTGTCGGATATAGATACAGAAGAATTACATTTTTCAGTTGTGTCTGACATGTCAAGATGACCTGTAGTAAAACAACAGCTATTTTAAATTGGGATTTTTGCTTTTGAAGAGGTCATGTTTATTAAGTAACCCTCGATTTGTGAGACTTTCAGAAGATTGACGTTACAATAGTTTATACTTTAGGTAGTTGGGCAGTAGGACCCACAACATGTTTTTACATTTTTGGCAAATTCTTTGTTATTATTTAGACTTTCCTTTTTGAGAAGGCTTATAGGGCTGGCTCAGGCTAACCTTGAATCCGCCCATAGTTGTGCTGATATAGGCTTAAGACTTTCCATTTTGATGAAGCTCATATTATTTATTATATATATATATATATATATATATATATATATATATATATATATATATATATATTCGGATATGAATACCTCTGATAGACTTTCACTACTCTTTATCTCTATGCATTCTGTACCCTGTTACTAACTCAGCAGCTGAAATGTTCTTGTCTCGAAAACAGTGAATGTCAAAAATACTAATACACTTTTTAAAATAAGGTCAGCTAAGTTTTTATTAGACAGGGTTACACTCTGAAATATACACAGACCTTTTCGAAATGAAAAAAAAAACTTCCAAAACATTTAGTTACATGTGTGCGTGTGCGTGTGCGTGTGCGCGTGTGTGTGTGCGTGCGTGTGCGTGTGCGTGTGCGTGTGTGTGTGTGCGCGCGTGCGTGCGTGTGCGTGTGCGTGCGTGCGTGTGTGTGTGTGTGCGCGTCCTCACCTCTTCTCCCAGGAGTTGAGGCCCAGGATGTTGATGAGCAGTCTGCAGTAGTAGAAGGCGGACTGAGGCGTCTCAGTGTCCGGCTCCGGCTGCTGCACCGCCCTCATGTTCAGATCCTCTCCTCTCTGACACATTCAACAGTTCAAGCAAAAACAAATGTTAGGAAAATATAAAATAAATAGAAATGTATTTTATATGCGAGAGCTATGAGTGAGAGACTCTTTTTAGTGATGTCATCTGTTTTAAAGCAGGACTGGAAACAGCACATTCTGATATTTTTGCTTTGGATTGAAAGATTGAAAAAGATAATAAATATTGAAATCGATGCATTGGACACAACGTACATGGAGGACAAACTCTCTTTCGGCAGCGCTCTGCTTCAGGATGGCGTTGATCACGTCGTTCTCTTGCTTTTCTGACACACACGCTGGAGGAGGGGCCGGGATGTTGAGCGGCATGCCTAAGGACCAATCAGGGGACAAAGCTTTCATTCTCTTTGAAGATCCAGGACAACAGATGAAATTGACAGTAACACGTTCCTATATTTATACACGACTAGTTGAGGGATGTCAATCTGGAGATTTCTCATTGAAACTCTGCCTCAATAGGTTGCTGAGCAACGGAAGTGATTTCTGAGCGAATTACTATTCATTTAGATATACATAATTGAAGTAGATCTTAAGTCACTGCTAGGTCTGATCAGTCAGACAGTAAAAGCTGTGAAATTCATCCAAATGTTCAGGTGGCGCCTCTGATTTGGCATGAAGACAGATATGTTTATGGACAGTCTAGAGCTACATTCACAAGACATGTGGTAAAATGGCTCTGGGCTTATGTTGCCGTTGTTTTACTTTGGAGAGAGCGGCTCCTGAAATACTTAGTTACAATTATTCCAACTTTGTCCTTGAATACCGCTGACCTTTTAATGTGCAACAAGTCAGATGACAGATGTGCATTGCAAGCTAACAGGGGAGTTCACCATACAACATATTTAACTAGCAGTTACATTTGCAGTCTTAGGGAGAGTTCGGCAGAACTGACATACAGCCTGGACACTTCCGTGTTCTGTTTGAATCAACGTGTCATTCTCCAGCTAGCTAGTTTTTCAGTCAATGTAGCTACAAAAGGTTCATGATAATGCATGTTTGCCCAGTATTTGTTTTATTGTAAAACCTAGACTTCAGATTGAGTAACTAATGCAGAACATTTCTAATAGGAAGTCCATAGTGTGTGTGTGTGTGTGTGTGTGTGTGTGTGTGTGTGTGTGTGTGTGTGTGTACCTGCTCTCTGTAGACACTCGGGGCTCGAGTACCCCAGGTACTGCAGCATTTCATCCAGCGAGTCGTCCCCCTCCCTCAGCGAGTCCCACGCTGGCACCGCCTCCCGACACACCCGTTTAGCCAATGGCGGCGCGGGAAACTGCTCCAGGCCCGACTCGCCCTGATCCCGCTCACCATCCATCCTATGCTCTATCCCCTCCTCCTCCTCTTCTTCTTCATCATCTTCTCCTCCATCTCCCATCCCCTCCTCGGTGTCTCTCCTCTCCTCCTCTCCTTCCCCCTGTAACTCCTGCCTTTCACCCTCCGTCCCTCTCCGTCCCTCCTCTGCTGCCTCGATATCCTCCTGCCCGCCCTCCTCTTCGCTGTCTTCTTTCTTCAGTCCCATCTTTTTCGCCGGACCTCCCGGTGGAGTGCGTAAATGAAGATTGCCGCCGTGAGGGGATTGTGTGTGTGGCATGAATGTGTGTGTGGGGCTGTTCGGGGAGCAGGGCGGGGGTCCGTAGAGAACGGCAGAGTCCCAGGAGTGTTTCCCCGCCACGTCTCGGACGATGACGCGGACGCAGGCGGGGGCGGAGGACAAACCGGCCGTCATCCCGCCTCCTGGAACACCGGACTCTGAGCGGATCTGGGACAAAGAGGAGGACAGCGTTTAGACTAAAGACCACCAAATATGAATCTTCAAACAACCACACAGCTCAACTGCCCTAAAGCGTCTTCCTCATAGTTACACCTTCTTTACACTTGATAGAACTTTGATCAGAAAAACTAAAATGATTTTAACTTGATCAATCAACTCAGGGTAGAGAGGGTTCATTTAATATAAAATAATAACAAACAATTAAACAAATGTACACTACACAAGGCTTAATATGAAAAAAATAAAAAAACACTAAAACATAGGCGTCTATATCGCTATCAGCTAAATTGCTACGGCAAACATTGGTTTCGATATTGGCCAAAATATGACTCCAAACAGAAATGTGACATGTGTGCATCTCTAATAAAGAAACTAAGTTCTAAAAGGACCGGAAGCCAAAGCTACTCATCCAGCACCGGTGATTTGTTTCAGCGTCTTGTGTTTGTCGGTCGTTTTGCGGTTACATTCTGTACCAGTTCTTGGCGGGCAGTTGCGGCGTCATTAAGGCAATTAACAAAAGAAAATATGCAATGTAGGCATGTTAACTTACTAAGTAACATTTCCATTCTTACATGGCTAAATACAAATGAAGACGCTTTAACTACCATGATGTTCAGATAATGTTAGTGGCTGTATTTTAGTGCAACCTTGGTTTTGTTTTATAGGTTAAGTGTCAGATTTCTCCAGCCCCTTTCTTTTGATTGAGGTTACCTGATACACGGAGAGCAGCGTGGAGCCGTTCAGAACCAGGAACTGCAGGTTAGGGGAATGGAAAAGCTCCGGTCCGAGATCTGCACTCTCACAGAACGGGTTATCTTGGTTTTCACACACCTAGAACAACATAGAAAAGTGTGTTGTTACAGCAAAAGATGTAAGATCTGATTAAAGCATCAAGACTGGTTTATGATGTGTATTCCCCGAAGGACAAACACGTCCCATCAGCATATAGATTTGTGAAGGAATGAGTCCTAAAACCCGGTAATGATTCAGCATAGTTGGACTTTGCGTTTTTTTTGCCTCGTTTTAATTCGATGTCTGAAACAAGGTTGATTGTTAACACCAGTTTCTAAACAGGGTGCGTGCTAACAAGTGGCTAAATGAGACTCAACGGTTGTCGGGCACATTTCACGGCATCATGCCAAACACAAAGAAAATCATCTCAGTGGTTTGGATTCCAAAGTTGTGCGTCTATAAATTGGTGTTCCCGTTGGAGGAACCAGTGCAATGCTAACTTTTAGGTTGCCTACAATTGTAAGTCCTCCCTGCATCACTCCGTAGAGTACATCACACTGGTATTATTAGCAGCAATCCCACAGTACCTGGCTGGACAGAGTGGCAGGCCCTCCGGACATGGGGTAATGGCCTAGATGGTTGACTAGGTGTGTGATTACAGTGCTGGCTGCGATGGAGACCAGGCCATGCTGAATTCGGCTTCGCACTGCAGAAAGAGGACAGAGGACATGTTTTTTTAGAACAATACATTTAAATCAGCAAATATTAAAAGTGTACAGTCTTTGTTTACTGTCTCTTTTTTGACAAAAGAACCTAATTGGTGTGTGGAGCGTTGAAAACAGAAAATACATTATTTTGCGAAGCGCTGGAGTAATTGGAATATTATTGTATATGTATTTTTAACATGATATCTAAGGAGGAGGATAAGGGCCACGTGCATTCATTTTTTTTTAATGAGATAAAGACAGAATTCTGAGATTAATGTCAGAATTCCAAAAATATGATATTATTATATATCTTGGAATTCTTACTTTTTACACGGAATTCTGACTTTAATCTCATCTTTTACAAAAATGTTTGGTCTGATCTAAAAAATGTGGCCCTTATCCTTTTCCGTATATATACATTTTTCGTGACATCAATAAACCCAGAAAAGAAATGGTGTTCTCACAAAACATTGATATATTCTTGTTGAGCAAAAAAGAATGACAAAAAAAATGCTTAAAGATACGTGCAGACAAAACGCCCCACTGTGTAAAGACCTTTACTTTTTATACTTGCAAGTTAGGAGAAAACTTCAGGAAGAGGTCTAAACAAACACATTCAGCTCGTACATAGTTTGCCTCATGCTGAGCAGAAGCCAATGCCATCACACACTGTGCTGCCAGCAGATCCTGGCTAATCAACATCATTACACACACACTGTGACACACACACTGTGACACACACACTGTGACACACACACTGTGACACACACACTGTGACACACACACTGTGACACACACACACACGCACACTATAGCTTGTTATTGGCAGGGCTGTGTGTAGAGTACAGATATGTATTGACCAGACATTCTCAACATCTCCCTGAACCTCAGGAGAGCTTTAGGAGGAGGAAGGGAAAGGACATTTCAGTAAAAAATGAAAATAATAAATAATATTAGTAGAGATTGAAGCTAAAAGAATAACAGAGGAAAGGAAGAGAAGATGGAAATAAAGAGGGAGAGAGGAGAAGTGAAGCGTGGTCTATCGTGGTGCTCCGGTCATTAGCCGAGACGCTGATCCTGGTGGATCACAGCAGGGGACAATACACACTCTCACACGGATACAGACAGACAGGTACACACACACACACACACACACACACACACACACACACACACACACACACACACACACACACACACACACACACACACACACACACACACACACACACACACACACACACACCACACACACACACACACACACACACACCACACACACACACACACACACACACACACACACACACACACACACACACACACACACACACACACACACACACACACACACACACACACACACACACACACACACACACACACACACACACACACACACACACACACACACACACACACACACACGTCAGCGTGCGTGCCAATACATCACTTTACATACAGAGAGGTATTACAGAGTCGTAACGGGGTGACGTAATCAGGATACAAAACAAGTATACTCTGATAAGGTTACTGATTATATTTAGGTAACTAGTATTTGTAATGAAATACATTAAAGGGTAGGGTTTTTCAGAAATGAGGTGATTTAAAAAAAATTACTTAATATCTGAAAATTAACTTCACTTTTGAAAATTCAATGACTTTTGAAAAATCATTGTATTTTTCAAAGTACATTTTTATCCCATTTCTCATGATGATTCAATAAAAAAAAAAATTCCCTCATTTCTGAAAATAACTACAATTACGAAGAAATCACCTCAGTTATCAAAAATTGCAAGATTATCCCAAATGACCTACTTTTGATTTGGTAAAGGGGAACAATTTCTGAAAAATCACCATATTTAAAAAAAAAATCCCAACCCTGCTGGATATAGGTTTCTGCTGGTTGTATTTTTGTAATGTTTCTGACCGTGTGAAAAGCAAAATACATATCCTCATGCTCATTCACAAAAGATACCAAATGATCATGTAAATGTTGTGTTTTGTGTGTCCTCTGAGTGTGTGATATTCTACCTTCGGTGACAGGCTGCAGTTTGCTGGAGCGCTCAGAGTCCGGGCTGTGCAGCGGTTCTGGTTCTCGGAGGCTCTCTAGCGGCAGGAACGGGTCGTAGTCCGGACTCAGCAGGTCGGACATCTGCAGCGGGTAATACTTAGGACTGTTGAACGACTGGGCTCCATACACACAGCCGTGTAACACCTGGAATATTTCAAAAAGGAAAGGGACATCAGATTTAACTCCATTGAGCCTCATTAATAGCCCATGTTCAGCTTTACTTCCCTGATGCTTACACTTTATGTGATGAACACTTATCTTCAATATAGGATTAGTTTTGGGGGAATGTATGCTTAACAGTGTGCTAAGTGTAAGTTATGACCAGGTTAACATTAATAACAGAATGTGAAGAGTGTTGCTGTTATAACAAATACTTGTATGTATTGTATGCAGAGATATTGGGTGGCTGTGGCTCAGGAGGTAAATGGGTGTCTGGGGGTCAACCGTTGGTACTACAACTTCCATATCAGTATGTGACGTCATTCGGCCCAAAAATAATTTGCCCATTAAGAAACATTGGGAAAGAGACGTCAGTAAATTGCATAGTCAGGGCATTCTGGCTCCATGCGCCACTGAGCAACTTTCCTCCCGCCTACGACACTGTATCCAGTTCCCTTTAAACATCCTTTCAGTCAACATGTCAAAATGTCAGCAAATTGCTCCCCTCTTGTTACTCTAGATGGGTTAGGCATTACCTCTACAAAGAGGTAATGCCTCTTTGTAGAGGCATTACCTCTACAAAGAGGTAATGCCTCTAATAAATCCAACTGTACGAGTGTTTAGATTTTTTTTACAATTTAACGTTTTTGTGTGAGTGTTGGCAGAAATGTGTTTTGGAGATAGAGCCGACATCTCTACGGCCGATATCTGCCGCCCTCAGCAAGTCACATCAAAACTCTAAAATTCTAAATTGATAACAAGCACTACATGTTAGAGGATTTAATTGTGATTATCGGTTCAATTGTCCCTTTAATATATGATTTTTCCCTATAGTTTGAAGAGCATAATTGACCTTATGTTAAAGATGATGAGACACACACACACATTCGTACCTTATAAATACAGCTGAGCAGGGTCTTGGTGGGCTGCTCCTTCTCCGGGGGGCTTCTGGTCTGAACGGGCTGGAGGAGAGTCTTTGGAGGCAGAGCCATCACCCAGTCCAGCAGACACAGCAGGAGGGACACCACCAGCTGACACACACAGGCACACAATAAACATACACATGGGTAAAAGGTGAGTTTCTAAGCAGAAAGAGGAATACAGTGAAAGATGGGAAAGTGAATGTGTGTGTTACCCTTTTATCCAGCTCATGAGGAGAAGTCTCGGTAGTAGGCAGCAAGTGTGTGATGGTGGCGATCAGAATCTAAGAACAAATCAAATCAGAGAAGAATTGTTTTTCTACATCAGAACTGTTACAATGATTACTTCTGGTTAGAATTTAATCATGTAAAAATAAATCCAAAAATAAGAAAATATTATATTACATCTGACTTCATTTCTCACTAGATAATCTACACACCTATAATCAGAAACTGTTGGAATACAACTATACGTGTTAAACTGCATTAGATAAATACCTACTACTTGTTTATCTAAGTATTTTTATATACATATATATATCTATATAACAAATAAAGTCTCACCTCTACGATCTTCTTTGGAGTGTCGGGGGGGAATTCCTGAAGATAATCCACGTGGCTGATCAGGAGGTGCAGGATGTCCGACGCCACCAGGGCTACATTCTTATTGGGGTACTGCCAACACAATCAAATAAGTGAGTTCATTCACAGGTTTTTGGAGCAAACGCATTATTTTATCCACTCATTTAATAATATATATGATTCGGGAAACAAGTACTCTAATTTTTGGTACTTAAGTAAAAGTATGAAAGTATTGGCTTAAAAGTATACTTAAGAAAGATTTGAATGCAGGTCTCTACTTGTAATTGTTTTACAATTAAGGAACGCCACTTTTTTAAAGTATAAAATCTGAGTTCTTCATACACATATTTTAGAACAAAACGTAAAAGAATCCTGAATATTTACCACATTCCTTATTTAAGGCATCTAACCAAAAAAAACATTTAAAAATAAATTGACTTTAAAATAATGGAAGCTTAAGAGCTTAAAATGCTAACTCATTCCCGGGTTTTAGGACTCATTCCTGCATCAATCTATAATGCACAACTGCTTCTTAACTGGGGCAACAAATACGTTTGTCATAATCCTATATTATCAAATCGAATTTATTGTGATCCTTTATTCTTGTAATGTATATCCATGGAACTGCCCCCCCCCCTACCTCAAGGAACTCCTCACCCCTCATACTTCCTTGCGGACCTCCCGCTCCAGCAAAACCAACCTCCTCAAACCCCCCAGGACCAAGCTCCGTACTATGGGAGACCGGGCTTTCTGCTCGGCTGCTCCCAGACTGTGGAAGGCTCTCCCCGACCACATGAGAGCACAGACCGTGGAGGCTTTTCAAAAAGGCCTCAAAGCCCATCTGTTCAATAGAGCCTTTCCCTAGACCTTTTATTTATTACTACCCTTTTATTATTTCATTGTTTGTTTTTACTGCTTTTTAATCATTCTACCGTGTTGTGTACTGTTTTTATTTAGTTCCATGCTAAATGCTTGTAGCACTTCGGGATCTGAACTCAGATATGAAGTGCGTTTATAAATTAAACCCATTATTATTATTATTAATGTTATATATTATAAGGGTGTTAATCTTTCTTTTATTTATACAATAGCATGCAGGTCAATTAGTGACAAGAGAAATAAATAACAGATGCTACAATGAGGATTACAACATGGAAACTAAAAATGCTTCTAGATACGAGGAGGAGCGGGTAGCGGGAACAAGACGGCAGGAAGTGGCTCCACATGGAAATATGACAATCCCTACAGCTTTGTTTATGTGTGTGTGATTGTGTGTGTGTGTGTTTGAATGTCACTGGGCCTGTGTGTGGGGCTACTGGCTGCTGGTATGAAGGCAAGAGATGCAAGTGGACAAGATGTGTGCACAGCTTGCAGCATTCCCTCTGGATTAGTGTCCTATCTGAAGGAGGACCAAACATATTGACTGTCCAGGGTTTGCTCCCAGGAGTCAGTGAATGCTAGTGTGTGTGTGTGTGTGTTGATGTGATGTTGTAGCTGGCCATTGGCTGCCGATACACGGGCTAGGGATTCCAAGGTGGAAGAGGTATGTGTGTGTGTCCATCTAGAGCCACTTGGCGGCAGATGAGACAGTGAATGTTGGACAGTGTTTCTGATCCACAGGCCTGAAACAGACAATACCAACTGAGGCAATTTACAAGAAAATGTTTGTTTATCACTCTTTGGCTACACAACACTAGCAATGCAGCTCTCATTGTGTGGTATTAAACCATTGTTTAAAAAGAGGATTGTGAATTACATTCAAGAAGAAAAATATATCAGTATTCGTTTGTATTGGAAGTTTTTGTTATTATAACAGTTTATTAATATTACTAGCTATTGATGTCACACTCGGGGTTTGAATGAGGAAAGGTGTGCAGAGGAAAAATAAAAGTCGTATTTGACTCTCCTTGATGATGTTCTAATTCATTCTTGAGTTGAGACAATGGTGAGACTAAATTGAGCATGGTGGATAATATTGTTATAATTATGCATACAAGAGCAACATTAAAATGTTTTGACATTACAAATATCTGGTCAAAAGCTAAAATATCGATTTAAATATGGAAATATATTTGTATAATGTTTAAAATTATTTTTATAACATAAAATATGATGTTTATGAAGGACAATATCTTGTTTTGACCTGACAATGTATTGTTATCAAATGAAAATATCTTATCATAATATGAAAATACATTTTTGATAATAAACATATGCTGTTTAAATATTCAAATATCTTGTTACAATATTCAAATATTGTGTTTTATATATGATGTATGATTAATATAAAAAAAAAAAATCTTGTTATCATTAAAAGATTATGTCATAATCTTAAAAATATCTGGGTATAAAAAAACAAATATGTTGTTTAATAATATAAAAACGTATTGGATTCCAAATGAAATGCAACCCTTCAATGACCATTAAATAAGCTATATTTTGAATAGTCACTGACCTTCAGAGTGACGCAGATGACATTGAGAGCGTCTTTTATCTGCGGGTGCTGAGTCCCGTGAGCCAGCTCCTCACACAGCCAGATCCCCAGACTGCACAGAGCCACACACCTGAAGGAACACAAACACACTGTGTGAGCATGTGATGCTGTTATACACACACAGTAATAGATAGTCCTGCAAAACTCCACATATATGTAAACATGCTTTACACACGTAGATATTAGGAATATCAAATGTGGAAGCGCCCTAAAGCAAGCCAAGCATAAGGTGGATAACAACAGAGTGAAAACTAGATTTCCCCTTCTGGAATTAATAATATACGTCTTCTTCTAAATGTTGGGGGACTAAAAAATAGAAACACATTTAAATAAAAGCTATCCAACTCTATACCACAAACTATGATATTAAAAAATGAAATATGTTACCTAGCAGGAGCAGAGGGTTCGTCCCTGGCAGAGGTCAGGATGGTTTTGATAATGTGCTCCTAAAAAGCAAAGCATACACAAAAAGACAGTGAATTCACACAATACAAGACATCAGACATATCTACATGCATGTCGCAACTTCTTCTACAGGTCCCACACACAAAGTTAGGTGTGTGTCACAAAGACTCAAACTTGCATTGGTTTTTCAGATAGTGAGAAAAGTGATGCATGGGATTACATCAACTTTCAAACACACTCGCTGGTCCCGTCCCTCTGGTCGCTGCTAATGTCCGCTCAGTGATTCAGAACAAGTATGTGCTTTGTAAGGAACCAGTGAGCGGGGCTGAGGTGCTGCCACGCATGGCATTATCTGTTTACACGGCGACAACAACAATAACAACATCACTGCAATAGCTCTGGACTGGTACAAGAATGAGTAATGAGACATTAACCTAATAGTTTGGTTCTATAACCCCCCGCTGACAGCAGCCTGATGTGTTACAGGGTTTTGACTGACCTGGATTACACACAGAGATGGGGGCAGTTTTAAAGTATCCTGACATGTTAGAAGGTGGTAAGGATATTGTAATGATACAACTTTTACGTCATTACTGTTATCATCTTTCTACCTAGAGAATTGTTTTTGTTTGTTTATCAAAACATTTCGTAGGAACTTTTCCTATAAAGCATATCTTCTTTTATAACAAACTCAGAACCTGTTTGTTACATTGCTTTGTTGAGTACTCGATGCCGATTGGTCAATTTTGAACATTCTGTGGTCTGCTCTTTTCGCTATCAGACCGCTGCCAAGGACAGCAGACTGTTACCAAGGATAGCAGACCACCTTTAAGGACAGCAGACCATTGCTAAGGATAGCAGACCGTTGCTAAGGATAGCAGACCGTTGCTAAGGATAGCAGGCCGTTGCTAAGGATAGCAGACCGTTGCTAAGGATAGCAGACCACTGTTAAGGACAGCAGACCGTTGCTAACGATAGCAGACTGTTGCTAGGGATAGCAGACCGCTGTTAAGGACAGCAGACCATTGCTAAGGACAGCAGACCGTTGCTAAGGATAGCAGACCGTTGCTAAGGATAGCAAACCGCTGTTAAGGACAGCAGACCGTTGCTAAGGACAGCAGACCGTTGCTAAGGATAGCAGACCGCTGTTAAGGATAGCATTTAAAGTCTGTTCAAAATGACAGACTTTAAATGTTGTCCCTTTTAATTTAAAGGTCCCCTATTATACTGTTTTTCATCAATATATTATAGGTCTCAGATATATACAAAACATGTCTCTGAAGTGTTTGGCTCGAAATACCAAACAGATCATTGTAGCATCCCATAATCCCCTCTGTTTCAGCCCTGTTCCAAAAGTGCTGATTCTGGGTTTGTTACTTTAGATGAAAATAAGGAGCCACTCCCCACGCCCCTCTGAGAGATATTTGGTTAAAAAGAACACAATGGTGCTCTAGGAGGAGATTCTAGATTCAACCTTGGTTGGTTATTGGCTAATGGTTACACAAGCCAAAAAAACGTTATGACATCATAAAGTGGCCAAAATCTGATCAGCTCATTTTCAGGTTTTTATATAAATGGATCAGGACAAAAAGAGAGCAAATATTTTTTCAGAATCTCTTTACACAGAGGGGACACATGTTTATGTATAAAATACATGAAAAAGTGGAGTTTGCATAATAGGTGACCTTTAATGAAATTACACTCAAGTTAAATCTCCCAGTCACATAGCCAAGCAAAACATAAACATGGTCAACAAGTCACTAATGTATGGCCGATGCATCGGTTCATCCCTAATTATTATTAGGGGCGTTCACACCAAGTTCTTTTCCCACAATAGTTCATGAGAACTCAGTTCATGATAACTCTTTTAGTTCTGATGAACTAAAGCAGATCGCGTTCACACCGCAATGAGTTCCTGGGGGTGGATTAGGCAAATGAAGCCGCTGACTTCTTCTTCTTCTTCTGCTTTGGGTTTACTGGCAGGCCGCAAACCACTTCACGGCGTATACTGCCACCCGGAGTCCCCGGCCGGAAGTCCCCGGAATTGGGAAGCTGTAGAAGTAGAACAGTAGAAGCTGCTGGGACTCCCAGCAGCTTCTACTGAAGCCTTCCGAGTAAATCGCCAGAATGCAGACACCTCCTCATCTCCACCGCTCCCATGTTTTCTTTTGTGTTGCCATAAGTTAGTCTCTCTGCGTTTGTGCGCTGAGCTAATGCTAATGCTAATAATGCTAATGCGAGGATAATAAAATGGCAGCTTCACAAAACTCTTTTGGGAGTTTTACGGGGCGTGGTTTGCATTCCGCCCAGCCAATCAGACATAGGAACCTTTTTCTCCCACGAAAGTCCCTGCTCTCTAGCAGGGACTGAAAAGGGGGTACAAATGGTTCTGATGAACTAATTTAGTTCAGGGGGCTTTTTGGTGTGAACGCAAATATATCTGAGTTCTGATGAACTATTGTGGGGAAAGTACTCCGGTGTGAACGCGGCTATTGCTACTATCTACCTTGACGTCAGGGAACTTGGTGAGCACCACATCAGCTGTGGTGGGGTGGAGGGCTGGAAGCTCCTCGTAGAAGTTTGGGAAACATACCAGAGAACCCAGCAGGATCTGGGCCTCCACCCTGGGGGCCTGGGATAGAGGAGGAGGGGTGGAGAAAAGACACAAAGATAGAAGACAGAAGGACACAGGAAATCATGACACTATGTAATATATACTATATAATAATTGCTGCATATGAGTGTGATCCTGTTTCTTACGTTGAGCGATGAGCATGCGGTGACTCTTGACGCTGCGATGATGAAGTCCAGGATCAACATGGTGGCTCCAGGGAGACCGATACTGAAGAAGCGGGGACTGCAGTGTTTTATGATGGTGTTCACAATGTCCTGCAGAAACATTATGTTGTTTAAAAAATACAGCTATAGACAGAAAAATATTCTGGCAATAAGTATGTAGTACAGTAGAGAAGACTTTTTAACCTGTTAAGCCCTGAGCCTGTTTTTCAGGTCTCAGGCTCGAAAATGACATTCCCAGAACAAATGACCATATCTTCCCTTCTAAAAGGCTTAAATTAATAATCTTTTTTCTCAAAGTAATGATAAACCTGTGAGTTGGATGTAGAAAAGTCAGAATCAATATAGATGTTTTTTATTTTAAAGAAAATTCAGATTGAACATAGTAAAAAACTGTAAATTATAGTGTCCGTCCAAAAATTTTGTTTTACTTATAGTGAAAACCACCCTTGGATGATGGGTTAGTAGACTAAAAGCTTTAGGAATCCAAAGTACAACATATAATAAATACCCTGTATCAAGATTGATGCAAAACAAGTTACATTTGACCTTTTTAGAGAGATTTAGCAAAAATAAACCACTTCTGGGGTCATTTGGGTGGATTTTCCATATCTCTGGCTTCCCTTGCTCGATTTTGATGGTTGACACCTCTTTCTGACCGTTAGAGCCAATATAATCGAAGGGGGAGTCCCCCTCACACACTCATTGTGAAGAGAAAAGGTGGGGGCTTTGCGCATGTAACTTTCCATCAGAGTGAACCTATCTCTAGCTTTGACATCTAGAAACGGAAAAGCAGTTTTAATGCTTATGGATTATCAGAAATCATTTCAAAGGGACACAGACACATTGGATTAACCTATGGATTAACTTCAGCAGCGTTTTTATCGTTTTAATGCCATTGAAGACCACTTTGGAGAGACGACAGAGCCAAGATAAAAATGTTAGCATTTTTAGCTACCTAGCGTCACCTGTTTTGATGTCCGTTTTTGCTTATAACGTCGCAAATACGTATAATTCAGTGATAATGTCGATGTCAATCGATTCTGTGTCACCTCACGATGTGAATCGATGTGTTGGATGTGGTGAAAAGATAAATAATAAGGTTTTGTGAGTGATTTTCGGTGCAGTAAGGTGTTAGCATTTTTCGCTCGTTGCTGATTCAGAGGCTCAGTGTTAGCATTGTGGGTTTTCTTTTGAAAAAAAAATAAAAATGATCAGTTAGATGAGTTTCTTCCCGTTACATGGATATAAAACATTCATAGTTTTATTAAATGAACATGCCCTCAGACACTGTTTCCTGCAAGATGTTGCGGCAGTGCCCCGGTACCGGGGTCTCTCGGGCTTAACAGGTTAAAAACAAATTGTACTGGACGAAACATAAATACATGTTTTAAAAACGAGACATGCTTTAAGTCAAAATATGTATTACATTGATTTGGCAAAAGGCTCACGACAGATGTTACAAGCAATCAATTTGAGAGGATATCTTACATATTAAAGGCAGAATTTATTTGACAACATAAGGAGGCCCTTTATTAATTATGTTAAAGATTTGGATTTAACCGACGATGAATCTGGCAACTAGTTGCAGTAACAACGCGAGCTTGTGGACTTATATATGTTTTCCTATAAACATTTTGAACCCTTAACAATTAAAGGTGGGGTAGGTAATTTTGGAGAAACCAGCTCGAGTGCGCTAGAATTTGAAAATACACAGCCGGAACAAATCTGCCACTTCCTTACAGAGCCCCTCCTCCAACACACACGAACGCGCACATGACCAATGAGGGCACGAGATAAGTTTGTGCACAGATGGAAGGCTGACAGGCAGGTAGGCCATCCAGTTATTTTAGCCGGGCCGGCTAAAATGATTGGTCGTGCTTTTTAACAGTACTACGGCTTCCACAGATGACATTTTTTTATGGATTTTTTGTCAAAGCACTTGAGATATTCATTGCTATCGGGATGTTAAGAGCATTCCATGGAATATAACAAAAAGTGTATCTCGAGCCGGTTTCTCAAACTTACCTACCCCACCTTTAATATACAGTACTCCACTGTGTACTCGATTAACATTTTTTACTTTTTCTTAATTTCCTTTTGTTTTTAGTTTGTCTCCTGAGTGAATGCAGCAAAAAAAATTGTGATTTAATTTGACCTTATTAATTTAAAAGGCTGTATTTTATGTTGTTATACATTTAAATAAAAATATTGTGGAAAACAATATATATCACAATAGCAGTCATCATTTTTATATTTTTATATTCAGATAAAGCATGTTTGATTTTATATAAATGTTCCAGCATTTTCTAAACTCTTGTGTTTTATGTTTAGTTTTTTCAACATTTCAAAAGGCTGAATTTTTTTCATAAAGTATTGTGGAAAAAAAAAATAATAATATATAACAATAGCAGCGCCGACTAGAGAGCATTTGCACAAACAAATCCCTGCTTGATCTGAATGGGTTTTTTTCTTACAAACTTTGCTCTACATAATTGTTTTGTCAGACAGCCACACACACTCCACCTGGTCTTGGTGCAGCAGTCCCTGATGCATGATGTTGTAGAAGTGTGTGAGGAAGTCAGTGTTTGGGGAAACATCTTGCCGTCTCTTCATGATCCTGCAGATCAGCTTGTAGGCGTGAAGCTTCCCTTGCTTGTAACGCTCAGTCAGCTTGGTGGCCTGGAGGAAACACACACAATAAATACATACGATGATAAACGTATCCATGCAAGATAAGGGCTTAACCGGCCTGGTTCTGGATGCATAACTGTCTCTATGGATGTTTAAACTGTCTTAATGATTTTTAGCAAACAAATGCATTTTGAGTTCTGTTTATCAAAATAAATACATTAAAAACATGGCAAATTCCATCCATCCATCCATCCATCTTCTCCCGCTTATCCGTGGTCGGGTTGCGGAGGTAGCAGTTCCAGCAGAGAGCCCCAAACTTTCCTTTCCCTGGCCACATCAACCAGCTCTGACTGGGGGATTCCAAGGCGCTCCCAGGCCAGCGAAGATATATAATCCCTCCACCTGGTCCTAGGTGTGCCCCTCGGTCTCCTCCCAGCTGGACGTGCCTGGAACACCTCCCTAGGGAGGCGCCCAGGTGGCATCCTTACTAGGTGCCCGAACCACCTCAACTGGCTCCTTTCGACACGAAGGAGGAGCGGTTCAGCTCTGAGTCCCTCCCGGATGACTGAACTTCTCACCTTATCCCTAAGGGAGACGCCAGCCACCCTGCGGAGAAAACCCATCTCGGCCGCTTGTATCCGCGATCTCGTTCTTTTGGTCATGACCCATCCTTCATGACCATAGGTGAGGGTAGGAATGAAAATGGCCCGGTAGACAGAGAGCTTTGCCTTCTGGCTCAGCTCTCTTTTCGTCACAACAGTGCGGTAAAGCGACTGCAGTACCGCTCCCGCTGCTCCGATTCTCCGGCCCATCTCACGCTCCATTGTTCCCTCACTCGAGAACAAGACCCCGAGATACTTGAACTCCTTCACTTGGGGTAAGGCCTCATTCCCTACTTGGAGTGGACAGTCCATCGGTTTCCTGCTGAGAACCATGGCCTCAGATTTGGAGGTGCTGATCCTCATCCCAGCCGCTTCACACTCGGTTGCGAACCGATCCAGTGAGTGCTGAAGGTCGCAGACCAATGAAGCCATTAGAACCACATCATCTGCAAAAAGCAGTGGTGCAATCCTTAGTCCACCGAACTACAGACCCCCTCCCCCACGACTACGCCTCGAAATCCTATCCATGTATATTACAAACAGGATCGGTGACAAAGCGCAGCCCTGGCGGAGGCCAACCTTCACCGGAAATGGGTCCGACTTACTGCCGAGGACCCGGACACAGCTCTCGCTTTGGGAGTACAGAGATTGGATGGCCCTGAGTAGAGACCCCCTCACCCCATACTCCTGCAGCACCTCCCACAGTAACTCTCTTGGAACCCGGTCATACGCCTTCTCCAAATCTACAAAACACATGTAAACCGGATAAGCATACTCCCTTGCGAGAGTAAAAAGCTGATCCGTCGTTCCACGACCAGGACGGAATCCGCATTGTTCCTCCTCAATCTGAGGTTCGACAATCGGCCTGACCCTCCTTTCGAGTACCTTAGAGTAAACTTTCCCGGGGAGGCTGAGTAGTGTGATGCCTCTATAATTGGCACACACCCTCTGATCACCCTTTTGGGGAACCACCACCCCAGTCTGCCACTCCTTCGGTACTATTTCCGACTTCCACGCAACGTTGATGAGACGTGTCAACCATGACAGTCCCTCAACACCCAGAGCCTTCAGCATTTCTGGGCGGATCTCATCCACCCCCGGGGCTTTGCCACTGTGGAGTTGTTTGACTATCTCAGTGACCTCCCCCCGGGAGATTGGTGTTGATCCCCCGTCATCCTCCAGCTCTGCCTCTACCATAGAGGGCAGAGTTGTCGGGTTCAGGAGTTCCTCAAAGTGTTCCTTCCAAAGCCCTAACACTCCATCAGTTGAGGTCAACAGCATCCCATCCTTACTGTACACAGCTTGGATGGTTCCCTGCTTCCCCCTCCTGAGGTGTTGGACAGTTTTCCAGAACAACTTTGGTGCCACCCAAAAGTCCTTTTCCATGTCTACTCCAAACTTCTCTCACACCCGCTGCTTTGCCTCGGCCACGGCTGAGGCTGCTGTCCTTCGGGCCTGTTGGTACCTTGCAACTGCCTCGGGACTCCCCCGGGATAACAAATCCCTGAAGGCCTCCTTTTTCAGTCGGACGGCTTCCCTGACCACCGGTGTCCACCAGGAGGTTCGAGGGTTACCGCCCCTTGAGGCACCTAAGACCTTGAGACCACAGCTCCCCGCCGCGGCTTCGGCAATAGAGGCTTTGAACACCGCCCACTCTGGTTCAATGTCCCCAGCCTCCACAGGGATGCCCGAAAAGCTCCGCAAGAGGTGTGAGTTGAAGGCCTCCTGAACTTGGGCCTCCTCCAGACGTTCCCAGTTTACCCGCACTACACGTTTGGGCTTACCAGGTCTGTCCAGAGGCTTCCCCCGCCACTCGACCCAGCTCACCGCCAGATGGTGATCAGTTGACAGCTCCGCCCCTGTCTTTACCCGAGTGTCCAAAACATACGGCCTCAGGTCCGATGATACGATAACGAAATCGATCATGGACCTTCTGCCTAGGGTGCTCTGGTACCACGTACACTTATGAGCATCCTTATGTTTGAACATGGTGTTTGTTATGGCCAATCCATGACTAGCACAGAAATCCAGTAACAAACCACCACTCCGGTTCAGATCAGGTGGGCCTCCCAATCACGCCCCTCCAAGTGTCTCCATCATTGCCCACATGTGCGTTGAAGTCTCCCAGCAAGACTAAGGAGTCCCCTTCAGGAGCCCCATACAGGACTCTTTCCAGGGTCTCCAAGAAGGCCGAATACTCTGAACTGCTGTTTGGTGCATAAGCACACACAACATTCAGAGTTCCCCCCCCCATAACCCGCAGGCGTAGGGAGGCGACCCTCTCGTCCACTGGGGTAAACTCCAACAAAGAAGCACCCAACCGGGGGCTTGTGAGTATCCCCACACCCGCCCGGCGCCTCACACCTTGGGCAACTCCGGAGAAGAATAGAGTCCAACCCCTATCCAGAAGTAAGGTTCCAGAGCCGACGCTGTGCTTAGAGGTGAGCCCAACCAGATCCAACTGGTAACGCTCCGCCTCCCGCACAAGCTCCGGCTCCTTCCCCCCCAGATACCTCTTTCACACCAACGCAACTCCTGTTCAAGCTCCGTGCTAGAGCTTTTCAGGTTCAGAACCGGTTCTTCGGTTTAGCTCCGGCTCTTTTCACACCGCCCAGAGTCCGACTGGTGCTGCGTCATTGCGTCATCGTTTGCGTCATGACGTAACCGTTTGCGTGCCTGCTTCATAAAGCCAAACCGCGCGGAACCCCTCACAGCTCACACCGACAACAACAACAATGGCCGATTGTGTTGAAGCGCTACTCGTTTTGGTTTTGCTCTGTCGAAACGAAATGGAAGACCAGTAGGTAGCTGGTCTCTTCAGTGGACCACTGCTGCTTGTTAAGTTTCTCCATCGTTGTGTACAAACTGGATAAAACTCGGGCTTTTTGTTGTTGTTCAGGAGTTGATCCCGCCCCTGCTCCCGCCTCGACGTAAGCGTGACGTATGCGGTGCTTTTGCTCTAGCCGGACAATTTTTTGGTGCTTGAAACAAACCGGATTCCGGAGCTAAGAGGCTGCTCCGCTGCGGTGTGAACAAGAAAACCCGGTGCTTTTCAAGCTCCAGCTCCGAACCGGCCCTGAAACACCGTTGGTGTGAATGAGGTAAGAGAGGTGACGTTCCACGTCCCCAAAGCCAGCTTCTGTCGCCCGGGTCTGGTCCGTCGAGACCCTCTGCTTTCACTGCCACCCTTCTGGCAGCGCACCCGACCCCATCGCTGTTTCCCGTAGGTGGTGGGCCCAATTTGCCATGGGAGACCCTACCAGGAACACAATGTTCCAGACAACACAGCCCCCAGGTTCATCAGGGCACATAAACCTCTCCACCACGGTAAGGTGCTGGTTCTTCTTTTCATTTTCTGTTATTGTAATAATGTTCCTAAAATGAAATTTGCAAATGTTTTGATTGTTTTGAAACGTATGTTTCACAGAGTTTGTACATATTTTGCAATAATATTTGACGTCATTGACCCAAAACGATGTCCCTTGATAACTCAAAAGAGGGCTATTTTTTATGAGCTATGCTTTTTACCCTCACGCTCGAACTTACTTTGTGTTCTTGTACCATAACTGTATATATTAATATTGAATTAGTTGAAAATAAATGATTACATTAAATATCAAGGGTCCTGTAGTGATCCCATGGTCAGGCCTACCTTAAAAAGCCAGGGCGTGAGGATTCTCAAAGGCGGGATCAGATCAGGGGGCCGGGGAGACGACTGGTTGTCCAGAGAAATGCCCAAATTATCTCTTATCTGGAAAGAAAACATACATTTTAAAAACTCTTAATAGAAAGTGTCCCATCTTAGTTAGTGATATAGTTATTAGTGTGTGTTGGTTACACACCTTGGCCAGGTTTTGCCACAGTTCACACAGATAGTCGAAGACCTGAGCGTGGATCTCTGGGTCTTTGATTGTGTTGACGTCGCCCAGGATACCCAGCATCCGTCGCCACATTACAGTGGCAACATCTGCGTGCCATCCGGTCAGAGAGCCGCCCGCCATGACGCTGCAGTCCTCGCTTGGGAACTCACTGGTTTCTATAACCAGTCAATGAAAGGATCAGTTAGTGTTGCTCAGATAAAGAAGTACATATTTGAGAGTGTGTGAGTTTTTCTTACCCAGGTCATCTGGAGTCTGCAGCATTGAGTTGTGGAGCTTCTGGTCCAGCTGTAGGTGTGAGTGTGAGTGTGTGTGGTCAGCGTGGTCTGCTGTCAGCGTGGCCGGGGAGGGTGTCTGGGAGCGAGAACCCCCGAGGGAATGCATGGGAGACGCACTTTCAGAACCTGGACAAAGATTGATATATTACACACATGAGGAGAGGAAAAACACATTTGAAAAACTGTCCAGGAGACAGAATTACTTGCTAAATTCAGGATTTACTGGCTAAAATGTAGAGCTGCTTCTGAAGTGATTGAAATGTGAATGATGGGTGTTGAAAATCTGACACTACACCTCATTGCTGGCTTTAAAAGTTAAATTTAGACATTAATCTATAAAAGATATGTCATATTTTTCAGAGAAACTCCCTCTGAAGGGAACACAGGGATTTTAGCCTTTGCAGATAGTTTACATGCACAAAAACCTATATAACACACTGCAGGAACCCCATCCCTAAGCATAATAGGGCCTCTTTAATTTAAACAATTATATATAAATTAACATCCACGGTGTATGATATGTATGTAATGTTTAGTCTGTGGGTGTGGATATTAAGCTTCAAGAGAGATCTCTGAGTGAATACCAGTGACAGTGACGGTGTGGCTGAGGCTGCTGGTCTCCGAGTCGATGTGAAGTGTCGTCAAACTTGCTACTTCGTGTTCGTCCCCGACCCCGCCTCCTCCCAGGCTGTCCTGGTCCAATGAGCTTCCTCGCCCTCCTCCCCCAGATCCACCTCCTCCTCCACCAGCTTCTGAACTGTAAGTGAAGTCTACAACAAAGAACAAAGTTGATCATTATAAAGTTCTTTCTTTGGCTTGCAAGATTTTCAAATCAATGCAAATAATGGACATATATTTATACCCCATAACAGCAACTTACAAAGATTTTTCTTTTTGGATTGACGATTTATGACAAGACCAATATCTGGCCTACAACAGAGTAAGGGCCTGTGTCCACATAGCCCCTTTCTCTTGCGTCAAAGCGCTCAAGGGCGCTGGGCAGCGGCCGCTCCCAGAAGTTAGCCGGTATTCGGTATTGGATATTTAGACATTTTGCAGAAAAAAAGTTCTGTGATAAACACAACTATATAATACTTACACATTATTAAAGGTGGGGTATGTAATTTTGGAGAAACCGGCTCGAGATCGCTAGAATTTGAAAATACACAACCGGAACAAATCTGCCACTTCCTTATAGAGCCCCTCCTCCAACACACACGAACGCGCACATGACCAATGAGGGCACGAGATAAGTTTGTGCACAGATGGAAGGCTGACAGGCAGGTAGGCCATCCAGTTATTTTAGCCGGGCCGGCTAAAATGATTGGTCGTGCTTTTTACAGTACTACGGCTTCCACAGATGACATTTTTTAATGGATTTTTTGTCAAAGCACTTAAGATATTCATTGCTATCGGGATGTTAAGAGCATTCCATGGAATATAACAACAAGTGTATCTCGAGCCGGTTTCTCAAACTTACCTACCCCACCTTTAAGCAAAATAATCACCACATATTAACACCACTTTTACATGTTTTAACTACATGGCAATCACATGACTTCACGTAAAAACAGCTAAGCTAAAGACGGCTAATCTTTGTTGCAATTACGTTTAGTAGTTTCATTTAGCCACTTGTTATGAAGCTCTGTTTTTAAGACAGGTAAAGCTTCTGACCTTTACGGGTGGTGTATTTACTGATGTATTTAATGTTGTAGAACACAATACAAAAAAACGTGTTCACCACAGATCCTGTTTCTGGCATGTAACCAAACCTAAACCAATTCTAAACTGGAACCGGAAGTGCTAAAATGCCAGCTCATTCCCGGGTTTAGGACTCATTCCCTGCACCATCTTATTTATAATACATTCATAACTGTGGACAAATATTAGGGAGATGGGTTCAGAAGTACATGAGATAATCTGCAGACAGATCATGAACAACCAATCAGCGGAGGAAAAAACAAACAAACAACGGGTGTACTTCCTTACTGTCAAACTTGCAGGTGGAGTACTGAAAGGCATTGAAGGAGTCTGATTGGCTGTCTGAGCTGACGACATCAGAGCCACTGGCACTCGCAGGGGACGTCCACTCTGAGGGAACGCCCGGGTCATCGATAGGCCGGTGATCGTCTGAGGCCCGAAATCCAGGACTGTGACCTGCCTCCAGGAGCTCCGGCAGGTCCCGGGGAACCTCCAGGCTTCCTGGGCTGCTGCCACGGCGACCCTGTGTGTCGGAAAAGAAAAGAAGCACAGTTTTAATGTATTTCCCTGTCTTTAGTAAATCACACACTGTTTTTCAATCATCCGCCGTGATTGGTTGCTCTTTTTCTTTTTCTTTTATTTAAACTTGAAATCAGTGTGTTACTCACGGCTGTTCCTTTGGCCCTTAGTCTCTCCTGGATAAACTCATCCATGAGGTCGGAGAAGTTTGGGTTGGTGCTTCCCACGTCACTGGAGACGGGACGAGCCTTATGGACCACCTCCTCTTTGTTAGCTAGAGGCAGATATAGGATGATAGTCAAAGATGGAGAGTTCCACAATACACAAAAGCACAAAAATGATGAAAAAACGTATGAAAATAAACAAAAAAATGAGTTCCATGATATAATCAAGTCTTATTTGCTGATGTTCGCTAAAATAATATATGTGTACCAGAATATCAGGGATAAGATGACATTTTTAAGTCATTGCTGCTGATAATTATATTAAATGTTACAATATCCATACAACAAACGGTATTTTTTGTCTTAAATGTAATAACCGTCCTGATGTGTATGTACTGTCGGCCTTGGAAGTAAGCCAAAAGACTGATTGTTAAATAAAAGCGACAACACAGCAGGCAAACCCACCAGAGAAGCAATGCAGGAGTTAATTCACACCATGCACGGAGAGAGAGATTCACCTTGTTAGGGCCGAACAGGCAGCACATCGGGAGCTACATTAGTGCAGTTATGTTGACCATGTTGTTGTTAGCTTGGTAGCAATGACAGCAGTCAGTGTGAGTGTATGAACTCAGAGCAGAGAGCAGTAAACTATCAGAGCTTTAATACGCTGCCTACTGAACAGACTGATGTTTAAAACCTGAGTCTGATCATCCAGACCTAAACACCAGGGAGTTGATCAATACATCTTAGTTATTAAATCTGTACTCTGCTGCCCCCTAGCTGAGGAAAATGTCACCTTGTTGCACAGTTTCAGTTAAGATTAAAGGAACCTCCACTTGCTACAGAACAAGACAGGCTGCGTTCAAACTCAATATGTACTGAAAAGTGTATTAAACATCACTCAGTGGAGAAGCTAGCCTGTTCTCAAACACAGAGGCTAGTGCAACAATTCCTTTTAGTCTTTTGAGTTGTGGCTGTGTTATTATCAAGAATTAACATTACAGTATATCCCCCTTACAAGAGTAACAGATTACATGTAACAAGATTACATAATCAGGATACCAACAAAAAAAGGTAACTGTATTACCTTCCATACATTTAAATCTTGTTAATAAAACATTAAAAAAAATAGAAATAACTAGCAGGATTACAATGTGGTTTTGTAATCTCATGAGCATAGATCATCCATGTTAGTGCTATGATCTGTGTAGTTGAGCTTATAGAGGACTCCAACTGTGTTCATAGAACTAGGATCAGGCATAACAGTTAGCTTGCCGAGTTTAAGAGGTTTAACACACAGCCAGACAGACAAGCAGACAGTCAGAGCACATCATATCTGCATGGACTCCAGACTGCATGGATCTCCAGACTAATGTGATTGCAAAAATATACAAGTCAAGTTCAATATTGATTGATTGAAAAGTCCTGTTAAATAATATTATTCTACTTTGGCAAATTCCACACATCTGGCACAAAAGTAGACAAATGATAAACTGTTTGTAGGAAATAAGACAGGGGAAAAGGGTCCTTGGAAACAGTGATTCCACATCAAGATAGATTCAGGTGATGAATTGCTGTGCTATCGAACCTGTGATCTTATTGACAAAATCATTTAAACCAAGCTCTGAAGCCAGAGATGAGAACAAGCTGTTGTGAAAATGCCTTATCACGAATCAATTGTGCATTTTTCATGTTGTATAATATCTCATGGCATTTTTTTCGTAAGTGTACACCTATTCTTATGGATTCAAATTCTGTGTGGATAAGTGAGGAATAATAAATATTCTCATAGGTCCAATGCTGCACTCTAGTGGCTTAAGAATGAACTGCATGTTCACATATAAACTAATGTTTGCTACTCTAAAATCGTTATGCTTTTATTACTTTATAAGAGATATACTTTTTTGTTTATGTACATGAATAAGAAAGCTCTGATGGTATATGCAACAAAAACGTTTGCGTGCTTTCTGTCACCTCTCGTGTAAAGACAAGTCTGTTTTCTATTTATCTGAAATGTTATCTTTGCTACAGACAGTCGTGTTTTTTTGTAAACTGCCGTGTCCTCCCATGCAGCTGAAGAGGGGGCCGGACTCTGGGGAGGAGGGCGAAGGAGGCGCGAGGAGGCCGCATGCAACATCGAGTAGAGGGTGGAGGTGGTGGAGAAGAGGGGAATGAAGGAGAGAAGGTTAAAAAAATCCCAAAGCCCTTAGAAGGAAGAGGATAGGAGGAGGAAGGGAGGAGGGAGGGGGCTTCCGAGGTAGAGGAACAGGTGGGAAGGTATGGGAGTAAGGGGATGGGGGTCCTTGAGAGGAGGCAGGCTGGAGGGGGGGCTACGTTCAAGAGGAAAAACATCAACAAGGAGTTTGAATTTCAGTCCAGCAGCAAGATGATGAGTGTCAGCCAAAAAAAAAAAACATCATTCCATCATTACAAACCAGATAAAAAACAGCCAAAAAGAAAAAGAGAGTTGCTGGTGTTTGTGAGTATGTCTTCCCAGAAGTTGTGTCCTTTGTGACGGTTCGTTCGTTGCAACCCTCACCTGTCGTCTTTCGCCCAAAGTAGCCCAGGACGTGGGAGTACAGGTCCCTGAGCGACGCGTCACCCATGGCGGCGCGTCCCTGCCTCTGGGGCGAAGAGCCTTGGGAGGACCCCTGGCCTCGGGGCCGTGGCTTCGAAGACAAAGCGTGGACGACAGACTTATAAACGCCGCCGAGAAGAGCCCCCTGGTGGTGTCGTGAGGCGGTGCTGCCGGGCTCCTGTGAGCGTGAGCGGGAAGCTCGCGATCGCAAGGCGGAGCGTCCCAGGCGCCCGCGAACTCCCGACGACACGCCGGAGAAACCTGAGCTGCTGGACGCCAGCTCTGCGTGAGCCTCGGAGCCCGGGTTGGATCCCGAGCAGGATCCGGGGCTTTGCTTGTCCTTGTCCCCTCCAGTCCCAGTCCAGTTTTCCAGGCCCCCACTATTTGCGGCATTTCCTGACCCGCAGTTATCCGTAAAAGTCCCAGAGGCTGATTTGTCATGCACCCCTGCTTTGTGGCTACTAATCCCAGTCACAGCGCCAAACTTACCTGAGCCCCCTGCTCCCTGCTTTGCCCCTGAGCCCGCTCCAGCTCCGGATACCACCCTCTCCCCGGCAGAGTTGCTGTATGTATGGAAGTGACTGAGGCGCCGCAGCCTGGATTTCCAGTGGGCCTCTTTACTCTCCAAGGGGTTGTGGAACTGCACAGACTCAGTCGAGGGCCGGAAGCTGACATGAACACCACCGGAGTGCCTCTTGGCGCTACTGCGGGACATTTTAGTTTTTGTCGGGTCTGAAGTTTGGGGAGTTGGATTTGATTCGGTGCTGGATTCTAACATGTTAGTGTCAGGTTTTATTAAAATAGACCCATCCTCTTTTTTCTCTTCACCCGTTTCCCTTAATCCATCACATTTCCCTTCTCCTCCTTCTGCTTTCCCTGTACTTCCTGCTCCCTTTTTATCCGCAGCTTGTCTTTCTAAGCTAGCATTGCCCCTAGCGTTGGGTGACGGCCACTGACACTGCAACTCCAGACACTCGTAGATGCTCCGCTCCTCACCTTCATTCTCCTCAGTGGAGTCCACACTGCTGTGCCTCACTGATTGACTTACCTGTCTGTCCTCCCTCACCACCTGTCTCACCTCTCCTGCCTGACCCGTGTATTCCATTTGTGTTCTAGCGATTCCTGTTTGAACTGTCAAAGTTACAACACTGTTTTCTACTACATGACCAGGAACTTCTCCCTCTGCTGATCCTTCCTTTTTCTCATTTCCTTTGTTAGTGAGGTAGTCCCTAATTGAGGAGAATAAATCGTCCTCCTCAACCCCGGCCCCCATTTCCCCTTCCTCTATATCAATCTCTTTTTCAGATGACAAGGCGAATGCTGAATCCCAGTCGCTAACCCAATCTGAACTAGAACCTCTGCTTTCAGAGCCAATCTGCTGCCAGAACTGCTCGTAATCACTAGCATTTTCTGGTCCCTCTGAGGGGGACGAGACAACGCCATTGGACAAGGTTAAAGGGGAGGGGGAGTGGGTGAGGGGTTGTGAGAGTGGACGAGCTGCGTGGCTGTTGACTGCGAGTAAAGAAGAAGTTGTGGAGAGGTGTTGGTGGGGGGGGTTTTGGATCAAAGTGGGATTCGTTTCGGGGTCGTCACCTTTGACCCGCTCGGCGATGAAGGGCTCCATGACGTCAGAGGCACTGCTGCTCCTCGGGAGGGAGGAAGGGGCGGCGGCTTCCAGGTCACAAGCCACTCCCTGGAAGACCTCCGAGCAGGAAGTGGGAGGAGCCTCGTCGCTCTGGGAAGAGTGGCGCATCCGAGAGGAGCGGGTTGTCAGTGTGATTGGCGGGTCCTCGAGGTCTGGGGGTTGGAGGAAGATGGAGGAAGGAGAGTGAGGTTAGTGCAGGGGTATGAGGGAGAGGAGACATGTAAACTCAAATATACACAAACACAGTTATGAAACAAACAAAGACCGAAAAAGACACCTAAAATAAAAGATTGCAAACGCATAGAGCCCAAAACATAAAGCAAAGTAAATATGAATAGTATTCCTTTGATTCTTTGTGGTGGACAGTAAATAAGCACATTTACTCAAATGATGTGCTTCTGTACTTGAGGTAATTTTCCATTTCCTGCTATCAATTAGTTCTACTTCTACAATTCAGAGGTGAATATTCACTTTTTACACCGCTTAACTTACTTAACTCCACCTAACTTAAAGAGCAACTTGCAGGTTGTTTCTTTTACTAGATTTATGCTTAACCTTGCCTGAAAATTACAATTAAAAAAGTGAATGCAGGATTTGATATGTTTTACGAGACATAAGGGCAGGAATTCAGAGGGAAAGGAGACGTTTTGAGCTCTGCTACTAAAAACTGCGTCATATTACGTCACATGGGGGAGCAACTTTCTCGGACTCCTTCTCTGCCCAATCCGCGGTAGTAGTTTGTAGTTGGTTTGAGTGGTTGTGATTTAGTGAGCTGGTGTTTTTTCGGTAATTTTACATTGCATTTCACCATTTTTAATCATGGTGAGCTGATGACCTGTCAGGACATCGAGTCCACAGTTTCCCTAACAGGAAAAGGACTGGAGCTAGCTTTCGTTCCTGGGTGTGTTGTGCGAGGTGCATCCACCTCCCTGCAGCACATACTCTCCACAGCTGAGGCCTATCAAACTAAACGTTTATCAGGAAACCGTATTACATCTCTCTCCCCCCCTTCGCTGCTCTCTCTCTCTCTCCCCCCCTTCGCTCCTCTCTCTCTCCCCTCCGGTACACAGCACCGTAACGCAGCGTCCACACGGCGGCGTGCGTTGAAGCTTGCCGGTGGGGGGGGCGTGTCTGAAACTCGACCAACAACCAATCACATGAATCCCCCGCCCCGGACACACAAGCACGCGGTTGGAGCTTGTACTGGCATATGATTTGACGCCATGTGGACGGGCCGTAACATCCACAGGGCTTGTCCACATGGAAGCAGAAGCTTCAACGCTTCTGCCCATTCACTTTGAATGGGGTGACGTCACGCTTTGTCGAACTGCATTGTGGTAGCGTTGCTTCTGTTTGCTCGCGTTGCTCGCTTCAAAAGTTGAGCAAAGTTCAACTTTTTAAGCTTCGACGGAAGCATCAGCCAATCAAATCATATGCCAGTACAAGCTCTAGACAATCAAACCGCGTGCTTGTGTGTCCGGGGCGGGGGATTCATGTGATTGGTTGTTGGTCGAGTTTCAGACACGCCCACCGGCAAGCTTCAACGCACGCCACCGTGTGGACGCTGCGTATGACGTAGTGTGGAGTTGCATTAGGTAACGCGAGATACGGCTGATACTTGCGCATTAGTTTCTGTTATGGATCAGTATCAACAGTCCTGCCAGTAACGTTACTATATTACTTTAGTTATAGCCTGATATATGATAGCTAACTTTACAATGTTGTGATGTGACCGACGTTAGCTAACATTAACTGTAGCTAACGCCGGTCAGTCACCAAGACAGCTGCCCAGTTCTCCACTGGTTCTCCTCACACCACAGCTCCATTTCTCTCCGATGGCCGTTATTTCTTCTAATCCTTGGCTGCTCCTGGTCTCTTGGCTCATAATTCTAAGGTTGTGGTCCGTCATATGCATACGAATATACATTTTCAACCTCTTCTGTGTCAAAACTAGCATTGTGAACCATGTTTATTAATACGATAGACCGGCCACTCTCCCTGATGTGACGTCACACGCGGGTGGTCTTTTTTTATGCGGAAGTAAAAATGTCTTACAAAAACGACGCCAGATGTCACTGTAGTGTATATTTATGTATCTTTTGGGGAAAATCTAGTGTATACATCATTTTCCTACACATTTATTCACTGGGGTCTCTAACCTGCAAGTTGCTCTTTAAGTTGAATATTTAGATACAGTGTATTGTAAAAAAGTATAATCAACAAACAGTTTAGCATGATTATTTGGGATGCATATTACAGGTTAGGACAAACGTTGATCCTTTGGTAAAATTACTATCCGGCAGTATTTAGACTAGGAAAAATAAGATCAACCAGATGCAACATTTAAGTTAAGTAAAGTTAAGCAGCTATAATCCAACAATAAAATCTAACTTTTGCGTAATAATTTAGTGATAACACTTTACAGTACTTATAGCAGGACATTTACTTTTCAAATGTGGCATTACTACTTTTAAGTAGAAAACTGAGTCCTTTGTCACCTCTGGGGGTTCAAACATTTTAGAATTTAATTTTTATTATATAAAAAAAATTAAATAAAATATTTTGTTTAAAAAAAATAAAAAATATATATATTTTGTATTATATTTTATAATTATATTTGAAGATAATGTAGCTCTTGGTCCTTATTTGATTTAGCCTAAAAGTGAAATCAAATATAAATAGGATTCAGAGCAGAATTGTGGCTGTGATAGCAAACAATAAATCGCATTTTGGATTTGTACGGAAAATATGTTAAGCTTATTATTTGACTGGCCTGTAAAAACATTTGCTATGTCAATTTGGCAGTTTTCACTTGGATAGAGTTAAAAAAAAAGGCAACTTTTAGAGAGCCTGAATGATCTTTTAGACCTCATGACAAAACGCACACAAAGAATAAGGAAAATCATAGTTAGAAAATGAATCGATCAGAAGACATGATAAAGTAAAAGCATCACCATTGCATACAAAAAAGAAGGGAATTGAATAAAATGCCATCCCAAGAATACAAGGCAAATGAAACTTCACACACATCTGTAATAGAGAACTCAACGAAGAGGGCGTAGAAACAAAGTTGATATAAATGCTTGTCATTTGAAATGTACGCAGGCAGCAGGTTAAAGGACAGAGGGACATGCATGTGAGCAGGCAGGTTAGTCAAATGTGCAGGGGACAAGCAAGCAGACTGGAACACTGGCAAGTTTCATGCATCAAGTCAACAGAAACAGAGACATACACAACCTATGTTCATCTACCTATAAAATCAATCATCATTTATATCACTGTCAATCAAAAACAAATGATTTACTTGTATTTTTAGGGGGGAGATAATACAAAAATATGTAGTGTTGTAATATATAATTGAAAGAAAAACTGGTAAGAGAAATCAGAGGGCTGTTTATTCTATTATGAAATCATTTTTGAATTATTGGCTTTAAATCAGAATTGTTTTTTACACTTATCTGAAGCATTGACAAAGCTGCCGTCACAGAGTGTGAATGTGTACTACACAGGGCATTTTCTCTCTGCTGCTATCACACTGTGAGCACTCTCTGCTCCTACAGTGGTGACCCTATGCACTGTCTCTCACTCCTCAAGAAACTGGGCGTGGTTCAGAGAAATGCCTTTCCTTAACAAGTGCAGACTATTGTCATGGATTAGATGTGCTGTTGCTCACTTGCTAACTGCTAACAGCTTGTGCCCATTTCTCCGCATTGACTGGAAATATAAAGTTCCTCTGCTTTCTTGGTCCAACTTGGTTATGTGATTTATTTGTGATTCATTATTTTAGAAAAAACAGTTATTGCATATCTTTAACTACCAACTGCAGATGTCATTCTAAAGGGTCGTCAAGGCCATTTTTTATTCTCTCATTTGGCAAAATTCAAGTTTACCACCAAATGCTAAAACAAAGACATACAAAATTGGGGAACTGTGTAGAAGAATGGTTAAAAAGAGTATTGAAAATAAAATAACTATGATCATCCATATTTCACATGCAAACTAAACAAAGAGAGTATTTCACCAGAAAAAGACATATTTGATGTTAAAGCATAAAAGAAAAGAATCACACTGTAACAGGTCCAAAGGGGAAGGACTTTATGATTCCATGCAAACTGTTCCACTAATGAAACAAATCAAATCGATAGAGACGAGAGGACAGACATCAAGTTTCAATCTCTGACAGACGAAGAGAACGCTTCCAGGCAGGCAGGCAGACAGGCAGTGCAAAGAGAGTGTACCTGCCAGCTGGTCAGCAAGGGGGGGTAGTAAAGGGTGGTGGTGGTGGAGGAGGACAGGAAGAGGCGGAGCCAGAGTGGGAGCACTCTTAGCACTGCGGATAAAGGCTGAGGACAGCAGAGAGTCCCCCGTAGAGCAGCTACGCAGCGCTGCAAGAGGGGGGAGAAGAGACGAGGAAGGGACAGAATAAAAGGGGGGAGAGTGTGAGACAGGAGAGGAAGTAAATGAGAGGAATGTTGAAGAGGTGAGGGGACGAAAAGTGGATGTATGGGCGAGGATGGGAAAGTGAAAGGGATGAAAACATGACCAGAAAATAGAGATTTAAATATAAGAAAGATGACGGTTAAAGGGAGGGAATAGAATGAAACAGGGAAAGGGAAGGATCTGGAGGGAAGACGGGGGGAGGCGTGGCAGCTCGACGCACTACAGCTCATGTCTCCTCTTAGAACCACAATACTCCACATTTGTCAGACCCACTGTTTACTTACAGTCACAACAACATGCAAGTCTGACCAAGTCTATGAAATATACAGTTCAATAGTCAACTGAAGAAATGTGACAAAACAACTGCAGCTCTGCAAGAATGTTGGTTAGCAGACGTGGACTCATTTCCTACAGGAGGAGTTAGACTGTTAGACATGTTAGACTTTGATGCTTAAGCAAGGAAAGAATCTGCAATTCTGCAGCCCTGACAGTATGCATACCTCATGTCCATTTCAGCAGGAGGATAAAAAAGTGCAGATGTCCCGTCAAATAATAATAACTTTAGAAGGAGAAGCCTTCTTAAATACACTCAGGAAAGAAGGGCCACACGTGTGCCTCAACACTTGCACAGAACAGTGCCTGAGAGCACTAATAGTCGACCAAACATTAGTTAGCTAAAAAGGTCTTAGTCGAGCAATTTTTCATTCATTTATTAGTCGAAGGAAGAAAAACGTCCTCTGGGCGTGTGCTTTGTCACGTTTGCTGGAAAACCACCCACACTTAATGTGGGAGCTACGCCTGGAACATTAAGGTATTATGTCAGGCAGGGAAACCATAGTGTGAGATCATTTGAACGTTTAAAGGACGACCTCGAGAAGGTGACAAGCAAACTGCAAGCAAAGATGTGCCTTCCAGGTCTAGCTGTCGGAGCACACCTTCTTAAAAGCCGGCTTCATTTGTGAACGAGACAAAGAACTCACTTATTCTCGACAATGGTTAGTTCTTTCTCATAATATGAGAAGAGTGGCATCGTAGGAAAGATTCAAGTTTTCATTCCATGTTGAGGGCTTAATGTGAATCGGCATTTTCTTCCAACAAGTGTATTTCATTGATTACATGTTAATTGATTTAACGGTGTCCTTGCTGCTTGTTTCGACACACATTAACTATTCAAGCGATTCTGCAGTTTGCTTTGTCGCTAACAGCTTGTGCTACGTGACTCAAATGGGCTATGTACGTGTAAAAGCCTTTCACGGAAACCTTTTATGCGAAGACAAAAAATGTTATTAATATTCCGATTAAACGCAAAGACTAGTCGATTAATGGCTTGAATTGACTGGTCGATGGCAGCCCTGATAGCACTATCTTTTCTTTAATCTCCCCCGCAGAAGGTCAGAGGTGTGAGGGGAGAGATACTGACCCACAGTCTTCTGGCGGACGATGCTCCGGGCCTTCTCGATGCCAGGTGACCCGGCGGTGGTGGCGCTGCGCTGCCTCATGGCCACCGCCTGCACCGGCTGGTCTCTGCTCCAGCCTTTGGAGAAGGAACGGTCTGGAATCTGCCGCTGACCCTCTGAGCCAATGCCTGGTGGAGGAGAATGGAGAGGGACTTCATTTCTCTATGCACACTAAGTGTTACATATGTAATGACATATTTGACATCTTTCTGTAACTATGCACTGATATTGTGTGTAAAGAAAGTGTGTAATGTGCAGATGAGATTAGGTAGATAAGATTTGTAAACATTTACTAACATACAGTACTTTGTTACATTGCACCACTGCTCTCTAATGACTCACTGACCTTTTCCTTTATGCTTCTTCTGTTTCTGTTCACTCAGTTTGTCCAGAGGCAGCTCATTCAGATCCACAGTGTAAAGGTTCCTGGCCAACACCTGAGACACACACACACACACATTTAATGTTACATTACTGATTCAGATGGCAGCAACAGAACTGGTGTGGCTTAAACTACTGCTCAAGGCAAAAAGCTTTCTCATGCAGAGGAAGAATGTTTTCATAGAGTAAACATTAACCAAAGCATGTGAGGAAAGTGGTCAGGTCGGACTTTTTTCTCAGCATTCTGACTTGAAACTGAATAAGAACAGAGCGCATGCCGTCACATGGGGCCGCCTGGAGAAAAAGCGTTGCAGCTTCATTTCAGAGCGCCTCGCCTTTTTAAAAAAAATATATATTTTGACCTTCAGAAAAGCACTGGTGACGTCACTGTAGAAATTGGTGGAGAAGCTTGTTTTTGAGACAAAAACAGTGATAAAAAAAGACAGAAAACCTGTTTGCTGTAGCATAGCAACCGGTAGTGTTGCTGCCGGTGAGTGTAAACTAAAGCTCTTTCAGACAACGTGTGAGAGCAAATATCTAATGAAATCGTATCTGATTAACTTATAACCATACCCAGTTTAGGCATACATCTGGAGGATAACATGGCCGAGACCACTGTAGTACCTTGGTGAGCGTTTCCATGGTGAGAGACCACTCAGTGACCAGCTCGTCCCAGCAGGTGAGAGAGGAGAGGACGGAGAGCAGGTCGTCCCACAGCTCTCTGCTGATGTACACGTTCAGATTCCCCTTGATCCACGCCACGATCAGCGTCTGAGCACAGAGAGGACAGAGAGCCTCATTAGGAAAGGCTGGAATCCAGCGTTCTACTCATTGAAACTCAATACAAGTCTTCTCGGCACAATTAAACCTAATTTACCTCAAAAACATGTTTTTCTTTTTGGTAAAAATATGTGTACCTGAAAGATGGGTCCGGCCAGCCTGCCTGACAGCGTGTTGTTCTTCTTGCCCTGAGGCATGATGGATGGAGGCCTTTTCATCACAGACTCCGTCACCCTCAGCATAACCAGTAAAGCCTGCTCCCTGTAATCAAAGAACACTATTCATTCATATAAAGTCATGTAGATCATTTCTTTACCTTCCCAGATTTCCCCCAATAAGATCGCATTTTTGAAACGTATTTGAATCAAGACATTAAATGTTTGTGTTGTCGTCCCTGTACAAGATCTTTTTAAAGAATTTTTGCACAATTAAAAATACACGCACATAAAATACAAACAGTGCAGGAACAGGCAAGAAAACCCATTTGTCTTTTTTGGAACCTGAAACAGTGTTAAAAATCCCAATTTATAGGAAAATACAAACAATAGCTCAAATGAAATGATGATGGAAAAACAGGAGGTAAATCATCTTTCAGGTATTTCTTTTACCATGTTTTCTGGTCCATGGTCTCGTGCATGACGAGGCTGCGGTAGATGTTCAGGACGCGCTTGCACATGTCCACGTGCTCCTCCAGAAGGATCTTGATGTCGTTGGCTGGCTCCAGAAGGAAGACGTTGGAGGAGTGGGTGATGAATACCTGAGAAGGAGACGAGATACTACAATTAGGAAATGTAACAACTTGACACTGCAACGATGAGACTGAGAATGTGTGTGTATGAAGGGATGTGTGTGTGTGTGTGTGTGTGTGTGTGTGTGTGTGTGTGTGTGTGAGGGACACACCTGTAGTGTGGTCTGAACTCCAGCATGGACGCTGTACTCCAGCAGTTCCTCATCCACTGCTCTGTTCATTCCCTGAGGGAGAGAGAAGAGAACACATTTAAAGTAAGATATAATGACCTAACCACATTCAGGCATTCACACACATTCTCTGTGAAACACATTTTCTATCTTACTAAATATATCATTTGTGAAAAAATTATATTTAAAATTGGGACTGCACGCCACCTCCAGTGTTAATTGAAGAAATGTAAATGTTAAATATTTCTCGTTTTTGAGTCAATAAAAAAAGTGTAAGGTTAAATCTTAAACAGTAAGCAATATGTACTTTGAGTATAGCTGACACAGGTTTGCTAAGTAACTTTAATCCCTTTTAACCCTAACCCACACACAAAACAGTTTTTATTAAAGTGTTTGCTCCTTTTCCACAATTGACTCTTCTTACTGTGTTTATCTACGGCCCATTTAAACGTAAGCAAATCCCTTGTGTTTGTTACCTACTTAACCCAACTCTGAATCAGAAATATTTTCTTATTTGTGTCCCCTTCCCCCCTTCCCCCTTCTCTCCCAGACACACTAATACAACTCGCCTCGTCCTCCTTGTCTCCGAGCTGGGAGCCTGAGTCCAGGCTGCCAGTGGGGGGGTAGGGGCCCTCCTCCGGCTCCTTCATGAACACTGGCCTGCCCTCCATGGCGATCCACTCCTGGTAAACACGCACCACTTTACGCATCGCCGCAGCTTCACACATGGGGAGGAGGAAGGCCTATAGGTGGAGAAAGAAAGATGTGACTTGAATGTGGCCATTAAATCCACCTGATCTACTGCAGCCATATGAGGACATATCTCAGACCCCTTTGCTCAGCACTGCTTTGTAATCAGCTTTCATTTGATATCAAATTAAATATGATAGTATTTTCAATGTAACTTATTGTTATTATTTGACTTTTTTTCTCTCGTTTAAAATGTAAGGCATATGATAAGACCTGTTTCTTTATTTGGTTTTACTTGTATTTTTTGTAAAATATGAGTTTGTATTCTGAACGAAAAGACTTTGGACAAAAATATCTATAAGTAATAAGTGTTTACATTTAATTTAAATGTACTGCAGACACAACCTAACATTTAAGATTGAAATCATAGGACCCTCCCCACTCCCTGAAAAGGTTTCTTTTCTCCTTCACCTGTCTAAAGATCTCGGTGATGAAGTTGACGTTGGTTCTGGAGGAGGTCAGGACCCTCCTCACCACCTCCATGTCCGTGAGCTGCTCTTCATCCATGGAGCAGAGCGAGGAGGAGCTGGGCTCTCTCTCCGTCAGTGTGGAGGTGTTGGAGTGGCTTTGTTCCGGCTCGCACCCGGACCCCAGACCCCCGGACAGCCCCATGCTGCCCCCGCCCGACCCAGACAAGCACCCGCTACTTTCCAGGTGGGCGTCCAATCGGAGCCCGCCTCCGCCGCAGTCCTCAGAGCTGCCTGCCGAGCGAGCCGCCAGTCCTGCTGCTGCACGCTGTGGAGGGGGCGGGACAATACAGCGAAATCAGAAAATACTGTCCTTTGGAAATGTTTTTAAAAGTGACTTTTTGTCATATTTTGCTGTTGTGTAAATATCGGACAATTTGATATTATTTAATATCCTTTTCACCGAACATCACATGGATCTTTTACATTGGCAGTTTACACATAGTCGTTTTTTCTCAACAACAAGAAGTGAAGCCTTTAAAATAATGATGATCTAATATCAGTGGAGGTTCAACAATAAGTCAAGCTGGAGTCAAACGTGTCTGTAAATACAGTAGAGGGAGAAGCAAAGCGTGTGCAAAGCTGGCATCAAAGCAAAAGCGGGCTACTTTGAAGAATCTAAAATATAAATCATATTCTGGATTTTTTTTAACAGTTTTTTGTTAACTAGATAATTCCATATGTGTTCTTTCATAGTTTTGATGTCTTCAGTATTAATCTACAAAGTAGAACAAAATGAAAATAAACAAAAACCATTGAATGAGAAGGTGTGTCCAAACTTTTGACTGGTACTGTATACAGGACCTTGATTCATCTGGGTCATTGGACATGTGCAGTGAACCATTGTAGGCACATGCTTTCTATCAGCAGAGTGTGTACAGTGTGTATGAACCTGTATGTTCTTGGGGACGTTCTCCCCCTCTGTTCCCGGGATGTGTGTTTGCGCGTTGGGCCGCGGCTCCAGCCAGAAGGAAACCAGCCAGCGGATGAAGATGACCCGGGCCTGGAGGAAGCTCTCCTTGGTGCAGTACACCGTTTCCCCCCCGTCCTGCTCCCTGCGCACCACGCTGTAGTAAGGCTTAGGACGCATCGGGGGCACGTCTGTGGGGCGGAGGAGCATCTTTAGTTATGCTATCTATGGTTACAATAATACAACGACACTATTCAATGTGTTCCGATGCACTGTGGATTTATAGTGTCCAGTCGTTTTGAAAGAGATATTACAGTTTGTTTGAAGCGGAGTTGTATGATGTACTAATTCATATTCAGTGTATTACCTGGAGTATAGGCCTATACAGATAATCAGATACAAAGGTGTAATAACAGTGAAACATGTGTGTAACATGAGTATAAGAGGTATAACATGGGTGTAATACAGGCGCAATATCGTATCTCGGAAGATGCAGAGTGTAACTTGAATAAAAATAGTAAATAATACATTTTCCAAAATATCTTCATGTGCTTACTGATTTAGGGGGAATTAATTAAGTGTGGAATACAGTTAAAATATTTTAACAGCCAAATCTTTTGTGAGACAGTTTTTTCTTTCCAACAAGGATGGAAGCTGTTATCTATGCTCTCATCAAAGCCACCAGACTGAAAACTGTCAATTTATCTTGCAAAATATGGGAGTTGCTGGCTTACCGCCTCATTGGGGTTAGTTACTTTTGTGTTAATCTGTGAAATGGTGAATCTGGACTAACCTTAGTCACACATTAACACAAACAAAAACAATTGAGTTTGGTGGCTTTGAGGAGACTATATATATGGTTCCCCGTCAAACACAAAGACTGTATTGCTGCTTCACCACAAGGTCAAGTGTTGTCAATTTTCTGAATATAGCGAACACTTTCACTGTTATTGACATTGACATAAGTGCCTCATACAACCAGAGTTCAAAAAAATATAAACTGTCCCTTTAAGAGCTAATGTAACTGACCCAGTATGGGGTTGTAAAGGCTGGTTTCCATGGCGAAGTTGGGAAAGATGTGAGGAAGGTAAAACTTCCTGAAGTGACCGAAGAGGAAGCTGAAGGCGCGTTCATGGTTGTCTTTGCAGCGCCACTCGAGAGACTTGGCCTGGTGGACACACAGACACACACACACACACAGACAAACAAGCTTGTGTTATACAGAGACCATGACGCACACTAATCAGGGTCAAGCGGGAAGAGCACCATTGTTTTTAGAAAAGAATGTTGTTATCAGTGTGTGTCTGTGTGCATGATAGCAGCAGCAGGAAGAGGAAATACAGAAATAAAGTCAATAAGGGATGACATTAGTGTTAAAGGAGTTAGTGATACTAGTAAGAGATTAGAAGAATACTTCCCTCTACCATCAATATGATAAACATCAGTAAATAATAGAGATGGGAACAATTAATCGAATATTCAAAATAATTCAGGTATTCGAATATGAGTTATGAATATTGTTATTATAATTTTTTATTTTTTTTTTTTTGGGAGGGGTGCCGAAGTTGATTACATATTATCAAATGGAATAATTCAATGTATACGACAGTGCCATAGCTAAGTGTGTTAGGTCTAAAGGTGTGTTTTGCTCCGCTCACCGGTCCCTCACAGCGGGCAGAGCTGCAGGTGCTGATCTCTCTCTCGCGTCCGGTTATACTTCACTCGCGTCTATGTCCAAATCCATCAGATCTAGCTAGTTCTAGCTAATGATATGGCTGCTGCCCCTCCCTACACGCAGATCACGCAGACTCAAACCTCATCTTATGCCCAAATTCCAGCTGAGAGGGTCTTCTCTACAGCTGGCCTGATTGTGAATCACCTCCGCACCCGCCTCTCCCCCGAGTAGACATGCTCATATTCTTAAACAAGAATGAGTATTGAATAGCTGCATTCTGTGCAGAGGCCCTGTTACAGGTTGTTGATCTCTGTTGTAATAGGGTTACGTTACCCTAACCGGTTATGTTGTTCGTGTATGATCCCTCTTTCATTTAAAAACCAAGTTATGTTTTAAGCATGAAAGCTGTAGGCCTATAGCTGTCAACTGTTCAAACTGTGATCACCAGTTCAATACATTTGACAAATTCGACTTGGTTTCTATACTTATTTGAACATGTATTTATTTACTTTTTCAAGGTTAGGGTTTCCCACATTTTTTTTTATAGGATATGTACATTTCGGTTAACCGTTTTTTTGGGGGTCGAATATTCTAACATACATTTGCTTTCAAATTCCCATCCCTAGTAAATAACAGACCTAATAACTGCTTTTCCCGTGTATTAGTAAGGCATTACAACATGTTCAATGGTGTAATTTGTGTTAGTAAGGAATGATGATAATACCTGGTTTACCATGTATTTAAGTAGCGCTTCTAAAAAGTAAGCGGTGAGGTCTTCCTGGTTCTTGTCACCTGACTGGGGGGGAACCAATGGGGTGATCTCTTCTGGGGTGACCTGAGCTGTAGGAGGGAAACGGGGTCACTTTATATTCATAATACAATGAATACTGCTGAATGTGAAGTCATATGTCTCTGTGTAGAATCAATGTATGGGGATGAAAATAGTGACCAGGATATCAACGATTTCTAGGAGCAGTAAAAGACTTGTACTAACTCTCTGTTAGACTCAGCGGGGGGTTGATCAGAGTGTCCAGAGTGCGTGGGGTCCCGTGGCAGAGTGGAGCCGGGAAGCCAGGAATCAAACAGGCGAACATGCAGAGCTGCTCCCGCTCGGCATGACTCTGCAGCGCCTGCATCCACAGCAGGAACAGGCGCACGCCCTCACGACGGATCTATAATGTAGACGAGAAGAAGATCCAGATTTTACTTGCAGCATTTACTCATTCATTTTTTAGTAAGACTTTCAATTAAAAAGAGTCGTCTGAGGAGGATGTAGGGGCTGTGACAGAGGTAATGACGGGTCAAAGGTGTACCTTCAAAGAATTCCCAGTGTGCAACAGCTTCTTGAGGATCAGCCCTGAAGAAAGAAACACATGTCAGCATTCAATTACAGTAAAATGGCATAAAGCTAGCCAGCTCTAAAACCACCAAAAGCTCATTTTGCACACGCTTTTGTTCTGGTGAAACATCTGTGTTCAGTTGAATACTTGATTCTGATTGGCCAATACGACATACCAGAGGTTTGTTATTTTTTAATAGCAGACCACTGCTAAATAGGATGCTGCGATCAAGGGACTAAGTGCAGTCATATCAATCCACGAAAAAGAGGTCTGGTCAATTCACATCAGCGGTGGCCCAAAAAAAAAAAATCGGAAAACTCAGTGGAATACTTTTAAATATTCGTTTTTATATTTGTGGAGAGCAGCTTTGGAATTATGATGGCTAAACTATCCCAAGTAAAGATAGCGCAAGTGAAAAGAGAGGTTAAAGACAGAGAGCTGGACGTCAGAGAAGTAAACAGTAGAGGAAGACAGACAGGAAGTGAACACTAAAGGGAACACACTATGGGCTCTGGCAGTGTCTAAAGACTGGTTAATGGAAAATAAAATGGACAGACTTGGAAAGTTACAGAAAACCTCAATCAGTGCTGCCGACATTTTAAGTAACGCTGCTGTCGCCCCAGTTCCAGTAGTTGGTACGCAGTAGAACAGACTATATTTCTTAGCAGAAGCAACACAATAATCTTTTAACCAATGAAATCATATAAAATGAATATTGCAGGTCTTTAGCACATAGCTGTGTAATAAGCTTACATAAAACCCATACCAGCACTACTAATCCTTCGGGGTGTCGGTGAAGCTAAGCAACCCGGGCAATAATATAACAAACATGCAGGATTACAGGACAACAACAGCGGCACTCTGTTTTCTTCTTCTGCAAAGTTTAGGTTTGTATCTCACATTACATAATATGACCCATATACTCTAACCAAAACTAGTTGACAGGGATCTGATCTGCAGCACACATTCTGCACAGCTATGTATGTAGCGGGTTTGAAAGGGTTGTGGGTGCTTGTGTGCGAGTTACCGATGCTGTGGAACTGCCATCGGCTCTGGATTCGCTCTGGCAGGAGCTGGAGGATTTTCTAAAGGAAAAGAAACATTTTGATGTTAAGGACCATCTTTTTAAGATGACATTTTGTGCCTTTATTACAGAGACAGATTTGAAAGGGGGAGATGGAGAGGATGACTTCAGTGAATGGTCCCTGAGTCGGAATTGATCCTGTGCCCATTATGTAATGAGCGTATTTATTTACTGCTGTCCCATTGATTTATTTTTGATTGTATTGGTTGGTTGCAAAAAAATCCATATTAATATATTTGAGTCAGTGTAGGATTAAAAAGTATTATTACACGGCTTAGTTGAATACTTAATTCTGATTGGTCAATTTGTTGCATTGCTATCACCACAGTTCCAAATGTTGCTACTAGAACTCACAATTGATAGTGCAAGCAATACGATCATTGTAAAATCAATAATATCATGTATATGATTGATATATACAGCTATGCTGCAGCTAGCTGGTAATTATATGGAAAGGAAACCCTCCTTTATTTCCCTATGATGACTGGATCACTGTAATTATCCCTTATTTCATCATTGTAATGTTCTATTTTATTGTCCATCTTTTTCCTAACTAATGCCTCTCAGGGGAAACCTTGAATCTTTTGTTCAAGTACTCACTGTACTTGCCCAGCCTTGTTTTGAGTTGTGTGGGGCCAAATGAAGGTCACACATACTGACTGTGCTATCTTATCCCGGCTACTCTAAGCTCCACCACCCAGTCCAGTGCAGCTGAATGCCAGCGCTCTCAGTCTGAGGTCAGAGTCAGCTGGTGCTGTGGTACTGACCAACAGGAAGTCAGAGCTCCATTCTGAAGTCATGTTGCCTCTTAGAAACAGTCTTCTCTGGATTTCTATTTTTAACACAGTCTACTAGGGGTCTCTCAATCTCTCAAAACAGTATTCACAACCATAGAATGGTGAAGTGATTACGTTTATTTGTAGGCCTACCCATAAGTATTATACCATCATAGCATCACAAAGGCTAACTAGACACAAAAGTAAGGGAATTTATAAATATTGCAGAAAAAAGATCTTTGGCTAACAAATGTTTATGACACTTACACTTTTATGTTTTTAGAAGTGTAAATGCAAACACCAGGAGTAAAGAGCTATGGTTAGGCTATAAACAAACTACATCACAGTCACATAGAAATACTTTACCTCGAATATGAAGAGAATTGAGTCCAGTTCCTCCCTCTGAGACTTGTGACCTGAAACACACAGACTAACTTGAGAACAAAGCACCGTGATCGAGTCTTAATAGCAACAGAGCATTGCCTTACTTCTAAAAGCTGACCAATCAGAGTACATCGTGTTGAACGTGAGTAAAACGTACCTTTTTGTTTGAGGCTGACCTCAATGGTGACAAAGTTCTCGAAGAACACATAGTAGATATGCGAGTAGTTCAGGTCGAAGAACTGTTTCAGCTCTGACGGCTCTGCGTTCTCTGGGAAATCAGAGGGGAAATAAAGATGAAAACTAACAAACATTTAGTGAAAAACGCAGGAGACCACCAAGGTTAACTCCAAACTGCACATTCACTTTGATTCCTCTAGAATCTTTTTTCTATTCGATCACTCTTATGACATAATTCTGACAATGTTCTGAAGCTATTATGACTTTAGTCTGACAGATATGTGTAATATGTAAGTAGTGTGATTCTAAAATCATTACTTAAACCAGTTTAGTCTAAAGCAGAGGTTTTCAAAGTGTGGGAAGGTGAGCCTCCCCTCAGACAACATAAGAACAGCCGCGCCCCCCCTCCCAATTATTATTGCTATTATTATTATTGTTGTTGTTGCCTATAATGCAGGGGTATTCAATTGCACTTCAAAGAGGTCCAGTGAGAGAACATGTCATTATGCTCTGTTTTCTCTGTCTACCTTTCTCTTTATTGAGCACGCCATTTGAAATGACTCCGACTGTTTCTCTCTTCTTGTCTCGTCTCTGTGAGTGTGTTTGAATCCATCGTGCTGACTCACTGACTGCCGATTTGATTGGCTGAGTAGAGTCACCTCCTTAAAACATTAAACAATAACTTTTTTAAACCTTTTTATCTTTATGTTTTAAACATATTTGTTTTAGCATTTTCAACATGGTGGATAAATCCTTATATGCTCCCGGCAACACACTGAATGTCAACCTTGCCTCCTTATGACTCTCCCCTACTTTAGTGAGAGCAATGAGTCTGCGTCTTTGATGCACACAGGCAGATGATGCAGGGATGCAATGCAGACAGGAATAAACGCAGATCATCCTCTGGCTGCAGAATTTTTTTCTCACGCTGCGCCTCCCCTGAAGCTCTCTGGCGCCCCCCTGGGGAGGCGCGCCTCACACTTTGAAAACCGCTGGTCTAAGGTGCTGTTTACACAGGAACGAAACGGGTTTTATCCGCTACTTTTCTCTTTCGTATAGCCCGTTCGTTCACACGAGGCCGTAACGGAAACGCGGAAACGGACCCCTAAATCGATAACGGGTCCCAAGGTGGATAGATCTGCGGACGGAACACTCTGAGGGGCCAAACCGCTCCGTGTGTACGTCCTATACGATCATTTTCCTGATAACGATTAAGCCATAGCCCCGCCTCTCCCCACCTCTGCTGCTCACTGCTGTAGCATGGTCAGTAGCTACTGTCAGTAGCTACTGCTACTGACCATGCTACAGATGTTAGTGCAAAATCTACAGCTCCTCTACCACAACCATCAGCAACAAGTGGACATGGAGAATTACATGAACTACATGTTGCTAAATCCACCGCGGAGAATAAAAAGAAGGGCAACCAGGCAACCACGGCAACCATGCTCGGGGGTCTTCTTCGCTGCTTTTGGTGTATTTTGTGGCGGAAGTACAGCGCCACTTACAGGCCCGGCATATGTACTACAGCGTCTTCAGCGGGTCGAGCGGTCTCGTGTGAAGGGACACGTTTATTGAGCCGTATCCGTGTGAACGCAAGACTTTTTTTATATCGAATTCGGTTCGTTTGCGTTCCCGTGTAAATGGGAACTAAATTATTTAAATTTAGAAGTATAAACACAGCTACAGTCTTGTAAAGACTGTATTTCTGACTTCTCACCACAGGAAACATATACTTGAGCAACGTGACCTCACTGCAGCATCTAGGTTCTCTAAACACACTTGTGAAATGTCAAACTGTAGTGATAAAGACTCTGTATAAAGAATGACAAGTGTACCTATTGGTTTCTGGAGATAAAACACACTACCACTACAACCACTATGATAGTTTAGAGTCAAAAGTCAAAGAAATACACATTAGGAAATAGACTATTCATATAAAAGTGAAATGTTTCGCTATTTTACATTATATTGCACCCATGCACAATCAGGGCCTATAAACATGCATTAGAGGGAGGGGGTTGCCACACACTGTACTTGGTCGGATCGGGACTTAACCCGGCAACCCTCTGGTTCTCAAGCCAAGTCACTGCCCTGCCCCACAAGCATGTAGCAGCACATCAGGCTATGCACTGACACCCAGGTACACACACACACACACACACACACACACACACACAGGTACACACACACACACACACACACACGTACACACCACACACACACACACACACACACACAGGTACACACACACACACACACACACACACAGAGAGGCCATCTGTGTCCTATGCCATACTGGTTGCCCTTGTACTCTTTTTCTCCACAGACTGACATTTGTAACGCGACCACATTTTAACCACAACATGAAGATCTGTGAAAGCTTTATATTTGAACCAAGGCAGTATGACCTTTTTGAGTCGCCCTTTTACGTGAATTGACAATGCAATATTTGGTAGAAGCACTGAATGCTACTTCAGTTCAGACCTCAGCAGTTTGAATGTATGATGACAAGAGCTACAGTTCCTTTGTGTTCGCCTGCCCCAATGGCAAATAGGTTTCCTAATTGGAAAGAATAATATTTTTACAAAGGCAATTCTTAAATCAAATGACCTGCTTGCAAATAGGACCCTGGAACCTTTCCGCACTTCAATGCCTCTTTCAACTCTGTCCCTCCAATAAAGACACCGGTGGCCCAACATCGGATCTCCAGAGAGACCACAGGAAATGCTCAGTGACCTTGCACAGTTGCAGGTGAGGAAAGATCCTTATCTCAGACTCTGTGGGTGTTTCTCAATCGCGAGTACGCTTGCTTGGTAGCACATGTCTGCCGAGCATCTTGCTTCAGAAGCGAGGCAAGAATACTTCCTGGCATTCGGAAAACAAAGAGTGGAACAGGCTAGCAAGTGTGCAGGTGTGCGTCATATGATAGGCCCCGCCTTACATTTTCCGCCACAGATTTTGGAAATTGGTCCGTGCGCAAAGCATTGTGTGTTGGAGAGAAACTCTCTCTGGAGGGAACACAGGGATTTCAGCCTTTGCAGGCCATTTAAATGCACAAAAACCTATATAACACACTACAGGGAAGTGGAAACTCCAAAAGCATAATAAGGCCCCTTTCGGCAAAACAAGTTCCTTAAAGTGGACCTATCATGCTATATTATAATAATATAGTGTAGGACCATACCTATATAAGGCATATTTATACTTTTTTTTCAAAATACCAAACAGATCATGCCTTTTAGCCATGCCTCATTTCACTTTTTTACCCCTGTTTTTGCAAGGGCTGATTCTGTGAGAACAGCACCACCTACAGGCCTGGCATATGTACTACAGCATCTCCAGCGCTTTCGAACGGCAATGGCCGTGGTTGTCTCCTCCTGATAGGTGGAGAGTTGGCCCAATAGCCGTAGCGCCACTGTCCTGACGTCAGGACAGTGTTCAAATCTGGATCAGTTTTTATCAGATCCGTTGCAGCCCCTTTTTTAGAGATTTGGGTATGGAGGAAAATAGAGAGGGTTGTGTTTTCTGACACTTGGTGAGTTCCCTGGAACACCGGGGACACATATTCATGTAGAAAAGATGTACAAAAGTGCATTTTGCATGATAGGTCCCCTTTAAGAAACTTAAGGTAGGAACAGAAAGATTAACTTTGACTTATCATAATGGAAGGAAATGACTTTGTAATGCGATGTGATGGAGTTGGCATGTAGGGTCAACTCTAAACCAGGCGAAAAAGCCTGTAAACAATACTTTCTTTTTAGACGATGATTAGATTATAACCTTCTATAGACATGTAGTCATGGTTTCCTGAACATATCTGTGCAAGCAGCAGCAGGGCCAAAAGGGTTTGGGATCAGTTACTTAATAACCCGATTGCATCAAAGGGATTGCAAAAGGATGAAACCGCTTCTTGTGCAAACATTTTTTAAGAACAGAGGCCTGTACTACGAAGCTGGATTTTCGCTTAGCCGGCTAACTTCAGGGAAATCTCGGGCTTTCCGGTCCTACGACGCTGGTTCTCTTTTTAGCAGGCTAGATTTCCATGGTAACTTATGCTGAGCGGCAAACCTGCTCCGGAGCAGGTTAGGTGGCAGGCTAAGAGATCAACTCAGTGAAAGCACCGCCTGCTGACCAATCAGAGCTCCGTGTGCGGAGTTTAAAGCGATCAATTCATATTACAGGATAGAGGAAATACAGAAAAACTGCCGTTGCAGGAAAGACGGCCGGCCAAAATCAACTGACTGTGTGAACGTGAAAATGAATAGAATATCACCTCCCATCTTCAGAGCAATCTGACTAATATAACATTAGCGTTAAGAAAGCTTACTTAAATATCTGCCACAACATAAGTAACCGGATCAGAGTAACATTAGTCTGCGGCACTGTGAGTGCAGACGTCGATGTGTCCCATTATCATTCATATCACATCATATCACATCATAATGTATCATATATTTCCTTATTTGAGTCAGCTGAGCCGTATCTGGCCGTGCAACACTCACAGTGTCACATACTGTATGCAGAAGTATTATTTTAAGCAACACATTAAGTTGACGAAACACTCGAGTCAAATTCTCCTAATTAAAGTCAGATCCACTCGTGTCTTGGACGGGGCAGTGATTTAATAAACCTGTTAATGTACGCATTCAAACACTTTTTCTTTTACCAGCTGTATTCACCTTGCAGGTGCAGCTATGTGGCTTTTATCCTGGATAAAGTGTTTAAGTCATGGATGTTTAAAGTTTAACTTCTTCATATTTGACTAATATTGAAGTTCACTTTTCATTCAGGAAGTATGACGCTGCGCTGTCAGTACGCTTGTCCGTGTTTGAGATTGGTCGAATGCTCCAGATACCATCCCTTTCATGTGAACGCGCACCTAGCTAGATAGGACACGGCTGGCTTGAGCGATCCACTTGATAACCAGCGTCGTAGTACAGTTTAGCGAGAGCGCGTATGTTTTGGATTGGGCCAACCGGCTAACTCAAACATATCCAGGTTATGTTGAACCGGCTTCGTAGTACAGGCCTCAGGTATGAACTACTCAAAAAGTATCCAACACTCTTTGTGCTCACTTCCTAAAATGGCAAAGGTTAACATTTTTCAGGGGAGGCTCTTGTGTCAGGTCATTTTAAATCTCTAAAGTGGCCTTGCTTCAGTTCTCCTCATCAGTGCTACAACTTTAAGTGACCATTTTCTTATAATGGTCTTCTGGCACCATGATAAGTAAAACTGGGTTGTTAGATTTTGTTCAGCTGTCTGAGTTGTTTTACCTCCTCAAACAATGTGAGTGCAAGTGTGTTAGTCTTCCTCTGTGATTGTTATCAAGGTCTTGTTTTCCCTCTGGTGCACATAGAGGGGCACACCCCTTTCTCTCTCTGCCGCACACAGACACACACACACAGCCCAGAAGCTCTCACAATAGAAACAGGAAGTTGAGCTACTGTACTGGACACAGAGAGGAAATAGTAGAGGCAGTTTCCCCTCTCCGGTCAGAGTTTGTTTGTGTGGGTGTGTACTACATGTGTGAAAGCAAGTGTGTAACAGTGAAAGATACACACACAGAAATCACATAGGCACTCAAACACCCATTACTTATTCATACCCATCGCAACCTCCTTTATTCCATACAATCAAAATGCTACAATTAGTATAGTGTTGCAACACATCTTAACACACTCAGTATTTCTAACTTTTAAATAGGCACGCCCCTGGAGAAATCACAACAAGCCATTATGAATAATAACATAAATGTTTTGCAGACAGCTTCATAATCAAATGTTATCACCGGGTAATAAAAGCAATACATCCGATTTTCATCCATGCAGAGACCATAAGCCAAACTCCATTCCAAAACCTGCCAATTGAATAGAGCTGTCACTTAGACAAGGTGTGGAGCACGCATTTAAACCCTCCTATACCTCAATAGAGTCCGTTGACAGCGGATACACTTGGCCTTATTTACTTTTAAACATAATTTACTTTAAGTGTGTATACACAAAACTCAATACTGTCAAGGATAGTCGTTCTGATGAAGAAATAACAAGCAAAAACAATCATACATTTGGGATAAAAGTGAACAAATTACATGCAATGAACTACAGGTGTGACGCCGAATTGATGCGTATACACTAAAAGAAATCTGAACCGGTCTTAAAGTTTGTTATATAAAGGCTGCCTCTCTGTTCATTGTAAGGCAACTTTAATTCCGTGATTTTCGATGAGGTTTTGGTTTGGCATTCCCTGTATCCCCATATTGGCAGGTATAAGCTAACCTGTTAGCTGCTTAATTATTATTGTAACTTACCTATGACTATTCTGAGATGTTTCAGTCTTGTCAACACGTCCTTCTTTGGGTCCAACACTTTCTGTGTTGATTTTTTAACGTCCCCATGAGGCTTTTTGGAGAACATTCCTGGGGCAGGAGACACAAGAATGCGATAGTAGACAGTAGGGAGAAGCTAGCTGTGTAGCCGCTCAGACAGCTCGAGATAATCTGTAACTATACCGACAAACCCTCGCGCCTGGATGATGTATTAACGCTGCGAACTAGCAGCCCTCCGCCACAGCGCGGAGTTTATCAACGGGTGAATTGACGTCGACGCATTGTGTTCATACTAAAACAGATATGTAAAACGTAGCGGGGCAAAGCATCCATCCATTGCACCTCCCTTCCACAACAGTCCGCAGCCTGAAGGCTAAACTAGCTGGTTAGCTAGTAGCTACTTAGCTCTGCTGTTCAGTAGAAAACATCATGGCGGAGGAGGCAGGAGGGAAAACAAAATAATGGATACCAGATAAATTCAACGTCATAGTAGTTCAACAATAAGCTAACTTTACTTACTCTATTCGAAATAAGAACTGTATAATTGTAACAAAACGGCAATATACTTTTTAAACAAAGGTTGTTTTAAATGTAACTAGTGGTAACGTTTTAAACGCGTTTAGACAAGTTTTGCTCGAGCTTTCCTCCTGAAGGTACAGGGCTGATGGGTAACGTAGTTCACGGCAGGTTTTTAGAACTTAGGTTATGTGAACATTGGCAAGACATAAGACTACAGCTCCCAACACAAATAAGAGCGCCCAACGAACATTTGTTTTTAGCTTAGCTGAGACACACGAGTGACATTCTAACCGAGCGAGGGAAAATAAGTTCAAGCTTATTTTGAATTATTTAAACACTCTTGCAAACGTCTTGCACGACCCCATATTGTGAGTTACGGTTTTATTTAAAACGTCCTTGTTAATATGTGTGTGTATCAAGTCGTGCTAAGGTGCCTGCTATCTTAATAGCTAACATGCTAAAGCAATGCTAACTGATGTGTTTTCGTTTGTTATTGTGTATTTAACTTGTATATTTTTATTATTTAAAGGAAACCCGATTTCCCAGTCAATTAAAACTGCTTTGCATAGTTTATATTTTTAATATATTATCTCAAGCAATATAACAAAGCCATCTACAGTATATTTTATGTATGCACCATGACATCAAGTCAAATTCCTCTGATTCTGATTCTGACAAACGGGTTCATTCTCGTTTTTAGGGATACTCATTGAGATAACAGCATTTCGCGCAACGTATAAGACGTTATTTTCCAACATGATCGATTATAGGTATGCAGATAAATGACGGAATGTATATGTTTTCAGGCATCTTTCGATCGGAAGAAAATGTCAGTGGCTATCCCTGCACCACTGCCTGGGGTTAATACACAGTCAAATAAATATATACAAAAATACATGTAAATCTAACAAAGTGTTGAAATTATGCTTTATGCTATTATTGATATTGCACTCATCAAACAACACTAACATGACGAGTTTGTCACTGTACATCTGATCAGGTGTTCCTTATTCTTATCTGCATTAATACTAATACACCACTGTATTTATTGTAATATGTACATTAATATATAACATTTTATGCATTTATTGCTGTATATGATTTACTACAACGTGCACATTTTTACTCTACCTTCTTGTGTTTATATACATATAAAAATGTTATAAAAAAATGTCATCGCACGTTTTGACTTGAACTTCTAACGGTTGTATAAATATATTGAATCAATTTTATTAAAACAAATTCTAAAATGGAGCAACTGCCTAGATAAATAAATAATGCTATTTTCATGTCTGGCGAAAGAAACTCCGTTGTAGTGTTCAGAAAGAAAATTGTAATTAATGCCTTAAAAAATGGAATTATGAAACTGCTAAATGACATTGTTTCTCTCTGTCTACCAGTCTGGAGTGGAGCTGCTGCCATGCCGGTGCACCGGGACCGGGAGAAGAAGGAGAGCACGGCCGAGGAGATGGAGGTGGAGGAGCACGAGCAGGAGGCGTCCAGCTCCGAGGAGGAGGACTCCGACACCTCCTCTGTCTCCGAGGATGGAGACAGCTCTGGTGAGAGAGTCTGAAACCCTATAAAACCAGCACAACATTCTTATTCAGTAGAAATGTTAATGATTTCGGTTCAAATACACATTATTTCAGTGTATGAATGTGTTGTTCTTCAGCACTCACTGAAGTATTATCTTTTATTTACGTCTGCAATCAGTTATTGTAACTTTTTTTAAACGTCATCAACTTAAACACTTTATTCAGAATTTGATCTAATTTTGATTTGGTTTTTGCCCCCAAAATTGTAAATCATAACAAAATAATAAAAACTCTCTGGCAGAAGCATAACCTGGCAGAAATAGTGAATGTATACCATGTTTTGCTTCCTTATCTGCTCATTAAACAGCTTCCCAGTTCCTATTCCCTAATGTAAAGGTTTGTGTGTGTTTTGATCATGTTCCAGAAATGGACGAGGAGGACTGTGAGCGGAGGAGGACGGAGTGTTTGGATGAAATGACCAACCTGGAGAAACAGTTCACCGATCTCAAAGACCAGTGAGACTGAAATAGATTATTTTTATCTTGAGACTGTAACATTATTAACTATAAGTAATTCAAAGTAATTTGCCATGGTAACACGTGTGTTTGTGTGCAGGCTGTATCATGAGCGCCTCAGTCAGGTGAACAGCAAGCTGACGGAGGTGGAGGCCGGCAGGGCGGCGGAGTATCTGGAGCCTCTGGCCGTGCTGCTGGAGAACATGCAGGTCCGCACCAAGGTGGCAGGTAAGCTCTAAACACACACACACACACACACACACACACACACACACACACACACACACACACACACACACACACACACACACACACACACACACCACACACACACACACACACACACACACACACACACACACACACACACACACACACACACACACACACACACACACACACACACACACACACACACACACACACACACACACACACACACACACACACACACACACACACACACACACACACACACACACACACACGTACACGTTTCCTTGCTCACTCTCCTGTGTTTCACTCTGTCTTCATCAGGCATCTACAGAGAGCTGTGTCTGGAGTCTGTGAAAAACAAGTATGAGTGTGAGATCCAGGCAGCGTGCCAGCACTGGGAGGTGAGACACACACACACACACACACTCACTCACTCACTATTTACCTTTAGTTCTTCACTGTTGTGTTATTTCACAATTACAAACAAAGGTTTTGGGTGTATTTATGTGGTGTTTTAGGGCTTTTCCAAATCTTTTGTGATATTTTTTTATTTCAGATAGATAGGGTACAAAAATGATTTCAAGTGAATGATCAATGATGATCAAGTCTGACATTTTCTTGCATCACAGCAGCTACATTCACATCATCGGCAAATATTAAGACAAGAAAAACGACTTTTATCATATCAATACAGCAGCATGCCTTACTTTGTGTACAAAAAAAAAGATTTGTTAGTTGTTTTTTTTAGGTCTGAATGTACAAAAACACATTGAAGCAGATTATTTAACAAGTTGAAAATTATTTTGTATTTGTTTTGTTTTGGACTTAACGCTCTGGAATTATCGAAAATGGTTGAATCACTCGATTCCAAACATCATGGTATTTCATTTCATAGAAGTATATTACCAATAATATGATTGTAGGCTCATCCTGATCTACAACTGTGGCAGAATACCGGGCTAAATAGACTTAAAAAGCTGCCCCCGCTTTTCAATGTTAATTTAGAATTGTATATGTTCAGTGTTTCCCCTAGGGTTACTGCTTTGGGGGGGTGCTGCCTGTTTCTTAGGGTCAAAACCACTAAACTCACAACTTAAAATGAAAGCGTTAAGTTTATTTAATAAAAGAGCACATGTGCAATGTGAAAAGTGACAGTAGATATAGATTAGTTGCAATTTGGTGCTATATATATAAATATATATATAAAAAAAAAAAAATTATAATTTCTTTTTTTAAACACCTTGAATTTCCGGGGGGGGGGCGCGGGGCTCCGTTGGCAAGACAATGGTAGGGGAAACACTGTGTTATGAATGAAGCTACAAACTATTACTTCTCTTTCTAAACATGTGTCAATGTGCTTGTGCTTGCAGAGTGAGAAGCTGCTGCTGTTGGACACCGTCCAGAGTGAACTGGAGGAGAAGATCCGCAGACTGGAGGAAGACAGACACAGCATAGACATCACATCAGGTGACACACTCAATACATCGTGTGATGTCATCCACACAACACACACATTCAGCAGTGTATACTATATTGAAATCATGCTCAATACATTTCTATGTGCCTGTTTCTCTATCAGAGCTGTGGAATGACGAGCTGTCGGGAAGGAAGAAGAAGAAAGACGCTCTGAGTCCAGACAAGAAGAGGAGGAGACCTTCAGTGGTGTCTGATATCCTTCCACTGCTAATACACCTTCTACACACACGTTTATATACCAGAGTATTTACACCAGAGCTGCACAACTAACACAAGTGTGATTGAAATGGCCCAATGGGTAGCAGATCCAGGCAGTAGCTTGTTCACACACACTGAAACACATGAGCACATACTGCAGTTTCAAAAAGCAGAAATCAAACCTGAGCTGACAGAAATGCTGCGTTTTAGTTTAACACACAGTTAAGCTCACACACACTATTTGATGAACATAAAGGTTCACCTGCTGAATTAAAAACAGAACAAATGAAGCAAAGGAAGTGAAAACCACAAAGCAGATTCAGGCAGTAGGCGTATAGATTCCCACTGAAAGTATCAGCATACAGAGAAGAGAGAACATCTGACATGGCGCTGGAGGGGAATAAAGTTCCCTTCTGTGTTTCTGATTGAGTTTCATTTATTTAAACTGCCTAATCCAAAATGCTGCACTCTGGATATGTCCTTATATTTAGAATGTCATTAATCCCTGCTCCATGTGGCACCGCCCTTAACTCCGCCCACGCCCATATATAGTTTACATGCTCCCCGACCTGGACATCCTGGAGGACTGGACCGCCATCAGAAAGGTGTGCAGATGTGTGTGTGTGTCCATTTCCCGAGCTGTGTCTTCGTCCCCTGGGCTTTGGCATCGGTGTGTTTTGGGGTTTGTGAATCTTTTTTAACGTGTGTGTGTGTGTGTGTGTGTGTGTGTGTGTGTGTGTGTGTGTGTGTGTGTGTGTGTGTGTGTGTGTGTGTGTGTGTGTGTGTGTGTGTGTGTGTGTGTGTGTGTGTGTGTGTGTGTGTGTGTGTGTGTGTGTGTGTGTGTGTGTGTGTGTGTGTGTGTGTGTGTGTGTGTGTGTGTGTGTGTGTGTGTGTGTGTGTGTGTGTGTGTGTGTGTGTGTGTGTGTGTGTGTGTGTGTGTGTGTGTGTGTGTGTGTGTGTGTGTGTGTGTGTGGTTTTCCAGGCCGTGGCCACGCTGGGGCCGCACAGAGGGAAGTCCGACTCCGACAGCCCCGTGTTCCCATTCAGACAAGACAGAAACAGGCCCATTCTCAACTGCTGAGGAGCACACACACACACACACACCACACACACTTTACAAAGCACATTAAACACACAGGAATGCAAACACACAGACAATACACCAGATATAAGGTACAGTAATGTATCCCTTGTAACAGTCGATTGGCTTTACTGCTGTTGGCGGGGTAGCAGCAACATTTATTTGAGCCACCTGGACGCCACATTTAGACTGTTTTCACCGTTTGCCAACTCTTTCCGGAGGGGAACAAGACGTTTTGCTTGCTGATCAAAGCCACAGGGACAAAAAAGCTCATTTTACAGCGGGGTTTCCTCAGATATTATTCCCAAGAATAACACAAACAAGCAAATTGTTGGAGACAACATTAGACAAACAACTATTTTGTTTTTCTTGCTCATATCGCTGTTTTGTCTGGTGGCTTTGAAGACGGCATAAACGGATATAACGACTACAGTTGGAAAAGGCAGTGATTCAGGAAGCAGTGAAAATATTCAAAATATAGCGTACAGTAGGGATAAGTTCCTCATTCAACCCCGCTTCAAACTGAAGTGTCCCTGTTGATATATCACATGGACAGAGTTTATTCCTCAAACATGAAAGAGCTCATAGCTGGACCTTCCCCTGAATCCTCTGCACTCCTTAGCGAACAGCGACACCAGTCGGTAAGCTGCCTCTCGTGCCAACAGGCAAACACAATAAAGACTCAGGGTTTGAATCCCTTGTTCAGGACAACAGGAAGAGAAGCATCATTTCCACTCATATTTCATTTACCGGTTCTTCATTATCGGAGGAAAGAGACGGAAACACTGAAACTGTTCATCACATTGTGAGGCTTCAGAAATGACTGCGTGACCCAGGTTTCCGTCTTTTTTCCGAGAGTAAATGTGATCAAAGTATTTTTTACAAATGTGTTTGACCAGTAACATCTCTGACATGAACGCCATTCAACACACGCACCACGAGTCACATGGTTTACACCAGCTGTTCAAGAGCCTTTAAGAACATCACATTTTTACTTTGGGATAATGGAGCTTTTATACAGAAGAGGATTAGGACTCTGAATTGAGTTTGGATCTGAAGTCAGAAGTCTAAGAAAAAAGTCTAACTTCTGACTTAATCCGATCACAATGTGGCCATAGTCCTCCTCTGTACTTTTATAACGTTTCTTTTCACATGATCCAGATGTTTGCATGTTATTGTAAACAATGTGAGATTTGTAACGCTAAACCTAGAGGGTGATTGTGGAAGCTTCCGGCGCCATAATAGGAAACACCGGTGGTTCATTGTGCCATTAAAACCTTTTTTTACGTGGATCAGTTTAAATGACTTGTATGAGACTTATTATTACGTTGTTGTTTTTCTAATTTGTGTACCGTTTTGCATCCAGCACTCCACAGTGCCTACTCTTCACGTTGAATTGATTGCATGTTGCATATTGCTTTTTGACGCCTTGGTTGCGGTGATTGTGGTCGAGACAAATGACTAATTAGTGAGAGCAATAGTTCAAATGAAAATAAGGCGATACATATAAAAAAACATGTGCATACGTTGCATACGTGCAAGACAGACTTAGTGAGTACATTAAGAAAGAAAAAATAAAGATTTATATTTCTTTTTGACATTTAGTCGTTTAGTTTGTTACCTAGGAAGTCACAATAACAAACTAAATGACCAATGAAGGGATGGGTAGACCTGTTTTTCTGGGGGCTTTGAAGGGCGTTCTGATGCAGCGAGGTAAAGCAGTGTAACATTATGAACACATAGCATACACTCTGATATGACAGCCTTTAAGGACTGCTCATTGCAAACCAGTGATGAAAAAGCGATGAGTCATGCTAACAAAATCATTTTGGAACTTGAGTGACAAATCAAATCAAATCCCAAGGAATGATTTGAAAGTTGGTATTCACAGGCATCTACCCCCTCTCTTCAAACGTCACGTGTGCATTATGGCTCATAAACGTTCAAATGCTTCCATCACTAGGACCATACTGAGTCTTTACATACAGCCCACTGTTTAGAACGGAGTCTGAACAAACTGCCATTTATTCATATTCTTTTCTTAAACAGCTTTCTGAACATTAGGTTGTTGGGGATGTTCAAATCAAAAAAATGATTTTCTTTTTGACTGTTAATGTTAAATATTGTGTCAGGTATATTTGTGTTGATTGTGTGGGTTTTACAATAAAAGTTGTTTTATAAATACATTGCGTCTTTTAGCTGTAATTGAAAAAGGCTTACTTTTTAATATTTGTAACTTTACTTTATGTAACTTACTGAATAAATGTTTTCAAAATGTATTCTTTTATTGGATTTATAACTTCTAATATTTATATAAATATCTTTATTCTATTTTATTTTAATTGGACATTTTACTTTAATTTCTTGTGTTTATATAAATATTATTTATTTTAATTGAATAAGAAATTAAAATCATAACTTCTAATGTTCATATAAATAATGTACAATTATTCAATTTAATTGGACATTTTTACTATGACTTTTAATGTTTATATAAATATTTTGATTCTACTTTATTTAACTGAACATTTTACTATTACTTTTATTTTTTATTTAAATATTATTGTATATGTTCATTTAATACTTGTATTTTATTGGATATTCAACTTTATCTTTGGATTATTTTGTTGTTATTATTCTATTTTATAGGACATTTTACTTTAACTTGTGTTTTCAAAAGAAACATTCCAAAATGGAGCAACTGTCCCAAAATGTCCTTTCTAGCAGGAGTAATCCATATCCTAAGTGAATCCCCTGACCTCTACGCTGAGCGAGAAGACAGAGTGTCTCCTTTGAAAACCGTCTATTGTCTACCAAGTCCTAAAATGAAGAAAGAAATACCGTTTTTGGTGATAAATTCTTTAAGTCTGATCTAAAGTGTTTTTTCTGTACCGTGTTAATCACTGAAGAACAGGCACAAAGAGCACCTTCGGGGGAAAGCATTGCAAAACTGGCCCCGGTAATGGTACAAATCTCAACCTGTCGTACAATGGACAGCTTCCCCCCCCCATCTATGTATATACTCGCATTTTAGACTCTGTTACTAACTGTATATCTGTAGACTTGGTATGTCTTAAATGTCCGGTTAGGATGTATTAGAACGAAATCTAAAATGAAAATTGTAAATAAGCCATCTGTATGTAAAAAAACCACCTGTATGTAAATTGTAAATAAGCCATCTGTATGTCAAATATGTCTTATATGTCTTAAATGATATGATGAATTGGAAATGGGGGACCCTGATGTAAACAAGACGAAAGTCTTTCTCTGGTCTGCATCCCCTTAACAATTGTATGTTTTGAGCTGTACTGTACTGTACCCAATATACAAGCTGTTAATAAACTTTTCAATCAATCAATCAAAGCACAATCACCTCTTCTGTGGAAACGGATTGTTGTTGTAATACTCATTGTAGCCACAAGAGGCTGCAGTGAGCCACTCAATGCTCCTCAAAGCATTCATTAAGAAACGGTTTTTTCAAAGGAACTGAGAAAGATTATTCTAGCAAACCTTATTTTTGTAGCTGTTCTTAAGTCGTCAACATAGTTGAGAAGTTTGAATCTGGCTTTAAAAATGGATCAATGGCTGTGATCAATAGGATGAAGGCTCTGATGATGTTCCTCCATGCACAACACGTTTCACTTGATACAATATTGAAAGATGAGAGCATTGATCATTTGACAGTCTTTATTTGTATCTATTATTAATCACTTTTTACAAAATTCACATGAGTGTTATTTGTCTGTCTCTTGCAGTCCTTCCCTTCCCCCTGGTGGTCAGCAGGAGTCACAGCGCTCTGACAGAACACACAAGTCACTTTCATTGATTCCTCGCTGCTGTTTGAAATCAAAGCTGTCGATGAAGGAACGATCCTCACAGGAGGGAGATTCAGATATGCACTTTATCATATTTTAAGAAAATTTATCTTTTTGGAAGTATACGCCTCTCAGATTTAGGACAAAACAAAACTTGACAGGATAGGATTCATTTGAATCGAGTTTAAGATCAGTGTCATTAGAGGTTTAGTACAACACAAATGTTTTCTTTCTTATAGTAATGTATAGCTTTGGGCAATTTAGATTTTCTCGGAATGAAATGTTACTTGATGTCTTTTTCTGTAAAAACACTCCCATTCTCTGACATCCCACACACACAGCCTTTCTACATGCACGCTTTTAACCCTTATAAAGCAAATGTTGCTGGTTGCTGGTTCTCATGGCAACATTAACACACACACACTGATTCAGCTGCCACTGTGACTCCACAACGACAGGAACTAGTTCACAGGGAATAAAGCTGGAGAAAAGAGAAGAGAGGAGGAGAAGAGAGGAGGAAGAGTGTGCAGCGGACAGACAGAAATAAAAAGGGCTCATAAAGGCCGATGGTTTCCCCCCCCCCCGCGCTGACAACCTTTATTTAAAACATCCTCCTGGTTAGTCTGTTCAGAACGAGGGGAAATCCACCGCCCGCTGAGTTAACTTTTAACCAGGAACACCCCACAGCTCCAAGTGGAAAACCTGCTCAGATGGCGTCTTCAGGCGAGGGGGGGTGCTGCTGTGGGGACTGGCTGTGTGGGGGGGACTGCTGAGGAGGGGGAAGACCCAGTGAGGGATGTGGGGGGCCGTCTGGTGGAAGGGGCCGAGCGTAGTGAAGAGGAGGGAGTCCAGGACCGGGAGGGAAACGAGGAGGGAACATCCCTGGAGTGAGAGGGGCCCACACTGGAGAGAGAGAGAGATAGAGAGAGAGAGAGAGAGAGAGAGAGAGATAGAGGGTTAAAGGGGCCAAATTCTGCTCATCTTCAGGTTCACATACAATGTGTTGGAGCATTATGATGTCACTATGTAAGAGTAGTAAACATAGGAGTCTAAAGGAGATGTTACAGGCAGGGGGGGGGGGGGGGTTGCAGACCATTTATATGCACAAACACCTATAACACACTACAGAATAGGGCTCCTTTAACTCTGAAGACATTTGGAGATAATGTGATAAAATGTTGTGATGATAGAGGTGACGGCTTACTAGGCATCATGGGAGGGCCCCCAGGTCCCCTCGGGGGGTAGAAATCAGGATGGGGTGGTCCGTAGGGGGCCCGACGAGGAAAGGGACCGTCCATGGGGCCCATCGGACCCATGGGGCGTCCACCCATCCTTGGATCAGAGTCAGGGGGGGTCCTTCGATCACCGGGACCGGACTGCTCACACAGAGACAGAGAGAGTGGTGTTACACAGGGACACACACACACAGGGACACACACACACACACAGGGACACACACACACACACACACACACACACACACACACTAATGGCGCATTTCCACTACACGGTCGGCCTCGGCCACACTCGGTACGGCTCGGTACGGCTTGGCCGCGTTGGGCCTTAACAGGGCCGACTCACTTCATGCTGCGCTTCCATTACAGTTTAGGAACTGGGGCAGTTACTATAGTAACGCAGTGTAGGCGGAGCCGTGACGTCATCTTCAATGAGAACTCCAGAAACACAACACAGCCGTTAGCTGTTAGCACTCAGAGCTCACAGCTCCTTATATATGTTCAGAAACTCGACAAAAGTTAAACAAGTACAAACCACAGACTGCCTGTGTCATGGTGAATACAGTCGCTGCTTTATTTATGTCTGTATAGGCCGTTGTTGTGAGTGTGGACGGTCGGAGCATATACTGCGTTAGCTTAGCCAATCTCCATCTAGAAAAACACGCATTTTAAAAGGTTTTTCGCCTGCCGTCTGTCTGCAGACTTGACAAAGCATTAATTCATGGTTTTTACTAACCGGTATCAGTATGTTGTTACTTCGGCATCATTTTGAAACGTGTATTACAATTAAATCACGGTCAAATATGTCCATCTTGTTGTAGTTCTAGCCCTCTTGCCAGCGCTCCTCTCTCTAGTTTAGCATACTCAGCCCGACTCAGCCCTGTTTGTTGGCCCCGATAGAACCACAATTTTCTAGGGCCAGAAAAGAGGTGAAAAAGTGGCCCCGCGCCGTGCCGCGCCGGTAATTGGCCTAGTGGAAGCACAACCAAAAAAGGGGACGGCACGACACGGCACGCTTAAAGCGAGCTCCGCGCTGCAGTGGAACTGCGCCATAAGGGGCCCTTTACACGAGAACGAAACGGCTTGTATCTGCATAGTTTCTCTTACGTATAGCCCTATTATTTACACGAGGCCGTAACAAACGGACCCCACTAACGGGTCCCAAGATGGATAGATTTGCAAACGAAACTCTCTGGGGGGTCAAACGAGTCCGTGTAATCGCCTCTATACGAATATTTCCTGAAAAAATAACGATAGCCCCGCCCCGTGCTGCTCACTGCTGTAGCATGGCCAGTAGCTACTGCTAGTGCTACTGCTACTGACCATGCTACAGATGTTAGTGCAAAATCTACAGCTCCTCTACCACAACCATCAGCAACAAGTGGACATGGAGAATTACATGAACTACTACATGTTGCTAAATCCACCGCGGGGCATAAACAGAACGGTAGCCATGGCAACATTGCTCCGGGGCTGTTCCGGGGTCTTCTTCGCTGCTTTTGGTGTATTTTGTGGCGGAAGTTACAGCGCCACTTACAGTCCCGGCATATGTACTACAGCGTTTCCAGCGGTCTCGTTTGAACAGACACGTTAAATGAAACTAATGCATGTGAACGGAAGACTTTTTTGAAAACGCATACTGTGCATAAACGCAAACGTTCCCGTGTAAAGGCAGCCGAAGGCGCCGTTTACACGAGGAGAAAACTGCTTGTATCTGCATAGTTTTGCGTGCGTATAGCCCTATTATTTACACGAGGCCGATAGAAACTGACCCCACAAACGATAACGGGTCCCAAGGTGGATAGATTTGCAAACGAAACGCTCTGGGGGGTCAACCGAGTCCGTGTAATCACCTCTATACGAATATTTCCTGAAAAAATAACGATAGCCCCGCCTCTCCCCACCTCTCCTGCTCACTGCTGTAGCAACTATCAAAAATAGCTGTGTTAATTAAACGCACAAGGGGTTCTTGAATGAAATAATATTATAAAAGGCAAACCAGAATTGTTAACGCCCAATATACTCCTTAAACAAAATAAACAGAGTCAGATTTCATGCATTGATCCATTATATTGACAATTTTCCAGCCAAACAACACAAACAAAATTAAACAGTCCGCTCTGCGATACACCAAACTTGTCTTTACTGCCTAATCCAGGCCATTATTGTTCATTGCTCCTGCGCCCGTCGGCGGCAAAAAGAGAAATGTTTGTAGGCAGAGGACCAGCGTGTCCCAGAGGAGGATCTCACCCGGTGTTTGTAGAGAATATCTCTCTTTCTGAGCCGTCCTCTCCACAGAGACGTGCTTCTTGGTCGGTCGATGCAATATCCACAGATTCGGTTTCTTTCAGTTAACTTCCCCGTTGCATTTATCCATATGCTGAGGAAATGACTATATCCCGCTGAATACCAGCAATCGCCACACACTTCCTCCTGTCAGTAGCTACTGCTAGTGCTACTGCTACTGACCATGCTACAGATATTAGTGCAAAATCTACAGCTCCTCTACCACAACCATCAGCAACAAGTGGACATGGAGAATTACATGAACTACATGTTGCTAAATCCCGCGCGGGGCATAAACAGAAGGGTAGCCATGGCAACATTGCTGCGGGCTGCTTCGGGCTGCTCTTCTTCGCTGCTTTTGGTGTATTTTGGCGGAAGTTACAGCGCCACTTACAGTCCCAGCATATGTACTACAGCGTTTCCAGCGGCCTCGTTTGAACAGACACGTTAAATGAAACGAATGCATGTGAACGGAAGACTTTTTTGAATACGCATACTGTGCATAAACGCAAACGTTCCCGTGTGAAGGAGGCCTTAGACACTGATCAATGGTAGTTATCAGGGGTCATTACATGGCTTGTTTGAATACTCGTTTCGGATTGGTCAATTCGGAAATTCGGAAGTTGCTGAGGACACTCTGAACCTAAGAGAATGTGCAGTCATATCATTACGCAGAAAGAAGTCGATTTGACGTCGGCTGTAGCCAGAACCAATCGGCTGTAGCCAGAACCAATCGGCTGTAGCCAGAACCAATCGGTTGTAGCCAGAACCAAGCGGCTGTAGCCAGAACCAATCGGTTGTAGCCAGAACCAATCGGTTGTAGCCAGAACCAAGCGGCTGTAGCCAGAACCAATCGGTTGTAGCCAGAACCAAGCGGCTGTAGCCAGAACCAATCGGCTGTAGCCAGAACCAATCGGTTGTAGCCAGAACCAAGCGGCTGTAGCCAGAACCAATCGGCTGTAGCCAGAACGCAGCCAGTGAACTCAAGTTTTCAATGACCTCTGCCTATTTATATCTTTTTTTAAACACTTTCAATGCCCTGGTTATTTCCCTGTTCAAGTATTTCAAGGACCCGTAGGAACCAAGTCATGGTCATAGTGTGAATGGTTATTGATTTCCAGGAGGCTCTGCTTGGGTCCAAATGGATGTGCTGCAGATCTTTAATAATATCAAAACGACTTCAATTTCTGCTTTTGCACATTCAAGTTCATTTGCCTTTATTTCTAAATGTTTGACTTTCTAAGCCGTGATTTTTCCCTTTAAATGTCACCAGCTTTGAAGGATTTCTGCCAGCTCTTACCTCTCGGTGCTCCTGTTCCCCAGGGCCGAGGTGGTTCTCTCTGTAGGAGCCATCTGCATTGACATAGAGAACAGAGGAAATGAGCCATGATCAAGGACACGGGTCATGGGTGCTTTTGGTTTAGTGTCCATCTTGTCTAGTTCACAAAGAGTTCACACACATGTCCTTGGTTCACCTATTTACAGTGAAATACGATATACAATACAATATATATACAGATGGCAGTGACTCACCCATCATGTCTAGCCCTGGGTGAGGGGGTCCGGGGGGGAGACCCCTAGGATGCAGAGGGCCGGGGGGGGAAAGCTCCAGGTGGGGGCAGTGGGCCGAGGGCTCCTGGGGGAGGTCTCCTGTACATGGGACCGCCTGGCTCAGGGAACATGTACCCTGAGAGACAAAGAGGGGGTGGACATTAAAGCTGTGTCTCAATCTGTGTTCTTCTGGACTCCATCTGCCATGTGGAGTGCACTATGAGCAGAGGTGGAAAGTAACTAAGTCAATATACTCAAGCATAGTACTTTTTGTTGTACATATTTGTACTTTACTTGGGTATTTCCATTAATGATACTTAATTCCTTTACTCCGCTACATTCCAGAGGTAAATGTTTCACTTTGTACTACTGTAAAAATAAAATACTGTGAAAAGTACTTTTACTGTTGATACTTGGAGTACATATAGCGGATATTTCTTGAGTTCATTTATAGAATATTCTGAAAACTGCAAAATGACCTGTATTACATCTTGTAAATGAAGTATTATATTTTGATGCCAAGACCTTTGTACTTTTAATGTAAGATATTGAAATCAGGACTTTAATTGCAGTGGAGTATTTTAGGACCATAGTATGAGTACTTTTACTTAGGTAAAGGATCCGAGTACTTCTTCCAACAGTAACTTTGAATAACAGAAAAACGCACTAATAACGTTAATTAAAAAATGATAAGAATAACATTGCTAGCTAGATAGCCAGCTAGTAACGATAGCCGCTGTTTGCTAGCTAGCGGCGATCGTATGCTAGCTCGCAAACAGTGATAGTGTCATGTTGATAATTCAGTAGGTGGAGTTCCCTCAGGTTCATGTGATAAATGACACAACATGTTTTAAAGTAGAGCTTCACAGACAACTGCAGTCCCCAGTGTCAAAATGCATGCAAGAAAATACACATGCACCATCAACAAGCTTTAGACATTCACGTGCACAACCTTAATGAGGTCTGCTTCAGAGTCATTCATGTGATGAGCCACACCTGTGCAGACCAACACCTTTAGAACAGCAAAGACTGAGCCTGAACACACGGTGCCACACAGTCAGGCTGCGTTCTTACACATTTAGAAATCATTCACTTTGACAGCACTCGTTTACACTGGAGCACTTACCTGGGTAGTTTTGGGGCAACCTGAGGCCATTTCTGATCTAAATCCTGACCTACTGGACATTACACACACTCAATTGTTGCTTTTCTAAAAGTTGCTATTTTTGAAGAACAGAAGACAACATCCATCCCAATGTAGTGAGATTCTCTTAGCACCGTGGTTTTCTTTCCCTCATGATTTCCTTCCTATCATTCCTTGACTTTATGGCATTCTCCCTCAAGGACAAGAAACAGTGGTTAAGAAAATATATCGTTTGATATTCGACTGCGACTGTCTTTCTCACACACACCTGGGGGTCCTAGTGGCCCAGGGGGTCCTGGTGGGGGGCCCCTGCGATCTCTCTCCCATGTTGGAGAGATGGAGCCGCTGTCTGAATGAGGACCTCCGATCCGCTCCATCTCTCCTTGGCCCCCGGGGGGCTCCATTGGACCGCGAGGCACTGTGGAGGAGAGGACCGGAGGAAATAGAGGACGAGGAGGAAAGGAGAGGTAATGGAGGATAAGCGTGAGAGAAAGAGGGAGACAGAAAGGGAAGAACCAATCGGCAACAGACAAAATATCAGAAAATTAAGCAGGAGATGAGATGTAAGACATCGTCGCATCACAGTTTTTATTTTCATTGAGTTTCCACAGTTTCCACACCTTGCTACTCATGTTTAAGCTTCTACAGTTGATCATGCTGCAGCCAGCTGCTCCTCTCCAACATGCTGCCAGTGTTATGGTGATTACTATGTGACTGAATTAATAAATGTTCCATATGTGAAGATGTTTTTCAAATTCTAATCAGCTAAGTCCTAGTGATAAAGTAAATCACATATAAGAAATAACAGAGGGATGGGTGTACTCTTGATAACTCTACTGCTCATTAGTGTGTGTGTGTGTGTGTGTGTGTGTGTGTGTGTGTGTGTGTGTGTGTGTGTGTGTGTGTGTGTGTGTGTGTGTGTGTACCTCTAGGAGAGAGTCGAGCAGGTGGTCCGTCCATTAAGGTGGGAGGAGACAGGAAGGCTCTGGTTTCAGAGGCAGGTCGTCCCAGAGGGGAGGGCCCGTATGGGGACCTCTCAGCTGCAGGTGGGGGGGGGGAGTTTAGTGAGGCCAGGGAATGTGTGCATGTGTTTGTTTCTTTTTTGTTTTGTTTTTGTATTTTAGGAAATGATACGGTTACAGGGCCTCCATGACGACATGAGATAAAGGTCAAATACATCAAATAACTTAACATTCCACACATCATAAAAAAACAAAAAACGGAATAACAATGACTTTACAGGGGTTTACTAACGCTGCATACACAAAACGCTGCAAGAAGCTGAGAACCCAAAGGAAATGGGGACACTAAAAAGTGACGCACACAGCTGGGACCAAAACGCCGTTAAGGTTCAGGATTAAAACATTTGCAAACTGTCACTGGAAACTTTAAATGTACATTGTATTGTCTTATTTTAACAATGTGATCACATGATTCTTTCAGATATTATTGCAGATCTGCTGTAAGCTAGCAAGCTAACCTAATCATTTCAAATATACTGACAAAACACTTACAGATATGAAACAGACTAACTCATAATTTACTTTATAATCCCCGAACGTCAACAAGTGCTCCGGTCCCAGCTGTGTGCATCACTTTTTAGTGTCCCTGTTTCCGTTTTTTATTAGCAGCGCATGTTTCACCGAGTTGGAGAATGTTTTCTAATTGCTCCATGTGTTGTCAAGTTGTTGAAGATGTTAAACAAATTTGCCTGTGTTTTGGCACATTTGTGTTTTTATACTTGTATAATGTTTTTGAAAGTACAGCGCATTTCTCCTAATGGAAATGTTCTGGGCCGACGTAGCCATACTTGCCAACCCTCCCGATTTTCGCGGGAGACTTGATTTCATTGCCCTCTCCCGGTTTCCTCCCGGGGTCATATTTCTCCCGCATTTCTCCCGATTTCTGACAAAATCAGATTTACTCGCGACTGTTTCCACTCGGACTTTAATACAGCTACACCATTGTTTGGTTTCCATGGTAGCGCGTCTCTTTAGCAGCGCGCGCAACTGAAAGTCTGAGAGGGTGAGGAAGATAGTCACAGAAAACAGAACAAGAATCGACAACTCGACCCTCTGCTCACTCCTTTCCAGCCCACACATATGCTCCATCAAGGATGGTGCTACAGGCCGCAAGACAGTGCACTTACAACTACAATGAGCATGTTAATGTTAATCTAACAGCTCCGGCGTACCACTAGCAACCCCCCCCCCCCCACGGTGGTTTTGAAATGCTCCCGATTTCTGAGGTCTCAAGGTTGGCAAGTATGGATGTAGCTTGTTTGCCGTACTCATAGGATTGATAGCAGATACATCATTAACACTCATATGTACATTAATTACCACAGGGTCATTCGAAATGTTTTGTGACCCATTTCTGTGAGTTAGCCAAGTTATTTTCTCTGAACTATTTCCTTGTAATTTGTTTAATAATTGCTACGTTACAAGGAATAAGTATCATTCTTTTTTTATTTCCTAATAGCAGAGGTGGGACCAAGTCATTGTTTTGCAAGTCCGAGTCAAGTCTCAAGTCTTTGCGCTCAAGTCCGAGTCAAGTCTCAAGTCTTTGCGCTCAAGTCCAAGTCAAGTCTCAAGTCAGGATGGGCAAATTCAAGTCAAGTCTCAAGTCTTTGCGCTCAAGTCCAAGTCAAGTCTCAAGTCTTTGCGCTCAAGTCCAAGTCAAGTCTCAAGTCAGGATGGGCAAGTTCAAGTCAAGTCCAAGTCCTAAACTTTGACAAAACGAGTCTTAAACAAGTCCTTATGTGCTTTTCAACAAATGTAATGACACCCATCAACAGAATAATACTTAATAATTAAACTGCTCTTTATTAGTCACATTAATAATTTAATAATCCATTTTCTCTCTGCTGGTAAAGTAACGTGTTTTCTTCTATTGTAAGAGGGATCAGTAAGGTAAGGCTACCGTGACGGTTTGATTCAGAAGGAGTTTAATTGATAAGATCCCTGATGTTGAGGTAACCAGAATGTTTATTTCCACTGTGTACAGCATGTTATAAGGGACCCACAATCTATCTTTATGCAAGGGATAATGTGCAGCGAGGCGGTCTCATGGGGAAAAGAACACCTGAATCTAGATCCCTCTGCAGGTGGTACTTTAACTATATTTTGATGATAATACTTTTGTACTTTTACTTGTAACATTTTGAATGCAGGACTTTTTATTGTAACCGAGTATTCCTACACTCTGGTACTTTTACTCAAGTACAAGATCTGAACTTCTCCCACCTCTGACAATAAATCCTGAAGGTTATTTTCATTTGACAAATCCTGTACTCAGCTTTGCTTTCTCCAATATCATTGAAATGCAGCCAGATGCTGCTTCTTTTTTCTGTTTTCGCTAATTTCTTGACTTTTTCCGACGCGCTTGCATTTAAATCCGTCTCCCCGTGGCTCTGTGTAGCTGGCCCGTACCACTACACCTGCTGTCTTTGGAGCGTCTGCCCCCCACCCTTCTTTCACATAATGGTATGATCCTAGTGTGTCCTCGCATATGATTGGCCGCATGGTGGCCCAGCTAAATAAAGTCCCGCCCCTGCCTGCAAGGATTCTCAGCAAGAGTTGCAGCGGCTGGAGATTCTGCTCTCCCCGACGGGAGTCTGCTCTTCAAGCGGCATCTCGCGATCGGTGTGTTGGAGACCTCTGAATTAAATGATCAAGTCACCTCAAGTCAGAGGGCTCAAGTCCAAGTCAAGTCCCGAGTCATTGGTGTTCAAGTCCAAGTCGAGTCGCAAGTGTTTTGTGATTTTGTCAAGTCGAGTCCAAAGTCATCAAATTGGTGACTCGAGTCTGAATCGAGTCCAAGTCATGTGACTCGAGTCCACACCTCTGCCTAATAGTATAAGTGGGTTCTTAATTGGAGATAACCAAAACATTGTTGACATTTCCCTCACAGCTATTTCCCAGAACTCCTCTTTACACGAGCATGTGTTTGTTTCTGTGTGTGTGTGCTCACCTCTGAACGGCAGAGGTCTAGCCAGGCTGTCCAAGGCGTAGGGATCTTTGTCGAGGGCGTCGAGTTTAAACTGCGTGTCTGTCAGCCTGTAAACAAACACACTTAAAGTCAACATGTGACGAGCAGAACCGGCTATGCAATACAGTTTGTACTGTAGAAACAACACAGGAAACATCTTAAACATTTCTAAGGAATTCAGAACACAGTTTATCTGCTGTTTGATTACTTCTGTCTGAAGAGGGCGTTCTCTCTCCGGATGTCTGACAGCTCTCTCTCTGCTGCTCGGGCGGCCAACTGCAACAACAAACCGAGATCAGTCACAAGGATGACAATCGTACATTTATACAGACAGAGAATGAAGAAGTCCACAAATATTTCTCTTAAAGATCTCCTATCATGCTATTTTTAGGCATATATTAAGGGTCTCAGATATATACAAATATATAAAAAACATATCTATGATGTGTTTTGCTCAAAATACCAAACAGATCATGCATTTTAGACATCCCTCATATCCCTCTATTTCAGGCCTGCTAGATAACTGCAGGTTCGGGTCCTTAGCTTGAAAAAAAAAAAAAGAGGAAGGGGAGCTAATGCCTGCTCAGAATTCTACGAGATACAGCTAAATGCTGCCGTGATTAAACGCCATATCACGTTCCAAACCACATCAAGGATTATTTCTGAAACGGTATGGAGCTCAAATGCTTTTTCTCTTGCCGGTTTACCACAAGGTGATTTCCTTTTCATATTTCCTGCTTTTTTACACATGCTCTCTCCAGTACAGGTTAGCTCTGAGTGTTAGCATGCTTACTAATGTAAACAAAGACCATATTACGTCCAAAACACGTTGCGCATTGTTTCTGATAGCAACGTTTCTGATAGGGCCGCGGGTGTAAAGCCAGTCCACATTTCCCACATTTCCAATATTACGTCATGACCGCAGTAAATCTGGATCAGCTCGGTCGTACCCTCGTTTTGAGAGATGTGGGTACGGATGAAAAGAGAGAGGGTTTTGTTTTCTGACACTTTGTGAGTCTCCTTACACACTGGGGACACATATTTATGTATAAAGGACATTCAAAAGTGCATTATGCATGATAGGAGACCTTTAAGTAAAAGTAGAAATACCACAGTGTATAAATACTGTGTCACTAGTTAAATTCAGGCATTCCAAATGTTACTTGAGTAAAAAGTAGAGAAGTGGAAGCATCAAAATATACTCAAGTACTCAAACTAGAGCAAAGTAACCTATCTTTTCAAATAAATATAGTGGAGTAAAAATAATTGTGGTGGAGAAGAAGTAAGAAGTAGCATCTAGTATCTCAAAAATGTACAATACTTGAATGAATGTACTTTCCACCACTGTCTAAACAAACAGTTAAGCTCGATGTAATGTGAATACAGAGCTCAACGTTTGAAATGGCGTTGTACTTATCCGTATCAAGAGCTGCAGGAAGGATTCCTTAAATCCTAAAATGCGAACATGATGCATTTACATTAGCCTTGTACTTTTTGGCGATGCATTTATGCTTCAAAAATCCTAAAATGGTTTTCATATTTGGAGATTATCCTGCTGATCATAATGTGCAAGGCAAGGCAAGTTTATTTATATAGCACCTTTCAACACAAGGCAATTCAAAGTGCTTTACAAAAATGAAAGACATTAAGAAAATGGCATTTAAAAACAGTCATTAAAAAGCAAAGATAATAAAATAAACATTAAAAGAAAAAAATACATGAATAAAAGTTACAGTGCAGTTTAAGATATGAATGTGTAAGTATCATTAATGAGTGTTTGTCAACAATCTTATTTCTGCAATATTTCAAAATCCAATGGAAAAATCCCATTGCTTTTTGTCGAGGGAGCCCTTGTGATGCCAACTTCTGGGTCTGCCTACACCAGTGTTTCTCAAACTTTTTCATACCAAGGACCACTTAACCAATACAAAAACACTCGCGGACCACCTTAACTCCACAAATATCCAAAACCAATAGGCCTGCTTACCACTCCAACAGTATATAACAAATGACAGCCTAATAATGACAGCTTAACCTTCTCTGTATCGCCTCGTTCACACATTAAATCAACAATACAAATACAACTACAGATCATAAGCATTTTGTTCAAATGCGATTTAAAATGCTCAGGTTTTACACCTCTTATGAAATGTAGACTACATTTATTACAGAGTTTATGTCCAACAGACTCACAGATCGTTGGCTACTGAGAGATATGCAAAATACACCGCATAGTACGACACAAACCTCCGCTGTGGATTTTCAAAACAAAATACAGTAAAACTATGGTCGCAGGCCCAAGTTTAACTCTCTGAGGTCTAAGCCATTTCTTCACATGTTAGGCTCACGTGGGCTTTTTTTGTAAAAATGCTATTAAAACATGAACCTTGGTGACCATCGGGCTGGCCTGCATGGTCTGCCTACAAAACTACAATAAAAGAACGTTTTTGCAGCCCCAACAACAGCCTCTGATTCATCAACAGACTTCATGCAATGCTTCATCGGATGCATATATTAGATAATAATCTCTATCTCACTATAAACAGTGGATGACAGTCGGTACAACCCCGGTTTGTAGAAACAGACAGGAGCACCAGGAGGAAGTTAAGCAATGTACTGCTGTGGCCAGGGAGACAGCAACATTGATTCAAGCCTAAAATATCAATACCAGGGAAGGTAAAAGCATTCTAAAGATAGCTGACTGATATTGATTATGTTATGTGGGCCTTTATTTTAGGTGGCTAAAATACCTTTTTCTGCCGCCCTGCCCACAGCTGTACATTGCTTAGCTTCCTACTGGCTCTCCTGTCTTTTGCCATCGACTGCAGGTCAAATACTGCTTACAGATACCTACAACCCTACTAAAAAAACGATCCCAGATCTAAGGTCAGAGTATGGAAATGGAGTAAGAATGCACACAATGCAAATAATATGGTGTTCATTTGAATACTGTCAGTCATGCACAACCCTCCGAATCCTGCATACTTTTCACAGTACCAGCTACCTGTTATATTTGCCCAGTTTTCCACTTCAGCAATACTGCACATATTTTATTTTATTTTTAACGGGTGTATCTATATTTCATGTGAATATTGATATATTTTAATGTTAAAATAGATTTCTCAAGATAGTTTTTTATAATTGTTTTGTGGTCCTCTTCTTGCAATGTATCTTCTTTACTGTGTTTATATATGCACCAAGGGAAATTCCTCATATGTGTAAACCTACTTGGCAATGAACCTGTTTCTGATTCTGTTTCTGAAAACTATTTGGCTGTAAAAATAAACATCTCTCTACTTTTATTTGCTCACGTTTGGTGTGTTACTTACCCAGTTATTGTGTGCTTTCTTCTCATGTGCTGATATCTGAGTCTGGTAAGATTGTTTGGTTTTATCCAGCTCTTCCTCCATCTCTCCTGCTCGTTGTCTGAAGAAAGAGAGACACACAGGTGAGACTTAACATGTGCATCCTCACACATGTCCGCTGTCAATGTGTTTAGGGATACTTTAGCGGAGCAGCTACCTGTAGTTGATAAGTTCTTCCATGGCCATCGCAATGTTTTTGTCCGCCTTATTTAACTTATCTTCTTTCTGCATGCGTTCCTTCTCCTCCACTGTCAGAAGCCTGCAAACAAACACTCGTCAACATCCTGAAACTACCAAAACATGTATTTGCTCTTCAGGAATAAGTCCTAAAGCCGGAAATGACTCAGCATTTCAGCACTTACAGGTTCCCTCAAAGTCAATGGTTTTTTAAATGTGTTTTTTTAGATGCCTGTAACAAAGTCTTTGATTAACACGAGCTAAAGAGATGTTAACTTTTTGTTCTACGACATCAAATATGTCAGTTAATACCCCACTGGTGTTAACAAGTTCCTAAATGAGACTTCTAAACGTCATCACGTCGAACATCAGCCGCCTTTAGCTTAGCGGTGGTGGCGTGAAGTCATGTCACCGTGATATAGTTAGTTTATAGCCAAACGGTGATTTGGTGATTGCATTAATGCTTAGACTATTATAAAAGTGGTGTTAATGTGTGGAGATTATCCTGTTGAACAAAAGGTGTAAATATCATTGGTTTGCCACAGAGATTATTTTCTGCAATATTTGAAATCCTATGGACGTACAGTTACGTTATATCATTTTGTATTTAATTTGTTCTAAAAATGATGGATTACTAGCAGGATTACAAAGAGCATATAGTGTTTGTTGTAAAGGATCAGATGTTATCTCTTCTCTGTAAAGGTCCTTACACACCAAGCCCATTTTCGGCGTCGATAGATGTCGGGCCGCCGATGAGCGTCGTGTCGCCCTACTCAGATTGGTGTGTCTTGGTGTGTCCCGCACCATCGTGTCTTTTCGGCCGTGCCGACACCTTCCGCCGCCGATTCAACATGTTGGCTGTCGGCCAAAGAAATCACTCTGATTGGCTGTTCAGCTTAGCGAATCAGTGCACGAGAAGTGAAACGGAAGTGAGGGACCCAAACAAACTATTAAGAAGGCAAATCTGAGATTTCATTTAACTCCAGCTCTCGACACAGGTTCGGGAAAGCCCCATGAGCTTCTCGCTGTAGAGTGAAAATGGAACTCACACGCTATTTGTTGTTTGTTTATATCACGCAGTCTGTTCTTCTTCTCTCGGTGTATCACGCAGTCTGTTCTTCTTCTCTCGGTGTGTCACGCAGTCTGTTTTCCGGTTGTTGCCTCTTTTGAATGACGAATACACACTACCGCCGCCTGCTGGTAAGGAGAGTTATTGCCACTCACGCATGCGCAGTTCGTACGTGCTTCTTGGCCGTCGGCTGAAGTCTTTGCGGTGTGTTCCAGTGCCAAACATGGCCAAGACGCAGGAGACGTGAGGCGACGTGAGGCGACGTTCCGTCGGGAAGTGTTCTTTGGTGTTCTTTGGTGTCAGTTTGGTGTGTAAGGACCTTAAGCTGTACTGTTCTGTAGGCTAATACTTTAAGTGGGAATCTATACGCCTACTGCCTGAATCTGCTTTATGATTTTCACTTTCTTTGCTTCATTTGTTCTCTTTTTAATTCAGCAGGTGAACCTTTATGTTCATAAAATAGTGTGTGAGAGCTTAACTGTGGGCAGGATTTCCTATGAATAAAATCATTTCTGATACTAAACATGTAGCCTACCTGTGTAGCTTGAGCTCGTTCTCCTGGTACATTTCTGTCATAATCTGGAGTTTCTGTTGTAATCTTTGGACCTAAACACGTGGAGAAAATAAATGAATCCCAAAGCAAATGAATGTGAAACAAGAATAAAATAAAACATCACACTAATATGAGGCAGGTACCTGATCCGAGTATGTCTCAGCTTCTGATTGCAGAGAGGACTTCTCACTTTCCATCTCCTTAATGCTCACTAAAGGGGAAAAAACACAGACGTTTTTATGTTGTACAGATGAAATACATCATTTGGAATTGGAAATCTAAATTGTTGTGTAGTTGCCTCACCTTGCAGGTCTTCTTTAGCTTTGACTTCATCGTCCAGTTTGGCAAATAATCTGTCCTTGTCTTCATCGACAGATTTGAGGTCTGCATTCAGCTACACACAATAACAAACAAAAAGTCAGCACTCAGTGAAGAGGAAAGATGTTTCCGATCAAGTCAATGTTTTTTGTCCGTTTGTGTCAAATACCTTAGCAGCGTAGATGAGTTTCTGGACTTTCTGCAGATGGCCTTGTGTGTCTCCTTTTCCGTTCTGGGCTGTACCGTTGGACGTCTCCTTCTCTCCTCCTTCCTCACCTTCCCCCTCCTCCAGTTCTGAATCCCAAGCTTTCATACTCAGCAGGCGATCTGTCAAAGACTGGAGGCGTACACATAATAGGTGTTACGTTTATGCCAAACAACACAAAGTCATGTGAACTAATATGATCACTGTAATGCACAATATGCCATTTTCAGCCACTAGGGCAAAAACAAAAGAAGGTGTCTTGTATATCAATCAGGAGGTTTTTACTGAGAACCGAATGATACGCATACAGAAGTCCCCTCCTCCCCAAAACTAACAGTCTCTTGGATTAAAAGTAGTAAAACCCTTAATGAAGCAGTTTCACATTAAAAATCAATGTTTCCCCAATGCAGATTGGTAGAAAGCCGACATCCCAGGGAGCTTTAAGCCGAGTTGCCACTAATATTTGCTCAGAATGCAAATGTCTTATTCTCTCCAAGACAAACAGACCAGGTGAGTAAAAACTGTAAAAATCATGAATGCAGCCATGACACACTAAGGTTGCGGTCGAATAGTCCATTTAGCTTAGGAACCTTCCTAACCGAGTGAAATGACCCGGAAGTCCCTCAGTGGCAGCCATGATAAGAGCCGTTCCAATTCTCTAGATGAAAGGAAAGGAGGTTTCAAACTTCCTTTATAACCTCCTTTAGCTTAGGAACCACTGGACCTTCCTTTACGAAAGAAAAGGAGAAAATGCTGCCCCACAATGCCTTGCAGCCACGGCATTTGCCGTCACACAACAGTCGGCCGTTCACGGAAACAACCGATTATGAACGAGAAATGATATCATGAAAATTACGGTGCTTATTAAGCATTTTAAAACGTATGTGGTAAGTTGCCAAAGTGCTTTGTTTTGAACGTTCATCAGTATTATAATCAAAAAGAGAAATATGAACGTTAGTTTTTACTGAAATGATCAAATAAAGTCAACATTTCACAGTCTTTACTGAGCTGTGTGGGGTTTGCCAAATGTATATCACTTTTGTAAGACAAAATGTGTCTTAAAACTGGATAAACGGTAGATTTTGCAGAAAATCACAACTTGGACTGGAGGGGAAAAAGTCTCCATTAGAATGAAAATGAAACAAAAGGTTACTTAAAAAATTGCAGATATATCCAGGTTTGAATTATTTTTTGGGGATAATGCAAACACATGACTCAACAAAAAAAAACATAGGTCTAGTGGTTTTTAGAAATGTGCATGCTGAAATGTTAGATAAAACAACTTTAAGTTCATCTTCCCTCCTGAGAGGATCAGGGCTGGAAACTGCCTGCTCTTTAAATCTGTTGTTCTATTAGAATTGCTTTTAAGTCATTTTATTTATGTTTTATTTATTTTTCTTGGTTTTATAACGTGAGTAGTTGCTGGTAAATGTTTCATTTTATCCTCTGTATGTACTAAAGATGCTTTATTTTCAGAAAGGTAAGTACCATCGACGACTGCAACATTTATATTTATATATATTCAACTGAGTTATAGAAATAAAACGTGGAGTCTTCTTGGATAGTAGTTCAAGATATTTCCAGTTTTTAAATCAGATTAAATAAATAACACAGAGTTTCCAGCTGCAACCATATACATCAGGCTGCAACATACTAATATGAATGCTAGTACAGAACATACCATGATGCGCTCGTCCTTGGTGGCGACGTCCTGCAGCATCCCGCTGTGAGCCACCTCACACCGGCTCATATCCGCCTCCAGCTCACTCACTCTCTCTGCCCACCCCTCCACCTGCTGCCTCAACTGCAGGGAGCAACACAGAGCAAGGGTGAAGACTTCATTTAGAAAAAAACATGAACTAGTACAGTATGTGATTGGATGGACTTAATGGAACAAACTAGCTCAAACTTATTCTAACCATACAAAAGCAAAACAACTCCACATGCTTTAAAGCAGTGGTTCTCAACTGGTCAGGCCTCGGGACCCACTTTTTCCTTTGTCAATAAATCGCGACCCGACATTTTGAACCACTCAAATCTATTCAACAAAAAATGGTGCTGTAATATATACGCTTTTCAGCAGACAATATTAATGAAAGTGAAGTACAGTGCATATATCCCTTATATCCCTTCACAAAACTAAAGTATGCTTTTAAAAAAGGTCTAATGAGATGATGGAAACCCAACCCCAGCAGGGGGTCTGGGGGGATTCTCCCTCAGGAGATTTTTAGAAATACTAACATATAAACTACACATTCTGGTACACTCTGAGAAGAAAATAAATAAATGTATTACTACCCGACATATTAATAATATTGTATGCCATTGTTTGTTTTTCACTTTGTTCTGACAGCTTGCTGCTCCACACAGAGAGAAGAGCAAAGAGGAGATTGTGGGTAAGGGTAGATAGCTCCCATTGTTCTGTGACCTGTCAATCATCAAACCGGGGGTCATATTTCATTATGTGTTCATTTTTATCTGAAGTTGTACCCATGGATGTATAAAGAATAGTTATACCGCAAAGTTATTCTCCGTGGGGACTTCCGGCAACAATCTTGATTCTGATTGGCCAGAAGACTCAAAAAAACATCAGCAAAGATGTTTTATTGAGAAGATGATCACTACGTGACAGAAGTTTTCAAAACCGTTATGGTCTCCGGTACTTCCAGTCCAACGCCGACTGCATGCACAGCGTTAGAAAATCGGACCTTCAAAATAAAAGTTTGACTTTTTTTCCACCAAAAAATATTTTCTTCCCTCACACATCTGCGACCCACTCGAAACGGGTCCGCGACCCACTTTTGGGTCGCGACCCACCAGTTGAGAACCACTGCTTTAAAGCACAGTAGCTGTATGCTTGTGGGTGGGTGTGGGTGTGTGTGTGTGTGTGTGTGTGTACGCTAGGGCTGCCCCCAAATAATTGACAGTTAGTTGGCTAAAGTCCTATGAAAAAAAGTAAACTATCTGGGCGCTCGTGTTTTTAGCCGCGTCAGCCACAAAACCCCTCACACTTCATCAGAGCGGTGCCTGTTCATTCTATTCAAAGTGTTGGATACGTTTACGACCCAAAGAAGGTGACATAACCGTTGCTCCTTTCTCATAATATGCGAAAATGGATGGGAGGAAAAAACTCAGCAGTAACTGATCTATATAAAATGACCAATAATATATATATAATTCTGTTTGAATTGTGTATGATCTCAAGGCGTAAATTAGAAATAAAGTTTATTTGCACTTTTGTTGTTTTTTTTGCATTTGTTTAGTTATTTTGATGGCGTTACAACTTTGTTATACTTTTATAAAATGTGTTTGAGATGTGGTAATTATGTTATATTGTGTTGAGGGAAAATTAAATTAAGGTTCAGTGTTTGTCCAAGCTGCTTGTTCCGGCACACATGAAGCATCGTTGTGGCGATTGTTCCATTAGCATTGTTGCTAACTGGCGGATCGCTTTCTCTGTCATGCGCTTTGCACGTGTAACATTCAAAGGCATTATTACACTGTTATATTATCTTTATAGGTAGAACAACATACTAGTATTGATGTTACTAATAACGTTCTACCTCAGCCGGGAACTGAAACCATTTTGTGAAGTCAGAAATAATAATATTAATAATCGGAATATAACATAAACATGCGAGGACTAGTCAACTTACGGCTTGAACTGACGACTACTGGTCGAATAAAAACACTTTTTTCAGGGCGACCCAAGTGTGTAATGAACCCTACCTGAGCGTTGCTCTCCCGCATCAGTGTGTTCTCCTCTCCGGCTGTTTCCAGATTCCTCTGCAGTCTGTCACTGTTCATGCTGTACACCTTCAGAGTGGTCTGTGCCTGGAGATAAAGAGGCAGAGATTGATATCCCATAGTCATGTGAAACGCAAATAAAGGAACAGACTGAGCAGAGAAGGAAAAGACAGGAACAAGTACCTGCTCTTCCTGTGACTGGAGGTCTTTGGTTTCTTCTTCAAATGTTGTCATGCTCTCTTCAAGCACTGCTATCTGAAAGGATAACCACAAAAACAATCCAATCAATCGCACACTTAAATATCGGATTCCTTACTTGAATGTCACTTTGAGTCTTCCTACCCTTTTTTCCTGCTCTATCCTGTGTTCTCTATGCTGCTCCAGTTGCTCCTTCAGTTCTTCCAGATCTCTGTCCAGCTCCCTTTTAGATTCTTCCAACTGCCTGGCTTTGACCTGGGGGAGCGGGAAAACAACATGTGTCCAAGTGTGAGCAAAAGAGTGAGAGTGAGTGAGGATTGAACGCCATATCGACTTGTAAAGATGATGATTGCTAAATAAAGCATTCACAAATAATGGCAAAAAAAAGAAATCAGTTACTTCAAGTTCAGGACAGTTTGGGATGAAGTGGACACAACAAAATGCCATGAGGTTTTTGGGTACATTTACAAAGACAAAAAATAAATAAATAATGTCTTATGTACAAAGATTTCTTGAAGCAACACATAATGCCGTCTAGCAGTTTTCTCCTGGTTTTGAAGAAGTTTCAATGTATTATTCTCCTTTTAATTCTCTTTTCCCGTGTGCCTTACCTCGAGCTCTTCTGTCTTCTGAGTCTGTGCCAAGACTCCACTGTCCCTCAGAGAGCTCTCCACCTCATCGTACTGCAAAAGACACAAAGGGAGGAATACATCTGATGAAATGTGGGCAGCACTTAAACTTAAAGCCACGATTAACAAAACACTTTATATGAATTTCAGATGAACAAACAGTGTTGTGTGTGCAGGCTCAGGCCCCATTTACACGGGAACGCAAACGAAAACGAACCGAATTCAATATCAAAAAAGTCTTCCGTTCACACGCAATCGGCTCAATTAACGTGTCTGTTCACACGAGACCGTTCGACCCGCTGGAGATGCTGTAGTACATATGCCGGGCCTGTAAGTGGCGCTGTACTTCCGCCACAAAATACACCAAAAGCAGCGAAGAAGACTTCCCGAGCATGGTTGCCATGGTTGCCTTTCTGTTTATTCTCCGCGCTGGATTTAGCAGCAGAGGTGGGGAGAGGCAGGGCTCTGGCTGTTTCTCTTTGTCTCCCTCCCCGAGGCAAGCGTGTGCTCCTGCTGTAAATTTCCCCGGTAGTCCACCAGCAGATGAAAAACACCCATCTCTCCGCCTCTTCCAAGGGACGAGGGAACCGTGCGGCAGAGTTTCCGTTAGAATTTGTTTTCGCCGGTCAACATGTCCGTTAAAGTTTAAATCTTCCGGGCAAAATGTGAAAATTGCCAGTCAAAGGTCTTTTTTGTTATTTATTGAGCTTTAAAACTAATTAATAACGACTCTATATAATAAGTAAGGGATAATGTGCTGATCAAGATCCCTCCGCTTCGCGTCGGGCTCCTGATCTGCCTGTCGGGTGTTCTTTTACCCATAATGACCGCCACGCTGCACATTATCCCGCTTATTACATGGCCACATTCTCAACAAAGTAACGATATGATTCCCAATATTAATTGAAATGCTTTTATAGATTTAGAAAATGTTTTTATTGATTTAAAAAATAGTAGGCTATTATTGATTTAAAATTACATGCATCCGCTAAGAAAAATAGTCCGTTTGAACTACGTAGCAACGGCAGGAACTGCTTCGATAGCGTTTTTGCGGACCTTTTTGATTACAGATTTGAAAACATCGTTGCTTGCTTTAAAAGTAGCACAATCCAATATGTCAAACCTTGGAAAGTATCTAGATATCCCTGCCCTAACGCAAAAGTAACTGGCAACTGAATATGTTTTGCCGTTTGATGTCTATGTCTGGACCGTTGCGTAAAAAGGAGGGTTTCTGCCCCGTTACTTCTCCGCTGTTTTCTTGTCCCAGTTTGAAAAGCAAACTGCAGGCAGTTTGCTTTTCGGCCAAACTGTATACAGTTAAATCTAACGGACTTCTTTGTGCAGATGTGAGCGTCCTTAACAAACGGTCAATAAGTCCTTGAAAGCGGTCTGTCTGTTCTGGATTAACGACGTGTCACGTGTTCTGAATTGACCAATCAGAATTGAGTATTCAACTAAGCCATGTAATAATATAAGAATAATACATGGAGCCTCTCTTTTCCTCCCCCTCTCCTGCTCACCTCCACGGGGGTGAGCAGGAGAGGTGCGGAGAGGCGGGGATATGGCGTATAGGTCGTACACACGGAGCAGTTTGACCCCCCCAGAGAGTTCCGTCCACAGATCTATCCACCTTGGGACCCGTTATCGTTTGAGGGGTCCTTTTCCGCGGTTCCGTTACGTTCCCGTGTAAACAGTGCCTCAGTGTCAGTCAGCTTTAGCACGAGTACAGACCTCTTGTTGACATTTGCTGAGAGTCTCCAGGACTTTACACTTCTCATCCAGGAGCTGCGTAACCTGCTCACCCATCCTCCGCTCTCTACCTGAAAACACACAAAACAATGCTCAGAACACATTCAAATCTTTGTTTTGTTATTTCTGGGAGAGTTTGCATAGGCAATGCAAATGTAATTGCAATAAATTAAGCTACAAAGCTTTTCACGATTCCGTACAGCTCTAATAATTTGTGATGTATTTGTGTTAAAGGTGGGGTAGGTAATTTTGGAGAAACCAGCTCGAGATCGCTAGAATTTGAAAATACACAGCCGGAAAAAATCTGCCACTTCCTTACAGAGCCCCTCCTCCAACACACAAGAACGCGCACATGACCAATGAGGGCACGAGATAAGTTTGTGCACAGATGGAAGGCTGACAGGCAGGTAGGCCATCCAGTTATTTTAGCCGGGCCGACTAAAATGATTGGTCGTGCTTTTTACAGTACTACGGCTTCCACAGATGACATTTTTTTATGGATTTTTTTGTCAAAGCACTTAAGATATTCATTGCTATCGGGATGTTAAGAGCATTCCATGGAATATAACAACAAGTGTATCTCGAGCCGGATTCTCAAACTTACCTACCCCACCTTTAAGTCATAAAAAAAATAGATATTGTGAAAAAATGAGTCAGAACTTACTTCGATACATTCTGCTTTTGACCTGTGAAAAATAAGAAGAAAGCAATGGTGAGCAAGAAGTACTAAAGAGATTCATTCTTAATAAATAATCATTAGTTATGTGGAATTAATGGCTATGTGGGTAACGTCAAACAGACCACCTAGGACTGTCTTGTAAAATCTAGAAAATACATCACTTAACTGTAATGCAGCCTCTTAAAACCAGGAAAAGACTATCTAATACAATAACTTGTCTCATATCACAATATGGATATAATATTAATATATTGCTGAGCCCTAAAAGGGATACATTGGTTTATAAATGGACCATAGGAACAAGTGGGTTGTGTGTTGTGTGATGATGATGTGTTTATATGAACAGTACATGTGTGTGTACTCACAGAGCTGTACAATCTACAGGTGAACAGCAGCATCGTCACCAGCCCCACCAGACCGGACACGATGACCGGTTCCCACGGCAACCCGTACAGGTCTGGCCCGGGTCTGATGTCATCAGGCAGTGCCAATACAACCTGAACAAAGAGGGGAGGAAATCTGGTTAATTTAGGATTTGAAACATAGTTAAAAGAGATGGGGGAACCTTGGTTTAATCTATTTAACTGAGAGGAGTCCCAATCATTGTGGTGAATGTTATTGTTATTCAAATTGACCACTGAATGTATATTATATCATTTGGTATCGCAAGTAGTAAGCCATGACTAGTAATCCTACCAGTCATGTGATGTAGTTAAGTATGTTTACTCAAGTACTGTACTGAAGTGCGATTTAAGGGTACTTGTACTTTACTTGAGTATTTTGTTATGCTATTTTATACCCACTACATTTATTTGATAACATTAGATACAAGTTTCTTTACATATCTATTTTATTAGCTATTACAAAATATAAATAATCTCTGCTATAAAATTATAGGTTAAAATATCCAGCAGTATTATATAAAGTAAGTAAAGTAAAAGTAGCTCCACTTGTACCAGCTGTGATGTACACAATGCAACAAAAATAACTATCAAGCTATTTAATATGATAATGAATTGGGGCATTACGCACAAGTACTTACTTTAAGTATATTTTGATATTATGTTTGTACTTTTACTTGTAATGGAGTACTTTAAGATCATAGCATTTGTACTTGTACTAGTAAAGGATCACAGTACTCCCTGTTAAACGAATTAGATAGTGGCTTATCTAGCGCAAATGATCTCATGCAAAGAGAATAACAACAGAAAACACCGCAGGAAAGCACATCACCTGCTCAGACAAACTAACGTTACTATCAATTAGCTAGCTAACCATTACTAGCTAAACAATATTACAAACAATTCTGAAAAAGCGACTTAAAATATCCCTGTAGTGCTGACAGCTGGTGAACAGCACTGGCACTACACACATGAAGTCAAACATGAGCTGTATAAAAACAACATATGAACTTAGTTATAATACTGAGCTATTTTCCAACGCTTGACAATCTTATGTCAGTTGGCTAGTTAATAAATGCTAACAAAACCTGCCACATAACGTACATCCTTCACTTTCTCCACGGCGATACTGTAGTAAGCCTCTGCCGTCGTCTGGAAGTCGACCGCTTTAATAGCCAACCGGTCGCTTGCCGTAAGTTCCTCCATTACCGAATTAGGTCATTTGGTTATTTTATTGATATCTGTCATTTAAAAACGGACATTTAAGAAACGATAGCCATCAACCGGGCTAGCTAGCGGCGGATTTCACAGCCTATTCACAACACCGAAGCTCAAGAGTGGACCACGTCACATTCAACTTCGTAGGGGTGGCTGGATGTTGGATACTCTCTAAAACCTCCTCGTAGAGATTCCACTAGGTTGCTATTGCCTCCAAACATGAACATACACATAATACAATATATGTACACAAGTTATAAATACCTATAAACTAGGTTGAGTATATACAGGTGTCTGTAGATATGCTCACACCCCCACCGGTGTAAATGGTTCACACGCAACGTCACCAATTGTAAACTGCCACACTGGCACATCGGAGCACTTTTAAAGTGACACCAAAAGAAACAGGTGTCACTAAATAGAGAGTTTTCAATGTCGTCTTTAATAACTTCTCAAATATCTAACATCATTTTTGTATTCTTAAATCGTAAAATGTTTTTCTCACATAAACCATGTTTCTCGAAACATGTGTCACTTGTGTTGAGTTACGGCGGCAGACATTTAGGCATAACAGGCCGGTCTGAACAGGCCAGTCAAAAGTAGGACATAGGTAGGACACACTGTAGGGGAAGATTCGACTGTCACCAAATGTTTTGAAATGTACTTACCGACCTGGCCTCCTTTTCGTCCATTTGAAACTACAGAATTAATATACTCCTAAAAACATTTTAAACACTTTGCCTTTAGAGCAAGTGGGTTACCAGCTGGCTCAACGTGTGTAATAGAGCCACCAGCACTGAGGAATGCGAGTTATGATGACGGAGCACAGCAAGTTTGACAGCTGAGAGAGAGTCAGAGCAACATGTTTAATGCTTTAAAGAAGTATACTCTCTATACAGGGTGAAAACACAGCTGTGTGAACCTCTAAAGGTGTCTAATGGCACATTTCCACTGCAGGGCCTCGCACGGCTTAGTACGGTATAGTTAGGTACCTTTTGTCAATTTCAAAAGATCCCAAAAATGCCCTATAGAAAAATGACCAATTAGGCAAGAAGGAGGTTTATGTTAGGTTATCTGATAAAAAGTTTAAACTGGGTCAGGCAATAGTTTGAGTAAACAAAATGCATCCTGCTATGACCTCAGTTACAATTGTAGACTGTATAGGTAGGTTGCAATGCTGCAGGGGGAAAACATTGAATGAAATGTGGCTGAGCAGAACTGACAGTATTGTGATTTTTGCAAATACTGTAACGCTAGCAGTGGAAATAGACTGATAAATCACATATTTGTGTTGGCTTCAGTGCATTTTGACCTTTTTAACATACAATATGTTTTAGCTGTGAATTTGAAGTTGTATGACAAACACTTATACTTCCATGTATGTTAATGTGCAGCTAACTCTTACCTGTACAATAAGCCATATAAGGAGCTCCTCCACTGCATGAACATGAGTGGTTGAGTCTTCAGCGATCTGATGAACTAAATCCAAAATGTGCTTCATTATCCCTGGAATAGAGTCACAAACATAATGGAATTAAAAATGTATGCTTTCCCCTTTTTGTCACAATGATATATTATCAAAATTCAAATAATTTATATTTAAAAAGGTATAATTCACTTCTATTCAAATATAGAACTTTCCTCTTAGCTGTAGTGTAATTTATCAGTCTAGATAGTTTTGAAGTGAGTAGCCGAGTGTTTGAATTACGCACGCTTCCTTTGGCATGATGATATGGTTGGCGAGTGTTTTACGGTAGAAATAAAAACTTTCCTGAAACTGCATGATTTCTGGAAAATAGTCATTGCTGTTGAGTTCCTAAATGTATTTTGAGCATTTGCGCACCGCAAGCCAAGTGCCATCTAGTTCCATTGTATTCAAGAGAAGAAACGGCCGATAACTCCAAAATAAGGCAACTCAAAACAAAACAATCTAGATTGATAAATAGCTTTACAGGTATGGGAAAACATTTTCTGATTTTGAGTTAATCTCTGTTTCATGTATTAATGTACTAGTGTGAAACAAATCTATAGTCTGTGGCCCTGTCGTAATGTTCCAGATTGTGTGTAGCAGCTTGAAGAATCAGCAGACCTCGGTCTTTTCATATCTCACTATATATCTTTTAATCATCTTGGAACCCTTTTTGATTAACGGATACTTGATTCACCCATACCTTCTAGAGGCTGTGGTGATCCTGGCTGATTCTCTTTCACTCTCTCTTCTTCCCCTCTTTGTCCCTTCTCTGCTTTTCTGTCATCCTCAGTCGACATCTCATTTCCTGTATCTCCACTCAGTCTTCCATTCTCCTTATCAACTTTCATCCAATCATCTCTTTGAGCGTTGTCATCCAGGCCTACAGACAAATCTTCCTCAGTTGTCTGATCCTTATCTTTGATGCGAGTTGAACAGGATTCACCGACACAGCTGGCCTCGGCTGCATTTAATAGGGAAACACATGCATTCAATGAGATTAATTGAGATCATAGCAAGTCAAACCCATACCAACATCGGATATAATTATTGATCTTTAAGGACATGTAGTCATACAATACTTGATGCTACTGATTCACCTGATTTGAAAGTCTCTCTCACTCTTTCCAGAAGCATTTCTAGTTTCTGAAGTGCGATGAGAGCTTTGGTCTTTTCTTTATCCTCCTGAGGTGCGTCCGCGAGCCTCATGCTAGGAGCGACCAGTGCCTCTCTGTGATAAAGCAAAAGTATTTCTATATCCAGCAATATGGATTCATCATTGTCCGGGTCATCGTTCACGGTTCCCAAGCTTCCTAAAATGTAATCCAAGAACTGCAGCTTGTGTGGCCCAAAGAGTTCCACGAGAATAGTCGTCTCGTCGTCGCTCATGTGGGCGTGGAGGTTCTTGTAAAGTTTGGTGAGGGTTTTTGTTTGGAGGTGGCTTTCTGGGGACGGAAGCGATGTCTCTGAAGAGGTAAGAGAAGGCTGAAGTTGCTGCTGCGGCATGGTGATGGAAGAAGGCAACTCTTGCACCTGATTCGAATCAGTGGTTGATTCCAGTTCTTGATCAAGGGTAAGAGATGCTGGTTCCTCAGATGTCTCACCTGTGTTGGAGTCCACATTTGGGGTAGATTCTTTGGATTCTTTGGTTTCGGCAACGGGGGTTTCGCTAAAAAAGCTAAAGGCATTTTTGAAAAGTCCAAATGCTCCGCCGCTTCCGGTCTCTGCTTCCTTTTGATTCTGACTATCAGACGGAAGAGTTTGTTCAGATATTATATCCCGGTTTACGACATCTGGAACCTCGATTCCTCCCTCTTTCCTGTCTTCAGAACCAAATGCATTGCCATCTAAAATGTTCCCCTGTATATTATTATGCTTCACGTTTATCTCCCTCTCTTCCCAGCTTTGGCCACTTTCACCTAAATCGAGCAGATCAATGTTTTCTGCCTCATTCTGCTTTCCATTCCTATTATCATCCCTTTTCCCCTTCTCCTGTATTCCATCATCATCTCTCACTATGCCTTTGAATGGTACCTTTAGACTCACTCCTGTCTTATCTGCTAATATTTGATAATTGTCAGGATTTTGCTTTCCTGTCTCGATTGCCCCTTCATTTATTTGGCTCAACTTATCTGCAGAATCACCTCCATCTCCGGCCCTCCCAAATCCTTCTTGAACGGCGTTTATATTGAACTCCCCCAAACTTGAGTCAGGCCCTAAAGTGAGGTCATGTTGTGTCCGAAAGTCCTGATCAGTGTCGCTTTCAGCTCTGAAATCTTCTCCTGACTCTCCGTTACTATCCTCCTCCCAGTTTTCTATTGATTTGGACATCTGATGAAATTGACCATTTATAGTCTTTGGAGAAATATCTTTTACATCAACCTTGGATTCTGCATCTTCAGGTAAGACACTATACTTACTGTCTAAAGTACCCATATCAATAGAATTACTGCCATCATTTTGGTCTGTTGGAGTTTCTTCAACCTTTGATTCGTTGCTAGGTTCTGTTCTTACCTCATCTGTCAGTTCGCCGTGAGATTGACTGGTATTCTCTTGTTTTAACGTTGTTTTCTCTTCTATCTCCTTGAACCTACCTTCTGCACTCTCATCAACTTGACTCTCGTCTTTCCTAAAGCCTAAAATGTCCCCAATCCCCATATTCAACCAAGAATCTGACACTGTTTGTTCCTCCTCTGTGATTAACTCCCTATCCTCTTTTTCAGGTGTGGTCTCTTGCTCTGAATCCTTATCGGTCCGAACAAACCCCAATGTGTTCGGAGAGTCACCTCCATCTTTGGCCCTCACAAATCCGTATTGACCAGCTTGAGGACAAAGATTGTTTGGACATTTGAGGCTCCCCTCTTCTTCTTTGTTCCTTATGTCGCCCTCCACATTCTCTGGATGCTCATTGTCTCTTTCAGTGTCAGGTACAAATGTGACGTTGTTTTCAATCTCAACCTTAAATTGAGACTGTACTGTTTGTTCAACCTCTTTCTTTTCTATTTCCTTAACTCCTTCCATCTTCTCTAACTCCTCTCTTTCGTTATCTTCTTTTGACCCTTCCAGTTCTTTGTGTTTTTCCTCCTCTACCTCGATCTCTTGCTGCTTCTCTATATTCTTATCCTGCATCTCATCCAGTTCCTCCTCTTCCTTCATTTCCTCTTCCTCCCACTGCTTTGCCTTTTCCTCTAACTCCTCCTCTTTCGGTTTGGCCTCTTCTTTTATCTCCTTCAAATCCTCCCGTTTCTCCTTGTCCTCTATCTCCTTCACTTCATGTATCCCTTCCTCCTCTATCTCCTTCACTTCCTCCTGTTTCGCCTCTACTTTGATCTCCTTTACTTCCTCCTGTGTCCCTTCCTCCTCTATCTCCTTCTCACTTCCTCCTGTGTCCCTTCTTCTTGTATCTCCTTCATTTCATCCTGTTTACCCTCATGCTGTATCTCCTTCACTTCATCCTGTTTCCCCTCTTCCTGTATCTCCTTCACTTCATCCTGTATCCCTATTCATGTACTCTACTCCTCCGATTCCCTCTACTGTATCTCCTTCACTTCATCCTGCTATCCCCTCTTTCCTGTATCTCCTTCACTTCCTCCTGTATCCCCCTCTTCCTGTATCTCCTTCACTTCATCCGGTATCCCCTCTTCCTGTATCTCCTTCCACTTCCTCCTGTATCCCCTCTTCCTGTATCTCCTTCACTTCCTCACTGTATCCCCTCTTCCTGTACTCCTCCTTCACTTTCCTCCTGTATCCCCCTCTTCCTGTATCTCCTTCACTTCATCCTGTATCCCCTCTTCCTGTATCTCCTTCACTTCCTCCTGTATCCCCTCTTCCTGTATCTCCTTCACTTCATCCTGTATCCCCTCTTCCTGTATCTCCTTCACTTCCTCCTGTATCCCCTCTTCCTGTATCTCCTTTCACTTCATCCTGTATCCCCTCTTCCTGTATCTCCTTCACTTCCTCCTGTATCCCCTCTTCCTGTTATCTCCCTTCACTTCCTCCTGTATCCCCTCTTCCTGTATCTCTTTCACTTCCTCCTGTTCTTCCTTTTCCTTGTTTTCCTCTACTTCCTCCTGTTTCTCCTCTACCTTTATCTTCTTCACTTCCTCCTGTTTCTCCTCTGCCTTTATCTTCTTCACTTCCTCCTGTATCCCCTCTTCCTGTATCTCCTTCACTTGTTGCTGTTCTTCCTCTTCCTGTATCTCATTCACTTCCTGTTGCTCCGAATCATCCTTTATGTCCTTCACTTCCTCCTGTTTCCTCTCTTCTTTTGTCTCCTTTACTTCCTGATGTTTCTCCTCATTCTGTATCTCCTGCACTTCCTGTTGGCTCCCTTCTTTCTGTATCTCTTTTGCTTCCTCCTGTTTGCCCTGTTCCTTTATTTCCACCACTTCCTGCTGTTTTTCCTCTTCCTTTAACTCTGCTACCTCGTCCTGATTTCCCTCTACCTTTAACTCCCCTACTTCCTCAGTCTTAATGTCTGTTTCCAGGCCTATAGCTGACTTTAGACCACTTTCATTTAGAATGTTCTCTCCAAACTCCAATGTTTCTCTCTCAGTTTGAACTGGCTGGATTTTGTTTTCACGATCGTTCTCAATTTCCTTAACCGTTTCCTTAAGCTCATGTGAATCGCCATCACTTTGTGAGTGTTCCTGTGGCAAATTTGGAGAGTCCTGACCTGCATTGTTTTCCATCTGTGTTGTGCTCTCACTTGTGGATAACGTTCTTCTCTCGATATCTGAGGCATTTTCATACAGAGTGTCAGTACCGCTATTTCTAGAATGGGATGACCCAATGTCCTGAGAGCTGCTCTCCAAAGGGTGCAACTCCCCCTTGGTTTCTGTGTTATTATTAATCATAGAATCTGAATCATCAAGTACCTCCATCTCTGCGATATTCCTTTCACTTTCCTGACTATGCGCCCCGACTATATTGGTGGATGCTTCCGTGTTTATGATCTGAATCGGTACCTTGACCCCTTCCTCGAGGACACCCTTTGTTGTGCCCTCCTCAGCCTCGCCTACAGATTGTCCCGCGGCATTCAAATTTAACTCCAAAAATCTCGAGTCAGGCCCTAAAGTGAGGTTAGGTTGTGTTAAAAAATCCTGATCAGTGTCACTTTTAGCTCTGAAATCTTCTCCTGACTCTCCGTTGCTATCCTCACCCCCTTTTTCTATTGATTTGGGCATCTGATGATCTTTACCATTTATAGTCTTTGGAGAAATATCTTTTACATCAACCTTGGATTCTGCATCTTCAGGTAAGACACTATACTTAGTGTCTAAAGTACCCATATCAATAGAATTACTGCCATCATTTTGGTCTGTTGGAGTTTCTTCAACCTTTGATTCACTGCTAGGTTCTGTTCTTACCTCATCTGTCAGTTCATCTTGAGATTGACTGGTATCCACATTCTCTTGGTCTAAAGTGTTGTTCTCTTCTGTCTCCTTGAACCTACCTTCTTCACTCTCATCCACTTCACTCTCGTCTTTCCTGTAGCCTAAAATGTCCCCAATCCCCATATTCAACCAAGAACCTGACACCGGTTGTTCCTCCTCCTTGATTACCCCCCTATCCTTTTTTTCACGTGTTGTCTCTTTTTCTGACTCTTGATCAGTCCGACCAAACCCCAGCGTGTTTGAGAGTCCATTTCCTAGCCAACCCAATGTCCCCATTTCTTCCTTCTCTTCTTCATGTAACTGGCTACCTTCTAGGTCCAGAGACATCCGCCTACTTCTGAACATATCTGCTGGCTCTTCTTCTCGCTCTTTTTCTGTGGAGGGATCGGTTTTTTCCTCCCCTCCAAAACCAAGCCACCCAGACATGGTTGAAGTGAAAGAATGATCAGTCTTCATGTCTTCTTCTTTACTTTCCTGAGCATCATCAATAGGTTCTCCTCCCAACCCCAGCCATCCTGTCACAGAAGAAGCAGCAGAAGCATCGGCCTGCATCTCCTTTGTCTCTTTTTTGTTCTCTCCTTCCACCAAAATGCCAGTTTCTTCTTCCTCTTTAGCTAGACCTAACCATCCTGTCACTGAAGAACCCAACCAGGAAGAGGGTTCAGACCCACCTTGTTCCTTCAGAGTTCCTGGAGGCTCCTGTACTTCCTCTTGAGTCCCGGCATCGCCAGCATCCCCAGCGTTTTTATTTTCGTCCTCTTCCTGTGCTGAGATTGGAAATTCTGTAGAAACAACTGCAGGTGTTGAAGGACTTTCAGTATTTGTGTCATCGTTGTATGGTGTGGTTTGGGTGCTTTCAGACTCCTGGTTTTGTATGTTCTGATCAACATCCTCCTCATCACTGTCCAGATGACTAGAGTCAATGGGGTAACCATACTCATCCATACAGAAGAAATCAGATTCCTGAATGAAGAAAGGAAATAAGGAATTCGGTTTCATCTTGTACAGATTCAAAAACTACTTACTCAGGGTAAATAATATACCATATATCAGTTTACTGAAATCAATGCCTGTTTACCTGTGTTTCCACTATGTTCTCCTTAGTAGCATAAACCTGCTCCTCTTGCACGGCATCCTTTGGGAAATAGCCAAACTGTTTGTCAATCTGAAATCAAAAGTAAGCAGTTGTGTAAAGCCAAGGCAGCATTGTAGAGGAATGGAATGAACGGCACATAGTCATTAGAAGGACAGGAAAAACCCAGATAAGGAAGCACTTTTTTCTGGGGTTTCCCCTTATTGGGCACTTTATCGACTAAGATTTCTTTAGTCGATTCATCATTTTTAAAGCTTTTCTCATGAGGATGGACTTATTTTCAAGAAACTTATGTGCAAATCACTGGTAAACATACATTTTAAAGTGGTACTTTTGCATTGGTCTTTGTGGATTATATTATCCACTTGATAATTGATATCAACTCATTAAGGAAAAATAAACGTTATCTTAATACATTACAAAAAAGACTGTTCTCTTACAGGGGGATAGCCTAAGTAAAGGGGTTTTCAAAATAAAAGATACAAAATAAGTGGTGATTTATCTACTCATTCTGTCTGTTAAGTACATAATTATATCATTATATCAATGAACTGGAGTGTGAGATCCAATCAGAGAACCTGTAGTATCTGTATTGTAATCACGACTAATCTCGTTAACCTACAACCTGAGATGAGGGCTTGAGTTGTGTGTGTTGGGTTACGGCCTAAAGAGAGAAGAGGGGATATATCAGACTCACACTGCCGGCCCAGAGCTTGTTCCTTCTTCCAGTCAGTTTGTGGTAAACAAAGATGGTGTCTCCTCGTCTAAAGCTAAGGAAACGACAGTCCTTACCACGGTGGTCCCTGATGGCCTGCACTCTACTCATCAGGCCTAGACAAACACACACAGACACACTCATCAGTGATTGAAATAGTAAATGATTGAATTAAATATTTCCTGTAATGGTATGGTTTTTTGCATGCTTCTTATTGTCATTATTTGTTTTGTTGTATTTATTTGTGAATTTCCCTGAATTTTAAGAGCGGTCTCATGCAGTTTTATGCTGTGTGCAAAGAATAAATAAACAAAACACTAAATGACAACCGAAATAATAACCGTATTATCATAATTAAATAGTTTAGAAAACTGTTTAGTGGACCATCATAAACTTTAAGGATATATTAGCAAATGGACACTTACTTTCACATTCAGAGTCTCCACAGATCTTGTAGTCGGACAACATTCCCAGATTCAAGTGAGGTAAAATCACAAATGCTATGCCTGTACACCACAGAATAATGTTGGCCTTTGAAACAGCCATAGTTGATGGTTTAATAGGAGCGTATCAAGAGAAGATGTCCATAATAACTCTGCTTCGCTGGCATGTGGACATTGCCTCTAAGCTGCTGCTGTCATGAAGACTCAATAGTAAATGGGAGAGCTGAGATAAGATATAAGGCCAGCGTTGGGATAATCATTAACATCCAGCTGCTGCTTGGTCACTGGTCAAAGGTTTTTATTTGGTTTTATTTCAGTTAAATGTTAGAGAAGATCATCTATATTGGCATTTCACCGTGAAATAAATAAACAAAGATGGCAACAGCGTTTTGGAAAGTTTAACGTGTGTTTTATGGACTTCAGCCTTTATCTAAAAATATGTCAACACGTGTGGCGTTCATCACCATGACAACAAACGCCGCGCGCAAATACGGCGTCATCACTCCGCGTGTCAAACCAACCAAGATGGCCACCTAGTTGGAGAGCACTTTTCAACACCTGTGAAAAGTTCATTGTTTTGGTCGTTTTCTGTTGCAAGTTGGCGTTTCATTCGCAGTTGGCGACAGTTTACATTAAGGTTGTTGTAAGGTATTAGCTTAAAAATGAAGTCTGACGTAGAGGAGTTAATGCCGAGGCTGCTGCCCGTTGAGTTTGGAGCCAGTGGAGAAGAGCTGGACCTGAAAGGACCCCCGAGAAACCCCCGGGAATACCTCCGACAGGTCCAGTAAGTCGCCCTCTGAACAGAGACACACTCCCCTTTCAACCTTAATGATAGTGCAGTATCAGTGTAACGCTATTACACTGATACTGGCACCGGAAACACTGTAAACATGGTGGATAGTAGAGGGCACGTGATGTTTCGAAAGCCAGTATTACAATGAATATTGTTTTCATGCTTCCATTTCTACACTTGGTTGAAAAATACTCAACTTGCAAATAAGACAACATGGCTGTTAAAGTGCATTTCTTTGTATGTATTCACTATTTTTGTGTGTATTACGAAGTGCGTCACCAGAGCAAGTTGCTTGAATGAAGTACTGTGGGCTACTTGCTTTTCCTCCTTTTTCCTATGGAACACCATTGATTTCACAGTCATTTTGTTACATCGTATTAGTATTACTGCAAATAGATTAATTTAGTCAAACAAAACCAAATTGTTGTACTATTATTTACATTTGAACATGGGAGGCGTTTAACTTCGATATGATAAAACATAACAACTTTGACAGGTGATGAAATAATATAAACCACAGTATACTCTTATTATTTATTTTATCATGCCTACTCACTCCACTTGATCAAGATTTAGAAAAAGTACCTGTTGAGGGAAAATAACAACATTTAATAACCTATATTTTAGAAAGTATTTATATTTTAATGAAATACCAATGTTTTTGCTTTTCTCCAGGTTGGAGGCGTCACAGTGTCCAGAGGTGGTGGTGGCTCAGATTGACCCCAAGAAACTGAAGAAGAAACAAACAATTAATGCCTCTGTGAGTAAAAGTACACAAACAGAAAAACCTCAACATAAAGTGCAATAAATAATAATTCTAATGCAATTTGTCTCTGTTTAAATGTAGCTTTGGTTAAGGTAAAAATAAATAATACATTTATGAATGGTTGTTTTTTAAATATGCAATTCCAATAATTGTTTTACTAGAAGTAGGCTGCCCACATGAAGTGTAAAATGAGCGAACAGGGACACATGGGTAATGCTAGCTTGTGAGATGATATAAAATGTATCTATTCCTTCTATTGTCTGACTGTTCCTGGTGTTTCTGTCTCTCAGGTGGCGGGGTGCCATGCTGCTCCGGTGGGGTTCTGCCCCAGCCTCAGTTGGCAGCAGCACCAAGTCAGTAACTTTTCAGATGTCAGACAGGTGAACTAAAACAACCCGGTCTTCCTTTTTTTACTCAAGTCCATAAAATATATAAAAAGCAATGCTGGAAAGGTTTGGTCCATATCAGAGGATGACAAAAATAATGGCTCAGGCATGCGTCCTAAAACCCAGGAATGAGTCAGCATTTAAGCACGATTTCCTCGTCTAGAAGTCAACGTTTTTATTGAACATCTTTGTGGTTAGATGCCTGAAATAAGGTCTGTGGTTAACTAGGGCTGCTCGATTATGGCAAAAATCATAATCACGATTATTTTTGGTCAATAATTGAGATCACGATTATTAAAAACGATGAAAAAATGTGAACAATATGTTTTTAACAGTTGATTACCCTGAACTTTAAGTATAATTCAACTGAAAAACCAATAAATAAAAAAAAAAAAAATAATAATAATCGTTTTATTTCGATTACGTTGTTTTCGTAATCGTTGCAAGCCAAAATCGTAATCGAGATTAAAATACGATTAATTGCACAGCCCTATGGTTAACACAAGCTTAAGATATTAAGAAGAAATGTTCTATGACATAAATACGTCAGTTCTGCCTTTTTCCCTTAGAGCATTGCAAAGAACAGGAATCATTGGAGCAGCAACACTCTGGACGACAACGTGGAGATGGTGAGGAGGATCTTAAATATACGATGGTGCAAACTGATTAAGAGATTTAGCATTTGTTATAAATACACATTTTCTGTGTGTCGTCCAGCCGGATATAACAGACGAGGAGGGCTGGAAGAAGTTTTGTTTTGGAGAGACGCTCTATCTGGGCACTTCATCCAGCCGGACAGAAGCAGCTGAAGCAGAGCCGGCACTGGACTACAGCAAGGTTGGGTTATAGTGATAAGAAAAAGATAAATGAACTATTGTTATTTAGCTGACAGAATTTCTTACAAAGCGTTACAACTCATGGAGTTTGAAGAACAGCCTTCAAAAATCTGTAAAAATGTTAGCTATGCCTTTTAAAGCTTGATCTAAAGAAATAACAGTTACATTGTTTATTTATTTAAAAGCATGTTGTTAATAAGGGAGAATGTGCAGCGAGCCGGTCAATAACGCAAAATTGGCGAGTTTTCAACTATGTATTAAAAGATAATAATGAAAGCATGTGTCTGTGCTCAGGTGGGCTTCCCTCCCTTCCTCACGATTGTCAGCAGGCTGAACCAGGTCAGTAACTCTCTCTGTGAACATTTTATTCTGAAACACTTTGACAGTCTGATTAATAGTTTCCTCTTGTCTGCAGACCACGGTGCTGATGGTGTTGGAAACTCTAGTCGGCTGGTTTGAGGAAAATGACTTTGCTCCACAGTTGGTGAGTTTAGTTAGTCACTGCTTTTTAATTGTTTTCCAATTCCAAATGTCCAAAGCTGTGATCGTATTGCCATGTTGTAAATTGGAAACCGTGCTCAATTCTTATAAAGTGTCTTTGATTAAGTTAACACTCGGCTATTAAAGGTGGGGTATGTAATTTATTTCAGAAACACTTTTTGTTATATTCCATGGAATGCTCTTAACATCCCGATAGCAATGAATACATTAAATGCTTTGACAATAAATACATGAAAAAATGTCACCTGTATAAGCCGTAGTACTGTAAAAAGCACGACCAATCATCTGAGCCGGCCCGGCTAAAATAACTGGATGGCCTACCTGCCTGTCAGCCTTCCATCTGTGCACAAACTTATCTCGTGCCCTCATTGGTCATGTGCGCGTTCGTGTGTGTTGGAGGAGGGGCTCTGCAAGGAAGTCTGAAGGAAGGGGCAGATCTTTTCCGGTTGTGTACTTTCAAATTCTAGCGCACTGGTTTCTCCAAAATGACCTACCCCACCTTTAAGTTGGACAAAGACAGGATGTTGAAATTCAGTGCAAAATGGATACGACTATAATAATAGCTTGCATTTACATTTATATAGCGCCTTTCAAGGGACCCAAGGTCGCTTTACAGTAATAGGGCAAAAACAAACATAACAAAACAAAAGTCAGACAGACAAAACAACAGATCGATTAGGGGCCGAAAGCCTTTGCAAACAGATGGGACTTGAGGGCCCTTTTGAAGGCGTCGAGTGTGGGGATGTTGCAAATCTCCGCAGGGAGAGCGTTCCAGAGGGTGGGGGCTGCCACACTGTAGGCTCTGTCCCCGAAGGTTCGCAGTTTGGTGCGGGGGGTGGTAAGCAGGCCAGAGTCTGAGGAAAAGACTCTCAATTCATTGTATTTATCTTGTGATTTAATTTCTAGTTCATTCGTTTTTTTTCATCTGGGAATTTTAGACTTTTTTCTTAGAGTATTACCCTCCCCTCCCAACCTCCATAATATAATTTGGCTTCCCTGAAATGCTATTGTAGGACACAGCCCCATTGCTAAATTATTCTAACCGTTGTAAAGCAGCAATAAGCACTAGTTTTCTGAATGTGGGGAATAAATACTTCTTGTTTTAGTTTGCAGCCCTTTCCACGATTAAAATATGAAAGGTGACTTTAACAGAACTTATTTCCTGTGTGTGTGTGTGTGTGTGTGTGTGTGTGTGTGTGTGTGTGTGTGTGTGTGTGTGTGTGTGTGTGTGTGTGTGTGTGTGTGTGGTGTGTGTGTGTGTGTGTGTGTGTGTGTGTGTGTGTGTGTGTGTGTGTGTGTGTGTGTGTGTGTGTGTGTGTGTGTGTGTCACACAGGGTCGCTGGCTGTACGCTCTGCTGGCCTGCCTGGAGAAGCCCCTGCTGCCTGAAGCCCACTCCTGCATCCGACAGCTGGCCAGGAGGTGTGCTCAGCTCCGCAGTGCGCTGGTACGATTCCCTTGCTGAGACTGTAATGCTGCCGTTCCTCAGAGGTGTAATACCTGTGTGCCGTCCTCCTTTCTTTCCTGTGAATTCAAGTGGAAATATACAAGTTGCCTTTTTCCCCTAATTTTTTCTTTGGTGCTAAATACAGGAAGGGATAACTGTGATCGGTTTATTGGTACATTGTTATTTCTGTAGGAAGACAGCATTGATGTTTAAGAGAACTGGATACAGTGTTCGAGGCCCTGTTCATTCATATAAATGTTTCTTCGGGCACATGAAGAAAATAATCACTTGACTAGTGAGAAAATAAATAATCTGGACTAACGGCATGTGTTTTTCTTAAGCCCCGCCTCCAATCCACATGGCCAGTCTCGGCTCAGTCAAATGAATGGACAGACAAAGTAACTCTGGATTATACAACTTCTAGGACCTAATGATGTGAATAAGGCTATTTAAGGGTCCACACTGAGTAGTTAGAAACAACAAATATCTGTTGATTTTCATGACAGTTGATTTTTTTTCTCAATGTAAGTCAATGGGAAGAAGTCTTTCTGGGCCAAATGATGTCACAGACTTGCTGCAACGGCCGGCACACTTCCTGGGGGCTGTAAGACTTTTTAAATGTCTTCTCACAGCATGACTTTTTTTTCTTCTGATTCCACAGGAGAGTGAGGAGGATGAGAAACTTCCTGCCCTGAACCTACTCGTCTGTCTTGTTGCCAGGTAACGAGCACTGTGTCCTGGGTAGTTTATTCTTTGTCAGTCCATATGACATTTTAATACATCAGGCTGTCTGCCTTTGGTCATGTAATAAATCAAATGCAAAGAGTGTAAGGCCTAGTCTACACGACCAAAATACAATTTGAATGTTTGAAAACACCAACATACTATTTAAATTAAATATTACTATCAGATATACTTGCGTGCTAAACACTTGACACATGCTTATTTCCCTTTGTCTTTCCTGTAGGTACTTTGAGCAGAGTGACCTGGCAGACCAGCCCGAGTGAGGATTTAACTCTTGGACTGTGTCAATGTTGAGGAAAATGTCAGAGCCTTTGGACAGCAGGATGTACTTATGGACATTTGAAGGTGGAGATAATGTAACCAGGACACGTAGAGAGCTGTGAGGATTCTGCATGACGTGATGAAAGTTGAGGATAAACCAAACGGATCATGAACTCACTCTGTAAATATATTTGCAATTAGCGTGGATCCCTGCTCATGACTGGACAGCAACCAAAGCAGAAGATGTTATTTTTGATTGTTCTATTAAACTCATTTGCCTAAGTGTGTGGAGCTTATTGTTGGTCTCTGCATAGTCACCGATGTTCCTTCTGGATCTTTGCTAGACAAAGCAATAGGCCTAATTTTAGATCACCCACAGATTATGAATCCAAGTTATCTCTAACAACCCAGTTTAAACTTCAGCAGTGTTGGAAGAAGTATTCAGATCCTATAGCAAAGTGAAAATACCACACTGTAAAAAATCAAAGTCCTGCATTTTAAGTAAAATTACTTCATATTTAAAGTACCCAATGCAGAAAATAAAAACCATCTAAATGTTTATAGATGCCAATTAAATATGTCTGACTAAACTGTTTTCTAGTTACATTTGTATAGACTCTTGGGCTTGTTTAAATCTTTATTGGTTGTATAGAAAGTAATGTAATAAGTACAATACTTCATCTTATAAACACCTCGTCATTTTACCTTTGTTCAATACTTCAGTAGATGTGCCGAGTTACTTTCCAAAACTTCTATGATCTCTTTTAGAATGAGACATTTTGATTTATAACCTCTTAAAATGCAGACTTTACAAAGAAAGACGTGATCTACGGACAGAATGATAACAGTTGACATTTCGTTTGTTTTAAATTAATAGACAAGCTAAAATCCCAAACCATCTCTTGCTCTAAGTTTTTATTTTAAATGAGTGTATTTTATGCTTTGCCGTTTCAACTCATTGTTAATAACAAATGTGTTTTATGGATTGTTGAACATACATAAAGCATTGGAAGAGGTTACCTTAACCCCTGGTGATTTGACACTTAACAGCCTAAATATTTAATGGGAGATCATTTAAGCAGTCCCAGCCTTAATATGATTTGAATAAAAGCACATCACACTTATTTCCACCAATACCTCACCTTTAATTTGAAGCAGATTATCAGTTCATACAAAAAATGGAAAAACACTTTCAAAAACCAGCAAATCACACATGTCCCCGCAGGGTGAAGGTACAAGGGCTTTCACATTGATCCAACAATGAAATAAACGTCGATTGACAACATTGTCACATCGACTTAAAAATAACAGTACTGTGAGTGAATGGTGCTACCGTAACCACCGGCAACCCCAGCCTATGGCGTTAGGATGGAGAACATTCAACACCATCTGTCCAGAGAGCCTTTTAAAAGCCAAGTGTCTCGAATACCCTAGCTAAATCTGACCCTGTTTAGCAAGGCGTCCAATCAGGTACACTTCTTTTGCCAAATATAAAAAAGGGAAATTATAACCACTTATCCTCCATTTCTATCAACTTTTAAATCCCTACTCTGGAGAAAAATCCTCCAGGCCTTTAAGTGGCATTTTAAGGGAAAATGCTAGTTTAAAAACGTTATGTAGTTAAGTGAAGTTGATTTCCCCTCAGTGTGCCAGCGTCACCGTACAGCTGAACGAGAAGCAGATTAGCGTCTCTTGTCCTTCCTGTCTCTATCTTTATGCTCCCTATCGCCGCGGGAGGACCTGCCCCTCCCTTCATCGCTCCTCCTCTTCTTCTTCTCCTTGGACGCCTTTGAGTCCCTCCCTCCTCCGCTGCTCCCCCCTCTCTTGCGCTGACTCCTCTCCTCCCCTTTCTTCCTGTCCCTCGCCCTCTCCGACGGCCTCCTCTTGCGCTTGCTGGGGTCTCGGCTGCGACTCTTTGACGACGCGGACGAAGAAGAGGAGGAAGACGAGGAGTGGCTGGACCCGGAGGAAGAGGACGAGCTCCCGCTGGAGGAGGAGCCCGAGGACGAAGAGGAGGTGTTGCGGCTCTTCTTTGGCTCCTTTGCCTTCTTCCTGCCTCTCCCGCCCTCCTCTCCCTTCTTTGCGGGTGAGGGGGTGATGGCGGGGGCCTCGGCTGGTTTTTGGGGAGCCTCCTCCGGTTTCCCCTCCGCAGCGTGGCTCTCAGCGGCTGAGTTCTGCAGCACGAGGCCAGGCGGGCTCACTTCCTGTTCGGGAGCCACGGAGGCTTTTTGGGGTTCTGGGATCTCGGAGGGCTTTTCTGCTAGCTCCCCCGCAGGGAGGATGGGGGGGGGCTGGGGCCCGCTGTCTGCTGCTTGGCTGGGTGCGCTTGGTTCGGAGGACGGGGTCTCCTGGGGCTTTTCATTCTGGATCTCTGGGAGATTCTTCTCTGCATCCCCCTCGTCTACCATAGTCCTGTCCTCTTTCTGTTTCTCTCCCTCCCCCTCTCCCTCCATCTCCTCTGACCCTGGGCTTGCCTCCTTCTCCTCTACAGCTTTAACCCCCCCCTCTCCTTCCTTCTCCTCATCCACTTTCCTAACCTCCTCACTCAACTCCATCCCCTCTACCTCTTCCTCAACCTTCTGCAACACTTCCTTCTCCCCCTCCTCCATATTAATCTCCTTTTTAGCCCCTTCCTTTTCCCTCTCCTCCATCTCCTCATCCTCCTCCTCGTCTTCCTCCATCTCTGCATCCCCCCTGTTACCTGTCACCTTGACTACCTGACCTGCTGGCTTACCCTCCGCCGGGCGGTCCATTCCCGTTGCCGCGGTGTTGCCGTCCTGGTCGCGGTTTGGCTGTCGCCGGGGGCGGGACTCCATCTTACTGAGGTGCTCGGCAAAAGCCTCGCGCCTCTCATCAAACACAGCTGAAGAGAAACAAAAAAGAACAAGATGTTACAGATTAGAAAATGATGGATTTTAAAAGGAGATGTAACAAATAAACGTTTAATAAAAATGTTTGCTTTGGCCCGTTACAGTGACAGTCAAAAACACTCCCGAAACAATAAAGATTTCCAATAATTGTATCGTTAAATAAAGTACAAAAATAATTGACTAAATTAGGACCTTGAAACATTAGAAAATGGATGAGCCTGCCCTTTCCGTCTCCAAAAGCCCTCTGTACACGTGTGAACAAGTTGACTTAGTACCATGAAACCACAACAAGAGGACAATTGACAGAAGTGACGATAACAAAATACAACATGTGCAGTCCAAACAAATAACTAGAAAAATTAAATAGGTTAAAAAAGTATTTTCGCTACTACAAGAACCAAAAATGTAAACTCTTAAACTTTAGCAAAGAAGCCCCCTACTCACCATTGAGTTTCTTGGTGGACTCGTCGAGGAGTTTCTGTGTGGCGGAGCACATTTTCCCAGGCGCATAAAAGATGTTAGGCTTGGTCTTGGTGCGGATGTATTTCACCAGATGGTTGTTGTGGCTGGTCCACTCCTCTTGCTGTGGATGGAACAAAGACAATGTAAAAAAACAGGCAAAGGACAAACTCTGACATTTGTTTTGTAAACAGTCACAAACAAAACAATGCATTAGCAGTCAAGTACTGTATATTCCCTTGTGTCAAAATCAATGTTTCTTTTGGGTTAGATACCTGACCACAGGTCTGTGGTTAACTCAAGCTGGGGAGATGTTTAGGTTTTGTTTTACAACATAAAAAAACATCAGTAAATACCCGACGGGTGAATGTCTGAATCTTTTACCCTTAAATGATGGTTGGTAACAAATGGCTAAATGAGACTGCTGAAAGTCATTGAACGCGTCGCTAGCCTCCTTTAGCTTGGGGTGGTCACGTGAAGTCATCTGACTGATGTAGTTTGTTTATATCCTAGCGTTCGCTTTTATATGTAGAGATTATTATGATGAACAAACATACGTTATCATAATATTCCAAAATATCCATTGCTTTTTGACAAAGGACACGTTGTTGCGATGCTAACATCAAGGACAGCCAACACAAATCCATCATCCCTGCACTACTCTGTGTGCATTCATTTTTCGGACAATAACCAAACCTAAACAATCTTTTTAAATAGCAAAAAAGGCATGTCGGTTGGTTTCTACTGGCTCTGAAATGGTTTTTGAGTATTTGCTTACCAGCTGAGCTAATTCCACTTTCTGCTCCAGCAGTCTCAGCTCAGTCTGTTTGGCTCTCCTCTCCTCGAAGAGCTCCCTCTTATCAGTCTCCACCTTCTTTTTCTCAGTCTCTGCCTGAACCTCGAGCTTCTGCTCGATCTCTGTGCGCCGCTTTAGCTGTTGGAAGAAGATGGACAGAGACAGGCTTAAGAAGGGAATTGGTCAGCACAGTTCTATTGCACAAGAATCACATTTTTACACGGTGCTTTACGAAACAGAAAAACACTGCACCATCCCATTTAGGAAAAGAAGTGCATTTAGCCAGGCTGTCTTTTCATTCAACGCATCCCATCAATGGAATTCAATACCACAATCTATAAGAGAGTCCTCATCCTACTACTCATTCAAGCACAGTGTTAAAAAGTGGCTCATTGACAACCAACAGTGATGTGTGGGTGTAGGTGTGTGTGAGTGAGTGCATATTGTGAATGTTTTCTTTATTATGACTTACACCTTACCTGTATTCAGTGATGTCGTCTATTGTAAATATGTACATTTTTTTTGTATAACAATGTATTGGTATTTTTATTCTTGCTTTTAGGATGCCTATCACCATCTGGCAAAGGGACTATCGGTGAAAACTAGCTTTTTGGCTAATTCGAGTACATTCACAAGTTTTTTATATGTTGATTAATGTACACTGTCCCTTGTTTTAAATAAATCAATTCAACTGTGACACCAAGGCTCTGATTTATTTATTCAGAAATTAGTGATCATCTAAATAAGTGAAAGCTTCAAACTGATTAAAATGTTTTTGTTGTCTTTGCCTCGTTTGATGACAAAAACACGTTCTTCTATTAACCTGTTAAGCCGCGAGTCTGTTTTCCAGGTCTCAGGCTCGAAAATGACATTCCCAGAACAAATGACCATAACTTCACTTCTAAAAAGGGGTCAATTAATAATCTTTTTTCTTTTTACGCAACGGTCCAGACATAGACATCAAAAACATATTCAGTGTGCAGTTCCTTTGGCATTAGGTCAGGGATATTTAGATACTTTCCAAGGTTTGACATAATGAATTGTGCTACTTTTAAAGCAAGCAACGATGTTTTCAAATCTGTAATCAAAAAGGTCCGCAAAACATTTAAGATTAACTTCAACCTCCGGGGGGGGGGGGGGGTCTTACTATGGAGGAGTGGATTGAGGAGTGCCTATCTCCAGAACAAAAAGCACCTAAACGACGACATGCAGAGCTACGTGAAGAGCAGGTAGACCAACTGGAAAAGTATCACCATTCAAAAGCTTTCTGATGCGGGTCTTGAAACAAAGCAGAGAAATTATGACCGTTAGTGGCCACAGGTGCGAAAGCTCTCTCCAGAGCTACTGGAAGCCCAATCTCGGGGACCGGAGAAAGTGGAGCAATATTCTCGCCACGCCAAGCAACAGCCTAGAACAACCTCAACCTATACAAGTAACCACGTAAGCCATGCTACTGATGCTGGACAGGTTTTCAGTGGCTGCACAATAAACGGCAACATACACATTAATGTAAATAAATAGCCAAATAATGGATCAACGCTCTCTGTCTAATATATTCGCTAGCTGTTGTTAGTGTTGTTGCATAGTTTCGTGCAGAAGGCAACAGAGGGACTATTTTATTTTGAACATCATTATTTACTAATAAAAACTATTTAAATTAGAGTGTGTATTTTTCTTTCATATTGCCACACTTGGTAACCGTTTTATAAAAGCAATAGCTCACGACAGGCCGTGGTATAAGCTCATTATATCACAGCTAAGGGGGAACCACGCCCCTTAGCTGTGATATAATGAGCATATACCACGGCCTGTCGTGAGCTATTGCTTAAATATATTGTAGGGCCATACCTATATAAAAACATGTCTGTGAAGTGTTTTGCTTAAAATACCAAACAGTTCACCCATTGTAGCCATCCCTCATACTGCTCATACCTCTCTTTTGAAGCCCTGTTAGAGAAACGCAGATTTTGGGTCCTTAGCTTGAAAAAAATAAATAAGAGGAGGCGGAGCTAATGCCTGATCAGAATTCAGTTAAATTCTGCTGTGATAAAACGCCATCCTGTTTAAACCACGTCAAGGATTATTTCTGAAATAGTATGGAGCTCAAATGCTTTTTCTCTTGCGGGTTTATCACAAGGCGAGTTCTTTTTTTATTTCCTGCTTTTTAAACACATGTGCTCTCTAGGACAGGTTAGCTCTGAGTGTTAGCGAAGCTTGCTAATGTAAACAAAGACGTCCAAAACACGTCAGGCATTGTTTCTGATAGCAACTTTCTGTGGGTCCGCCGCCGCTATTATGTCACAGTGGATGGAATCTGTATCCGCTCGTTGTACACCCGTTTTTAAAAGATTTGGGTACGGAGGAAAAGAGAGGGTTTTATTTTCTGACGCTGCGTGAGTTCCCCGACGCACCGGGGACACATATTTATGTATAAAAGACATCACAAAGTGTATTTTGCATGATAGGCCCCCTTTAAAGTAAATTCAGATTGAACATAGTAAAAAAATGTAAATTATAGTGTCCGTCCAAAAGAAAAACATTACTCAGTGAAAACCACCAGTTCACTCAGAAATTCTGTGTTTTTTCCTCACCTTATCTGTTGAGACGTTTGACTCCTGTTTGAATTTTTGCAGGGTCCCCATGAGTAGGCCGAACATACGCCGATTCCTGAACAGAAAATAAATTATATTTCCAGCTGTGCTTTAATAATACAATTATAGTTTGGGCCATTCCCACACAGCACGGTTTGGAAATGTCATGTCAGGATTAACGTGGCTAAAATAATTGCAATTCACCATATCATCCTGATGAATAAAAAAGGGTTTGTACTTAAAATGGCACTAAAACAAAAATAAATACATTTATTGAATAGACAAATGAGTAGCATCGTTTTCTTTTTTCTTGATGAACTTTTTACTACCAAGTTTTTGTCTGCCAGCCTACCTCTGTTTGCCCCTCTCATCGATGGTCTGATCTTGGATGAGGTCTCGGCGTGTTCTCTCCTTGGAGGTAGCTACAACAGACGACTGCAACGCCGGCTGAGGGAAGGAGGGGGAAACAGTGTTAGCTCTGTTTGTCCTTCAACACTTTTTTCTGTATAAATGTACATTCACCTGTTTAACTCATGTCATTTCGATTCATACTATTACTACAGGTTTATCCTTTTTTATGCTTATTATCCTGTGTGTACTATCTGTGTTGCTATGACGGCTGAATTTCCCTACGAGGATCAATAAAGGCTCATCTTATCTTAAAACAGTGAATGTCTTTTTCTGATAACTTCTTCTAGATTTGACATTTATACCTCTGTCCCCCTCTCTGACTGCACTTACCAACAGTGCTAACTTCACAGAGTAAAATAAACTGTATTCTCAACCTTTTTGACATCGTCATCATCCTCGGCGTCGCTGTCGTGGCGCGCGTCTCTCCTGGCCCTCTGGTCCCCCGCCAACCTGCAGACAACAAGGTGAGACACCCGTAAGACACAGACACTTCACAACACAAGCAAATACAGCTGCTGCTGCTCGCATAATAATAATTGTATTTATACAATACATTTTTGAAAACAAAGTTAAGTGCTTGACAAGCCGTTCAGGCGGCAACAGAACACAAGGTCAAAAATCCTCACCCTAACCCGTAAACTATACCAGTGTTAATTTTGGCAGCTATTTTTGATTTAGTCTTAGTCTTTAGACGAAAATGGTTATTAGTTTGTCACATTTTAGTCATTTCTATCCTTCATAGTTTTAGTCTATTTTAGTCGACGAAAACTCAAAACGTTTCAGTCGATGAAAAATTACAGTCAACTTTTAGCCAAAATGTTTTCTCTCTAACCTGTTAAGCCCTGAGCCTGTTTTCCAGGTCTCAGGCTCGAAAATGACATTCCCAGAACAAATGACCATAACTTCACTTCTAAAAAGGGGTACATTAATAATCTTTTTTCTCAAAGCAATGATAAACCTGTGAGTTGGATGTAGAAGAGTCAGAATCAATATAGATTTTTTTTATTTTAAAGTAAATTCAGATTGAACATAGTAAAGACAATTATTTAGTCCGTCCAAAAAACAACAACATTACTTATAGTGACAGACACATTGGAATAACCTTCAGCCACGTTTTTCTCGTTGTAATGCCATTGAACACAACTTTTGATCAGAATAACAGCAAAAGGTGAGCATATCTCCGTGTTTTGCTACCTAAAGCTACGTTGTGTGTTGTCTGCTTTTGCTTCCCCTGTCGCAAGTTCTGATCGCTCAGTGATACTTATATTTCTAGAATCTGTGGAATCTCAGCTTGCTAGCTAAGCTTGTTTGTGCAGATCCGATAAGTATATCGATCGATTTATACCCAGAGTTCTGTGCTAAGTGCGTCAGCATTTTTTCGCTCAGGGCTCATTTAGACGCTTCTTGTGAGACTTGTGTTTTGTTTCGGTAAAAATGGTTCATATCTTCAGTTAGCCGAGTTTCTTCCCGTTAAGTGAGTATGACACATTAATACTTTATTACATTTTAAGAAGCCCTGAGACACCGGAAAAAAACAGGGGAAAAAAGCCTGTAGCCCCCACCGGCGGGAGCTATGGGGCTTAACAGGTTAAACCAATTCAGTTAGGCAAATTCAGTTATCTGAAATTGGAATCAAGGTGACAGCATCAAGTGTTGAAATTCGTAAAGCAACATTTCACTCAACACTTTACTTGTGTAATATCTAGGGATGGTATCGCTAAGGTTTTAACGGTGCTACTACTCTTATCGATACTGCTTATCGATCCGGTACTTTAACGGTATTCTTATCGGTACTTTTTGTTATTTTTTAAAAAGGGAAAAACTAAACAAATGAACATTACTTTATTTAAATGTAAAATAAATCAAATATATAATAATGCATTTTATTTATGGGCGCCTTTCAAAGCTCTCAAGGACACCTTACAGAGCATAATTAAAAACAAGCAACAAAGAAGATCACACAGTAATACTTAACAGACTTAAAAACAACAATCAGTTTAGCAGAATTAAGTTATTGAATACGCCAGTTTAAAAAGGTGTGTTTTCAGGCTGGATTTGATTTTTATTTATAACATATATAATTATGTTATTATATCGTACTGTACTCGAGTAAAATGTTGAGGTTCTTGTACTTTACTGGAATATTTAAATGTTTTGCTACTTAGTACTTCTACTCCACTACACTTCAGAGGTAAATGGTGTACTTTGACTCCACTACATGTATTTAATACCTTTAGTTACTTTACAGATGTGGATGAATGATGTGAAATATAATCAAGTGTTAAATCAGACTTGAGTTCCACCTGGAGTAAATTCACAAGCTACCCTGCAGTATACAAAGTCATTCAAACTAGCTGCACCTTTACCAGCTTTGAGAACACTTTAATGATCAATCATTATAAAACATATCATATATATTATTCTGAAATGGACCAATCTGCATAATGACTACTTTTGGTACTTTACCTATATTTTGATGCCAATACTTTTACTTGAGTAACATTTAGAATGCAGTACTTTTACTGTAACAGAGTATTCATACACTCTGGTACTTTTTTTACTTAACTACAAGATCTGAGTACTTCTCCCACCTCTGCACACCTGATGTGATAACGTCACTCGTAATTGGGGCAACAGAGCTACGAGTTAAGGAAGTCGAAAATTTTGTTTTTCTCCGACTGAATATGACGCCTTTTGGCCGGCTGTTTGGACAGACTGCTTGTGTCAATGCCCTTACGCGAAAACACTAATGGCAAACGAGCTTTGTCCACATCGAGCCTTGTAGAGTTTTTTTTATACTCTCTGAACGCTCCGTCCCCGGCAGATCTCTGTGTGCCGCTGCAGCGAGTCTGTTAGGCCCCGCCCCTCGCACACAGAGAGAGAGGGAGATCGCTCTTCTGGAGTGAAGAGAGCGGAAATAATGATATTGCAAGTTAGAAATGTAAGATGCATTTTGACAGACAAGACGGACAATTGGGGGGAAATACCCTGCGTTTTGAATGTCCAATAGTCCACCATTAACACCTTAGTCCCGTCTCGTCAACGAAAACTAAATATACATTTCGTCATAGTTTTTATTATCTAGAATCTATTTTTAGCTCGTCATCGTCTCAGTCATGTAAAAAAGGTCGTTGACGAACATTTTTCCTTAGTTTTCGTTGACGAGATGAACACTGAACTATACGACATTTCAACCAAAGCAACATAATCAAAATGGAAAAATTTAAATAAAGTAAAAACAAATGAAACATGGATGTTGAGTAAAACCGAGCAGTGGCATTATTAGTTCAAGACTTTAATAAAGAGATGAGTTTTAAGAAGTGATTTAAAAGCATAGCTGTGATCTCTGCTAAGAGCATTTCTGAATCAAATAATTAAAAGCGATTCAATTAAAATCACATCAAAGCAATATTTCTATTTATGTAATTAAGAAGGGATAAGGCACATTATTTAACATGAACAATTGAGTCCATCATGTAAATGTGACAGATTAGCCATAGAGGCTGATTTCTATCTACATACAATGGAAGGTTGATGGGGATTGAAAAAAACAACAAAATAGAAGCTTGATTGCAGCACATATGATCTTAAATACACACAAGTATAACAAATAAAATAAAAATCTCACCTGAGCAGGGCTCCTTCGATGTCCCTCTGCTTGGCGGGGGGGGCGCTGCTTCCCATGTCTGAGAGACTACGCCTGAGGAAATACACAGAGACAGGCACTCGATACATAATCCATATTCCAATTTGGGAAATAGTTTGTTACAGTAGCATGTTTAAAAGGCATTGCACACAAATATAACTAAATAAACTGTAGAAAGGGTAGCTATAGAAGACTCAATATGAAGTATATGAGAATCAGAAATACCTTAAATAATCCCAATTGGTTTTCATTCATTCAGTTCAAACTACTAAAAATGCATGATTATACAAAAATGTATTGATTGTATTGCACATCCTACATGTCTGATCGATTTTAGAGAGTTTGAAACAAATTCATGGTTGTTTTTGAAGATTTAGTTTGAGGTGCAGTTAGAAAAGTATAGTTATATTTTATCTTCATTCATATTTACAAGTTTTAATGGACATACATCTAGCATAAACATGTCTTCATTAAAAACCCTGTTGTGTATTTTCAATCACATATCTGCTGTATTGTAGTAAAAGTGAAACAATTCTCACATTTCAAGCAATACAATTCCAAAGCGTGGTCCCGATTTTAAAAGCTTGATATTTTATTAAAAAGCGCAAAGGTTGCATACCATTTGATAGTAGCCTCCTGAATGAAAATGAATGCTATATAATGTAGTAGTTACCTGAGCAGGTTCATCCCTCTGCCTCTACCTCCACCAGGGCCTGCCATGGGGCCGCTCATCCGACGGATCTGACCCGGTCTGTAAACACAGCAATACACAAGATAAGAGCATGCGAGAACCAGAACCTGTTCGTTCCGGTAATTCAGCTCCAACGGAAACTGTTAGCATTGATTCCTTGGTAATGCTAACGTTTTAGAAACAGTGCTATTCGCTTCAACTAAACAGGACACCGGACGACGCATGATGGGCCTAGCAATAGTTAGCATACTGCGTTTGATATTCCACTCCATGGTTTAAGCCAGTTGTGTGTTCAATGCAGTGTTTATGACTGTAGTGCTTGTCATGCATTAGTTTGGACACAGGTGTGGGGTCAGCTAGCACAACACAATCAAACGAGGTGGCTATGTTTGCTTATTAGCTAGCCGACTAATGCTAACACACGTCGCTACTCATTTGAATGCTAGCTAGTTAAGCTAGTTAGCTTAACTCTAAACACACCCCCAAAAGCTAAATAATCAGTCGGCTTTATTCTTCTTTACCTTGATTCATTAGGGTCACGTCCAGTTAATTTACGAATATTATCGTCCACACTTTTCAGGCTTTGTTTTGCTTTTTCGAGCTGGTCTTGCAAGCTCCGCACTACCACCGCCATCTTGCTTCCAGTTAGCGCGAATCACGTGTTTCCTCCTCTTCTTCTTCTACCTTCGGCTGCTTTTTTCTTCTTCTTTGGTTTATCGGTGGCTGTCACGCGAGGTTACGTTGCCGCCATCTGCTGCTCAGGTTTTCTCCTAAAATCGATAACTTAACTTTTACTACATATGTTGCTACTTGGAATAATCTTCACAACCAAAAATAATAAAACCCTGTTTTTTCAGAATACTTCCAGACAAACAGCTGAAGGGAAGCAAGCATTATCTAATTTCATAATGCTTTGATGCAAAATAGTAAAAGGGGACCTTCGATTAGGACTCTCTTGATGACTTCTTTACTGTGTCTGTCCTTGGGTGTTTTCTCTCCGGTTCCTATCATGGTTGAAACATATAAACTGTTTTTGTTGGAATGTGCCTTCTATCAGAAGTAAAAGATGGAGGAAGTGAAGATCTTTTACTGCTTGTAAAAGTACTAATACTATGTAAATGTCCCCTCTGTGGGACTAATAAAGGTATTCTGATTCTGATTAATACCAACATTTAGAAATACTCAGTTACAATTAAAAGTTGTACACAAATAACAATATATTTTACTGTACCAAAAGTTAAACTAATCAAAACAACCTCTTTTTTTTTTAGCATTTCACATGATAGTAGGCTACTGTTTTATAATTATAGCTTTAATGTGTTCATTGCTATAATGTGCAGCTGGTAGGGGGAGCTTTTTTTGTAATAATTATATTGCTGTGTAGTTGTACATTTCACCAAGGGACAAGGGATCAATAAATGCATTTTGAGAAGTTATGCTAAGAGAAAAATGGTTAGAATAAGCTTGACATTTCAAGATGAAAGGTTAAGTTTTAATAATATAAACTCATACTCCATAATATTACTTTGATGAGTTGCAACTGTGCAAACATATTAAACAGTAATTACTAACTAGAGAATGCAATTCCTGAAGAAATTGCTAGTGGGAATGCTTTATGCTGAAAAGCTGACGCTGAATTGCTATGCTGAAATGTAATGTGTAAGAAGAAATTGAAGAATTTAGATTGAAATTATACATGAACACTGGGGGCTTGAATGTGTGATGAGAGTAAGTAAAAAGGCTTGGAAAAGCAGCAGAATAAAAACTAACTTGATGGCGAATGATCTGTCGCCATGGCAATGGCATTTGATGACACCCCACAATACGCTTAGATGTGTGGATGGCTGTATCGTTACCAAACCTGTGAAGTTTTGGGCCGTTTGGAGCATTTTCACTGAAGTTATGAGAAAACCGTGTTTCATGGCGAGCCTTGTGTTACCATGGCAACAGCATTTGAAGAAATCTCAAAACTCTCACGTAGATGTCGTCACGGCTGGACTGTTAGCACACATGTGAAGTTTGAGCACTTTTTGAACATTTTCATAGGAGTTAATGTAAAGCGACATCGTCTTTTATGGCGAGGGATGCGTTTCCATGGAAACGGCATATGGTGAGATCTCAGATTTGCCGTAGAGCTGTTGAGGCATGGACCGGTGATATACAAGTGAAGATTGGGGGACGATTGGACCGTGTCCATTGGACTTACAGCGACATCGTGTTTCATGGCGAGTTGTCTGTCGCCATGGCAACAGCATTTGATGACACCCCATAATACGCTTAGATGCGTTGATGGCTGCATGGTTACCAAACCTGTGAAGTTTTGGGCCATTTGGAGCATTTTCACTGAAGTTATGAGAAAACCGTGTTTCATGGCGAGCATTGTGTTGCCATGGCAACGGCATTTGAAGAAATCTCAAAACTGTCCCGTAGATGTCTTCACGGCTGGACTGTTAGCACACATGCGAAGTTTGAGCACTTTTTGAACATTTTCATAGGAGTTAATGTATAGCGACATCGTCTTTTATGGTGAGGGATGCGTTTCCATGGAAACGGCATATGATGACACCCCATAATTGACGTAGAGCTGTTGAGGGCAGGACCATTAACCATTATCTGAAGTCTGCTGCTCTGAGCATGTCAGTTGGAGTTATGACATCATCGTGTTCCATGACACAGGTGTTTATATTTGAGCTAACGAGCTCTGTAGAGATCAAAGGTTTGCATTGTTCTGAATGAGAGATAAACCTCTTACATGTGAAAGTTTTGTGGAAGAACCATAACAGATATCTGTGAAATTTCAAAACGTGAAGCATGTCAAGGAAGTTGAGTATCTGAAGTGTGCTTTTTGTGTACTTTCGGGTTAATAATGTGGCCTTTTTGGCAGTTTAACTAAAGGTGTGCGGCTGCTGCTGTGAGGAAATATCAGCCTGAAATTACAATGAGTTTTAATGGAGACATGTTGAAAGTTTTTGTCACTTCATGTCCTCAAGAGGCATTTTGTTTAATTATTTTTGCTTAATTATTTGTCATTTTTCAAGCTACGAGATGTTTTCCTACGTTTGTCATGAAAAATTATGTCTCAGGAATGTAGGGTTTGGGAATTATGGCAGTTTAAAAAAAAAATATGAAGGCAAATTTCAAGATTTCCTACCCTCTAGCTGTGACATCACACACTCTAGTTAATGTTAAAATCTGAAGAAAGCCTCTTTACCAAGGTCTGAACAATGTTTAATATCTCTAAAAGTAAGAATCAGATTTAAAAGTTGTGTTACACGAATAATGTCAGAAAGATGTGTAACATTTTAAAGTTGGAATGAGGTTTCTGAGTGAAAGTATGAATGAACAGTTAGCAGTTGAAGTCGCATGAAGATTGTTCAAGTCTGAAGATTTTCTCCATTGACTTCAATGGTTAAAAATGTGATGAATTATGGGATATATCTTGGGAATTATGAAAGTTATGAATGAGAAAAGTAATAGCAATCGATTCCCGACCAAGCTGAACGTTTTGATGTTTGAACGGAGTTTCTGCGATGTGGAATGTGGGAGAAGAAGACCAGCAAAATAACGGGTGGAATAATAAGAATAAAGAATTTTGTGCGTAGAAGAACATATAGTTGGAATGCTGTTAACAGCATTCCCACTAAATAATTCCTCCCTATTGTCGGACACACCCCAATGAAGTTGAGCAAGTCTTTATAATTAATCAACATTCTGCTGTCACCCTGTGTATTGTTTGTTCATCGCAACAATGTGGTATTGCTCCAGATTAATTACATAACACCATCATCTGATTACCCAAATGTGAAATAAAGCTCTTTGTCAGAGCTATAAACAAAGCAGAACACAGAACAAAATGAGCAGTGAGCATTTTTCTAATGTTGTGGTCAAGATGAGTGACACATATTTATATCTTTACTGCTATAATTAATAAAAGCAAAAGAAGGAAAAGCCTTTTTGTCATATTATTTCAATATAATTCTGCCATTTACTCAAAATGACATATTTTTAAAACCAAAAAATGATTAATTGGGAAGGTAAGCACTTGAGGTACCTGTCTTCTCCTAATATTTCCTAGTATGTCTTATATTTTTACAATATCTTACATTTCTACTGATGTAAAGAGCACAGGAAATCCCATCATTCCTCCTGGTTTGGTGCTTTCAGTATCTCTTAATCCTCTCATCATTATCCAGCACGTTTCTCTGCATTTCCCATCGCTGTGTTGTCATGGTGACAGTGGTTGAAGCTCATTTACAAGTGTTTCATGTTGCCCTCTCACTAGGGATGCCCTGCACTGCAGAGCTGTTTCCACTCCCTTCCTGTGAGGAGAGCTGATATTTGATGTTCCCTCCTCAACCGCCCTTCCTCGAATGGAGTTACATTTCAGACATATACATATAAGGTATTGTACATTTTAAATGCACTACATCTCCCTGAACAACATTGCAACATTTCTAAACCCCAGGAGGTTACAGAATCTTATAAGCATCATAATCCAGGTCTGAAAAGCCAATGCAGAACTGATTTAAATCTGCATTCACTCCGATATGCAGCAGGGGGCGTCAGATTTGATAGAAGTCTATGAAAAAATCCTCTTCTTATTGGTGCGAATGCTGTTTACAGCATTCCAATATAGTTCTTCGAATCTTTAATCTTCTTATTATTATTATTTCAACCAATAGTTTGGCTCTCAATAACTTCAGCATACTTTCAGCTACAGAAACCATTCAAATATCAAACTATTCAGCCTTTTCAGCACATGATGGGAAACTTTCAACTTTTTCAAAATATTTTATACTTTTTGAAATATTCAGCTTTTTAAACTCTTTTTTTAACATGTAACTCAATGGGAGGAACCTTAAAATCCTCTTCTACCTACACCTTGCGCCAAATGCTTCTCCTACCACATTCATTCCAACTTTAAAATGATCACAAGACCTTCAGCTATAAAACTTGTTCTTCAGATTTGTCATATCTTTTACACTTTTTGAGATATTTAACTTAGTTTGGAGCTTGGTAAAGAGGCCTTCTTCAGATGTTAACATGAATGTGTATTGCGCAGCTCGTTAAGGCTTATGCTGCGTTCACAGTCACACCGGACGCGATGCGAATATTCGCTTCGCTCTAATCGCTCCTATCGCATCGCTCTAAACGCTGACGTTTCACCGCGGCTGTCAGCTGTGTTTACTCGCATCATTCAAACAAGACGCGGGGGCTACAACTACAACAAAATGAACATATTTTACCGTGATTAAATTGTAATACACGTTTCTAAATGATGCCGAAGTAACAACATACTGATATCGGTTAGTAAAAACCATGAATTATTGCTTTGACAAGTCTGCAGACAAGACGGCAGGCGAAAAACCTTTTAAAATGCTTGTTTTCTGAATGAAGATCGGGTCGACCAGGCTAAGCTAACGTTGTATATGCTCATTCCACACTCATAACAACGGCCTACAGACATAAATAAAGCAGCGACTGTATTCGCCATGACACAGACAGTCTGTGGTTTGTACTTGTTTAACTTTTGTTTAGTTTCTGAACAGATATGAGGAGCTGTGAGCTCTGTGTGCTAACTGCTAACAGCTAACGGCTGATGTTGTATGGTTGAACGTCAGTGACGGCAGGCTGAGATCCTCACCGCTGATTGGCTTCCGCGAGAACGCGTCACGTGAATTTGACGCTCGAGTTGAAAAAATTGAACTCTCGCGTTTAACGCGGCACCGTTCAATCGCCTCAATCGCGTGATTCGCGCCGCGTCCACCGCTTCATGCGCGCCGTCGGAGCGAATTCGCGTCTCTGCATTGACTTTACATGTAATCGCGCCGCCCCCAAACATCGCATCGCGTCCGGTGTGAACGCAGCATTAGAGTGCGTGATGTCACAGCTAGAGTGGAGGACAGCTTGAAATTCGCCTTACATTTTCTTTTTTTAACTGCCATAAGTCCCAAACCCTACACTCCTTGGACATCATTTTTTGTGAAAAACATAGGAAAACCTCTCCTACGTTGAACAATTAAAATAATTTTTTTTTTTTTAATTAAACAAAATGCCTCCTGAGGGCATGAAGTGACAACAACTTTCAACATGTCACCATTAAGGCCCATTAATCGAGTCTGATCTGTCCTCAGAGCAGCAGCTGCACACCTTTAGTAAATCTGCCAAAAATGCCACATTATGGACCCGAAAGTACACAAAAAGCAGATTCCGACGCTCCTCATGGTCCTGACATCCTCCACGCGTTGACATTTTACGAAAGCAGCTACCATTTTTAAACTATAGTTAGAAATGTAAGAGGTTTATTTCTCATTCAGAACAATGGAAAGGCTCTCCTTTCACAGCACATCTCCATGGAAACCTTTGATCTCTGGGCTCACGTACGCAGATGTTTGATAACGTCGTCACCATGGTAACCTTTGATCTCTGGGCTTACACACACAGGTGTTTGTAAACATTCATTCACTACTACTTACATTTAATATCTAACTCCTTCAGCCTACTTTCAGCTGCAGAAACCATTCAACTATTACATTATTCAGCTATTTCAGGACATTGAGGCTATACATTTAGTTATTTATACCTTTTTTAAACCTTTTCTTTTAAATATTAAGCTTCTTCACTATTTTCCTACTCTTCCAGTTTAACATTTCACTTTCAAGTTTTCAACAAAGTCATTGATTTTGATTCAAAACATTTCATTTTTCTGAATTTCTCCGCTAACACACTTACTTGGTTTTTGTAGCTAAAAACAGCTACAGAGACCATTCAACTAATAAAATATTCAGCTTTTTCAGCTAAATTCAGCAACAAGTGTACACAGTTTACAGCATTCACACACATTTTCAGCAGGAAATACATTTTCTAGTTTCAAGTCTTCTTCAATACAGCATGATGCTCATTTAGCAGATTATGTTCCCATGTTGAGTCAAATTTAAAATACAGCAGGATATGCTCTATGGTTATCACTCCTTTTCATTGAGAAGAGCTCATATTCTGTTACATCGGTTTCTTTAACCATAAATACATACAGGTTAAATTGGTGCATATTCAATGCACCCTCTAAACAAAACAGTGACATTTTTTAACCCCAGAAAGTATTGGAATTTTATAAACATATGCCAAGCAGCAACCTCAAGGTCATAGATAAGCCTTCTTCATACAGTGATTTCTACTGATCTGGATTTAAAAGTGAAGCTAATGTGGAAATTCTTTCTAATTTGAGTACTTCTCATTAGATTTGTTACCCAACTTAAAGGTCAAATATTATGCAAAATCCACTTTTTCATGTCTTTTATACATAAACATGTGTCCCCTCTGTGTAGGGAGATTCTGAAAGTTTCAGGAAAAAAGATTCCCTCTCTTTTTGTCCTGATCCATTTATATAAAAAACCTGTCTGAAAATGAGCTGATCAGATTTTGGCCACTTTGTGATGTCATAATGTTTTTTTGGGTTGTGTAACCATTAGCCAAAATCTCCTCCTAGAGCACCATTGTGTTCTTTTTAACCAAATCTCTCTGACGGGCGTGGGGAGTGGCTCCTTATTTTCACCTAAAGTAACAGACACAGAATCAGCACTTTTGAAACAGGACTGAAACAGAGATGGGATGCTACAATGCATGATCTGTTTGGTACATGTTTTGTATATAACTGAGACCTATAATATATTGATGAAAAAGAGTATAATAGGGGACCTTTAACACTTCCCTGTCAAGTTTATGGTCTCAGACTCTAGTTTAAGTTTTTGAATACAGCATGATGTTCTTTTTGTAAAATATGCAAAAAGTAAAATAGATCATTAATCAGGGTATGCTTTAGGGCAGGTCTACACTGTGATTGACAGGTCTACCACAGTATTCTTAGGACAAGGGCTGATGGAGCTGAAGCTGGAAACAGGAAATAAATAACACAATGGAAACAAATAACTTTGTAATGCTTTTATTAATTGACTAAAAGAAGAGAAGCATTCATTCAACATTAATTCAAATCAACATTCGGCAGGTTGACCCCTCAAGTGTACACCTTGTAAAGAGGTTTTACATGGAGGTTTGTAACGTCCCCTCCCTTTTCTCAAAAACACAACCATGGATCAACACTGTTCACTAAGATAAAATCTGTCCTCTCAGCTGGAGAGGACTCTTTCCCTGCAGATTAAAAAAAAAAAAAACAGCTGGAAAGGTTTCAAATCCGGGTTTTATATTAGTCTACATTTAATTAATCAAGAGCGGTTTCACAGGCATAGATTAAGCCAAGTTCTCAACTAAAACATTCTCTTATGTGGACAAACAGTTTTTTGGAGTGGAAACTTCCTTGGCTGGTCTTAATCCATGCCATTAATAATACAGATCAGATTAGGCCATTTAAGAAACAAAAAGGTATTTAAAATGTGCTCCGTGTGATTTGAAATCTGGTCCAGCTGTGTTTGGGTTACGTCTGGTTCCCTACTTACAGAAATAAGGTACTGCTATGTGCTCACTTTAACAAACAAACACAATCACACAGGAACATAACGCTCAGAATATTCAACATTAAGGATGGTAAAACCATTTTTCCCGCATAAAACACACGATAACATAGCTTCTGATTTACAAAGTCTGTGTGATCTTTATAATATACTTCATGTTCATAAATTGAACCCGGACATGTGTTGCATAAGTATACCACGGTAATGCATTGTTGATACCTAATACAAATATGCACTGTGTGAGTTAATATATATATCTATTTATATAGTTTATATTTCTTCCTCTATGGTTTTCTAAAGACGCAGCCGGGCGCTGTCAGCACTGCTCGTGCCCCTTTGTGGCCACTAGTAAGACTGCTGTTATTGCAAACTGTCCTGATTTTAAACAAATGCACAACATTCGTACCACGATAAAACTGGGGCCGTCTAGCTGGTCTCACAGAGACCAAGAGTGAGCCCGCCGTCACCGCTGCTGTCGCTGGGCTGGCTGACCAGAATCAAAAACAAAAAATAAAGATCTTAAAACTAAATGATAAGATTTCAGAAATCATCATAAGGCCAAGTATTGTCATTGTAAGTTCTTAATAGTTCATTTCTACTGCGTGACAGTGAGAGAAAGAAAGAAAAACAAACAAAATAATAGAGAAGCGTGTGGATTATATGCATTCCTCTTGCATAGTTGTGCGGCTGGCCTGCCTGCCGGGCTAATTGGGAGGTTTGGCTCTCCAGACTTGACAAGAAAGACTTTGTTTAGAGGCCAGAAACATCGGAGCCACAGTAGCTGAGATCTAAACGAAGATAGTTGGCTGACACTGAGCATGAATATCTATCAGTTCCTTGATGCAGCCGGGCGCTTACACAGACCCCCGGGGGTGTGCGCCGCGGCGACTGACAGGAGTTTGGCCGGGTTATGCTATCAGTGCCGTTTTGTTGTTTCTTCTCTAGAAATAAAATGTGGCAAGTAAAGCCTTTCTGCTCTGTGTGAACCTCCCCTCCGCTGAGATATTATACATACCTACATCTGTTATTCTATACCAGTGCAATGCACATCCAGTGTTTTTCCTCCCAAGTAACAGAAACATGCATCAGGATGTTTTCTCACATTCCTGCCTGAGTCCAGCCCTGTGTGAGCCTATTCAAAGTCTTGCATGTAATGGTAGTAGTCTATGGTGTTAGGTAAAAACACAAGAAATACCCGTCTGAAATCTCACATTGTGATGAGGACGCCCGGTCTCCTAATCCTGTCACTGTTTTAGGCCTTGAACCATCTAAACTAGCTCTTTTCCATCTATTTAAGTGTCAAAAACACTGCAAACGTCCCGAGAGTCGACATTATAAAACTCAAGTTGGCATTGAGTCTGAGCGGTGAGCCCGTTTAGACTGATGCAGATCTGACACAGTCTGTTGCTTTGGTACTAAAATAACACACTCTTGTTTGTTTCGATAGGATTTGTATTGGTGAGTAAGTGTCCGACCCAACTCCAGGACAGATGTACCCAGATCCCTGTTTCCCCTACAGCTCTGCCATCACATCAGGCTATATTTCTCTATGAATGCATATTAAAGGGCATGGAAAAAACCAACATGTCAAAAGGGGTCAGCTTGAACGGGCATTGATGTACAGTAACTGCTGGTAATGGTCTCCTGTATAACCGGCATCTCATTTCTAGCCGTAAAACCATCTTTTTTGTGGCAGAACTCGTTAAAGGTAAGGCTCCATCAGTCTTCCTGTGTACACACAGTATAGTTTGGCCATACACAAACCTCTGTCTGCACATGATGTATAAATAATTCCCAGACACCAGGTGTTTTCACACTTCCCCTTTCCGTATTGCGATGTACTTTACTCTAGATGGTTGATTTAATGTGTTAAAGAGAAGAAGAGTCCATTAACTGTATTTAGCACAGTCGTATGGTATGTTTCTAACACTTGTAACTTTTTGTGTGCCAGACACAAAAAAGACCCAGAAATGGTTTCAGCAGAAAGCGCGTTAGAACCACGGTAAACCTTTAGAGAGTCCTCCACTCTGCTCAGACCAGCTGGTAATCTGGTGTGTAGTCAACACCATCTGCGTCTTGTAACCCTTAAAAAAAACAGAGCTCTAAATTAAAATAAAAAAATAATATTTATATAGATTCTTAGTTTTCACGCAGACGTACACTGTTTGCAAGTCTGACGGCCTGAGCGACCCCTGCATGGAATGTCCCATTCCCTGGCTGATTTCTAGCAGCAAATCACGTTACAGCTCCGCAAGCCTGGCGCCAAAAACCTTTCCATCAAGTATGACCTTGGACACAGGCAACACATCAGATCAGAACGCTGGCCTGTGTCCCAGCTGGTGAAGCTACAATGAAATCTGTCAGAAAGTAGCTCCAGGAAGCATGGAAGGGAGTGTTTAGTCCCTGAAGTGTTCAGAGATGACCCCGTCCTCCTACATTCGCTCACAGTGAAAACAAAGAGAGGAGTATAAGCCTTACATACGGCACTGGACTTCAAGGCCTCTCTTTGCTATATGCAGTGTAGACCCAAAATCCCAAGATAGGAATTGGCCACTAGAAGTTGAACTAGCACAACGTTGGCCAGGTCCGCTTTGGTCTCTTTTCACACTGTTGTGACCTGGTCCAGCACAGTATAGTCTATCCACAGATTGGTATAAGTTAGTAGACTAGGAGCCACTGAGAGTGAGGAGAAAGAAGGAGAATACTGGACCAGCCTCCTGTGTGTGTTTGGGCACTTCAGATAGACTTGTGTCTGTTTGTTCCACTCTGGTCTTTGGCAGCTTTAAAAACACATCAAGGTATTGAGAACAGATCCAGAGACTCCTACGGTCCATACAAGTGAGATCAAAGGCCTGAGCTATCGTGACCTTCCCACCTCTTCCTCCCACTCTTATTGAAAGCCGATTGTACCCTGAGAACGAACGATGCCGTTTCCTGCCGTGATAAGACTACACTCCTGAACGTGAGCAAGCCCTCCCCTTGTACATACACTCGGTATCCATGCTGAAACGTATTTCTACTTGAAAGTTAGATGAAAAGCGCAAGAAATACAGGCACACTCCAAACACTAGCTATTGTAGCTTCTAATGCTGCGTTTCCTTAAGCTAACAATCACAGCAACGACTACAAACGACACAAAGCTGATAACTTGGAGAGCAGAGGTTTGAAAAGCACTCGCACTCTGGAAGCTTTCAGGCACACACTGCTTAATGTTAATATGTGAGGGATGACAAAAATGGACCAGGGATTTTTTTGCATATGGTAGCTTAAAATGCTATCCCATACTGTGACCAATTTTGCCAGTATTAAGTTGTTCAGCATAATTTTGGTTTTGGTGAAGAAAAACAGTAGGAAAGGTTGTTTTGCGATCCCTTCTGCTCCCACACACATCATACATAGTGTTTATCTCAGCAACTCTGTGATTTGGGAATATTTCTACATTGCAATTGTCAAAACGTTAACTTTTGATAGAGAATATGTACTGGCGCCTGCTTATAGAAATACTTTTTCTCTCGAAAGTGTTAAGAAGTTAAATGTATTTCAATTGGGAATATTATTCCTATAAAGATGTTTCTTTTTCCGTTGAATCTGAGAGAAACCACAGACCATTTGTTTTAACATGTGGGGACTTAAGACTTAAGGATCCATAAGAGGAAGCGCACACAGAAGGTGAGGCTGGTGTTTGTAAAATCCTCTTTTTTCGTACATTTCTATTTCACCAGCTCAATTCTAGTTTGAAATGACATTCTACTGTTGCAGTGTTTCCCTTCTTATCAGGTGATGCCTATACACAATACAAACAGCTTGAATCTCTCACATGAAGGAGCGATGTAGAGTTCTAAAAAACTACACGAGAGGAAACATCCAAGGAAGGGAGGAAGAGAAAAAATATTTGAAAACATGTTCAGTCTGAAAGTGTTATGTTGGCATTGCTCTCCCCTCTGAGTGCTCTATATACAGCCTTTAAAAGAAACTCTTGGTACCAGAGTGCATTTGTCCTGAGATATGGACCAAGGAGAGATTATCACCGTAGAACCATTGATAACAGATGACCTAACATTTGGTAAACACAGCCCAACCACCACTGCAATCCAATTCATTCCGAACCAAGCAAAGTGCTGGCACACTGTATAACTCAGGATCCATATCAGTCTATGAAAAGAAACGCACTTCAACCTTGTAAACTACAGACCTGGATATGGACCTTCACAGTCTCTGATGCCATTGCCCCGACTTCTAAAGTGCTGTGGTGTGCAAAACAAGCTAGCTGACGCCATTCTGGGAGGCTAACTTTTCAAGCGATGGCTAGTTGACGGCACTTACTTGTGAAAGTTAGGCGCTCTACTGCCCGACCCAACTCTTTACATGCTGAGATCCGAACTCAAGTTCAAGAAATACCCTATTAAGATTTAAGTACAACAGCAATTATATCCAGATGGAACAGAGTTATCCACTGGTTGTACAATAAGGAAGATATGTGGTTGGTAGAGCCCGGCTTAAGGGCTGACCATGGCATGGTTGAACTTCAAGAGCCTGAATAACATTTATTTTGTTTGTTAGAACAGAGGCATCTCACTCTTCCCAAAAGATAGAATCCGACGATTCAAGCGACTCATGCCCAATATCCCTTGTGCCAGGCCAAAGGTATTTCACCCCGGAAAACGGACTACATTCAGTTTCAGACATTATTCGGGCCCAGCAGGTCACTCCCTTTCCCCCACAACATCTCCTGGAGTTATCATAAAACATGTGCAATGAGCAGACTGCCATTCTTTAGTCAACCTTAATCTTTGAAAACAAATGTATGATAAGGTTCGCTGATCCCTGCCAACCGAGGTGGGGCGAGGGATTAAAAGATGGCAAGATAAACAACATCATCAATAACAACAACATCTGTATCCAGAAAACAAGGGGGCTGTTTCCAAGGCAACTGTGAATCGAAAAGGAGATTCAAATAAAAATAACGACAGTATCTAACGCTTAATGATTGTTTCACACACACCCTACTCATCACTGCAGCGGTCCTGGTCATAGTGATGTTAAAAGCCTACCTGAGACTGACAAAATATGTTTCACCACAGAAATACGGCATAAACCAAAACCTTGTTGTGCTGTAGGTGCCGCGGAAAAAATATTCCGCCACTGCCATTGGAACCCACGGTATCCAAATGCTGGCTGCCATTGGAACCTAGGATATTGAAATGCTGGAAACCATTGGAACCTAAAATATCCACATTTTGGCTGCCTTTGGAACCTAGGATATTGAAATGCTGGAAACCATTGGAACCTAAAATATCCAAATAATGGCTGCCTTTGGAACCTAGGATATTGAAATGCTGGAAACCATTGGAACCTAAAATATCCAAATAATGGCTGCCTTTGGAACCTGGGATATCCCAACGCTGGCTGCCATGACTCATACAATATCCAAATGCTGGCTGCCATTGGAACCTAAGATATCGAAATGCTGGCTGCCATTGGAACCTAAGATATCGAAATGCTGGCTGCCATTGGATCGTACGATTTCCAAATGCGTTATTCAGCAGCAATGACTATTGTGGCAAGATAAAGCACATTTCTGAAGAAAGTATAGCTTTACAGTAGGCCTTGAAATAAAAGGGCAGACTGGCTAACAGAGTTAAGTTACATTCAGTGCCTCCTTAACTTTTCCCTGTTCTTATTCATGAAATGTTTTACACCAGAAGAAGAAAAACCTACTGCTAGTTTCTGCCAAAAGACTCGTAGCATACTTGCAAAGCCTCCGTTTGGTACTCAGGGAAGTCGTGCCTTCAGAGTACTGGTTTTAGACTTTGGAAGGAGTCTAAGATTTTAAAATATATATTTATTCATGGCATAATGAAATGAAGACCTACTTTCTCTTCCGGATTATGCAGGTTGTCTAATCTCAGAGTCCTTCATGTTGTGATGCACACTTCCTTTCTTCTATTTAAACTGGTATTTCACATTTGAATATTCTGTAACCAGTGATACCCGTCAGTAAGTCTTGACCTAAAGCGACCAAAGGTAGAAGAAGATGAAAGATTGCACTAGCTTACTACAGATCCAACAAAGTGGGGGACTTTGTTTTGATGTGGGTGGATTTTATAGTTGCACTCTGAATGTCTGTCGGAAGAAGAGGCTCTCCATTTGATTCACTAGCAAGGTTTCTCAAAAAGTCGGCAAGTGGGGAGTGTGTTGGCTAAAAGTATGTAACAATATTCTCTAATACACCATTGGTAAGGGGCTCTAAATCCTTGATAAAACCATTTACATATATCAGGGTCATAGTATCGCAGTGGATATTCCTACCTTGCTGCGAAGGCTCAATCTAGCTCGACAAGTGAACTAGGTGCTCTTTGTGAGCAACAGAAGAAGCAGCTACGGATGCGTTATCAAGGAAGTGATTGAGTGGTTAGCTTACAAACTCTAACCTTTGCTCTGCATTGGTATGTCAGTCTGCTCCACTCTAGTAAAGGGTTTTAAATGAAAGACGGAAAAAAAGAAAACACGTTCACACCCAAAACACTCCCCCAATAAATCCCACCGGCCCATCACTCAACCTGCCTGTCCTGTCCTAGCTGTGAGCAGGATAATAATAATAATATATCTGTATTTAAATACACACAAAGCCTATACAGGCAAGGGAACCACCACACAGGAAAAACAAGATTATACACAGAGCGGGGAGCGATGAGAAACAGTCAACAAAAAAAATAAAGAAAATAAAAACATCATACAGAGAGGCTCTGGAGGTTTTTAAGGTGAAATAGAAACATTGAGCTATGAATACTTGTCTATCAAGACCAGACCAGATTGAGCATTTGGAGCTGCAGTAACCCATTTTTGCAGACAAAAAGGGTTTATGATTCAAGTCTTGTATATGGTCCAGGGCCAGAGATTGGTTTGCCTTTAAACTAAATAAATATCACGTTTTATTAGAATAACCACTTTTAAAGGGATATTGTTGAATATTTAAAACATCAAAGATTGATGATCTGTTTTCCCCAAGTCACTGGCTGACTAAATAATCAAAGAGACAAAGCACCTTAAAAGGGAATAGTTTTGAAAATGGTAGGACTTGATGGTGTGCTAAAAACCCTGTGAAAAGAAACACAAAGAATAAAACTATAATAAAAACAATCCTTTAAATGTAATTCACGGATTGTTTTAAGATCCAGTTTACATTTCTCCCTGCTTTGGGGACCGATTCAGAGGTGTGTTTGGTCTGGCCTGGTCTTGACACGGTATAGGCTGTGATGTGTTGGCCCTGCCTACATGCCCATGCTGAAGGCGAGCAGCTCGCGGTGGAAGTGCTGGGTGGGTTCGGACAAAACCAGGCTGGAGGGGTGCCACCCGCGGCCGAGGCCCAGAGAGACCTCCTTCACCAGGTTGTGGACCGGATCGCCCTCCATGCACACGGACTGGTCCGGGTCGAAGTCGATGCTCTCCTCGGAGACGGTCAGGACGCGAAGGCTGGAGCCCCGCAGCCGAGAGATGGCCACCAGGTTATGGGACCAAATAGTGTAACCTACGGAGAGAGATATTTGTCAGGGAGGTTGGACTAAGTTTGCCAATATTATGGATAAATAATTGTTTTAAAGATTTATAGATGTCATCACTGCACAACTCTATACTCAACCTAGCAAGGGGTACAAACTATAACATAATAGTGATGACTGATATAATCGTTCCACATTCACAGTGATTAGGATTTGGTAATCTTTTGTTAATTTTATCTTCTTTATTTCACATTGCTGCAAAAATGAATCAATGAAAAAATTCGAGACAAACACAATGGCTGTAAAACGGCATATGAAGACAAATTAGAGTATAAATATAAATCACAATGTCTAGACCAACTGTTTTGTAGAATTTGAACACTTTTAACAATAAGCAAATCTTTTTCATGTTCAAGACTGTTATCCCAAACACGATATGCAATCCATAAAACTCTCAAAAGTCTCATTAATTAGTGAACAATGGATAACATTATGTGTTGTGGTAAAGATGTCTTGCATAGAACAAAACCACAAATTATAAACTCTGCGTTGGTCCTCAGCATGTTTATTTTTCTCATTTTTCTTTTGCTGTCAGCAACTTCACTCTTTGGTTCACTCTCACTCTATTAAGTTTCCAAACATAGCAGGAAGCGGTTTTCAGTGAAAATGAAACTGTAGAAAAAAAAACCCAAGAAAGCCAAAGTTAGAGACTAACAGGAACATAGCATTTAGCAGCTAATGAGCTTATCGTTTTTCCTAAAGGAGCTCGGGGTGAGCAAATTGAGCAAATAGAAGGGGGAATAGTGGAAATAAATCAATCTCAAAACTTCAGATGAATGCTTATGCATTTCTTTATCTACTGGATAAACTATTTCTTTAGCTTTGTAAGCCTTTCATAAGCACCAACCAAAAAGATTCTTGCTCTCAAGCTTCAGTCTGACAGCAACATCCAGCTCATACCAGCCGATACACTCAAAGAGATTTCATTTTCCCTCTTTGTAATGATACTTTCCATCCAAAAAACACGGCTGAAAGCAGCTTCTGGTGGTATGTTTACATATTTTCAACTGGAAGGGCTCATGGCGGGCGCACAAAAAAGGTGAAGCAGCTCTTTTTCTGGAAGTTGCTTCACGCAAAAAGGACAAAGGCTCTCGAAATTGAAACACTATGTGGATACAGGGACCTCATGTAAAACAAGCCAAACTCACCATGTATCACCAGTACAGCCAGCTGAGTACATCTCCATGCCAACAGGACCAAGGGGTCTTCGTTCCGATTGATGCTGAGGTCGGGGAAGTCGGGGTCGTCCCTCAGGAGCAGGAAGTGAGTCAGTGTTTTTTTGTACTGCTGAGTGATGAGCTCCAAGGTGCCGTCGGTCACCAGTGTGCTGTAACTGTCCAGGTGGAGGCGCTCGAGAGGGAGGCTGGGCTTCAGGACTCGGAGGAGCTCGGAGCTGTCGACCTCCAGGGCCATGAGGTACACTCGCAAGTTGGTGCTCGAACGAATCTGGGGAGGAGTAGGCAAACTTGAGTGGTGGTGTGCACATTTTTTTTTCTGTGTGGAGAAAACAGCTAGATGAGTCTGGTAAATTCAGAAAATGACATCCTATTACAGTCATGCAGCCTTTAAAACCAGGAAAAAACACTTATTACGGTATGAGAAATCTGAGTTGATATATATTGTCATATCCCGATATCGGGAAACAAAGAAACATCTTGCATTACCAGGGATTTCCAATCTTCCTCGGTAGCGGTCCCTTCCAGCGGTTTGAACTCCAGGGCGGCGCCGTTGAGCAGCAGGGACAGGCGGTGCAGTGGAATTCGGCGCGGAGATGCTAGCAGAGCGCAGAGTTCGGACGTCAAATCGGAGAAATCCAGAGCCAGAGAACGAAGATTAGACAGACGACTCAACTCTGAGGGTGAGATGAGGGGACCTGAGGGAGATTCAGGAGAGGGCAAAGGTTGAATAAACATAACACATTACTAATGAATATCTATGGCAGTATTTGACGGACTTGGACGTAAAAAATCAGTCCGAAAATGTTAAGTTATAATGTCCGGTGAAAATAATTCCACTAAGCACAATTTGAAGTATATTAAAATAGACAAGTCGGCACACAGACCTATATGTATGTTGGTCTGTTTACAAATAGTTTTTATTCCATTTTATTTTATATAAGAATATGAAGGCCTGAGTGAAACTCTTTGTTTTAAGTGTTACAACTTATTCATGTTTTTGAAAAGCCTACTGATGTTTTATTGGAAATACAAAATCGACATGCCTCGCTGGTGTAATTCTTTATATAGCCTTCCTATCAATTGTTTTCAAGCTTAATAACAAACACAGATAATATTTAACTGGAATATCTTGTTGGCAGCAATAGAATATTCCCGAACATGTAGAATGGCACTAAAACACTGTTCTATGAGAACAACTGCTAATAATTTAAATGAATACAATCGATTTGTTTTTATTTTATAACTGCATTTAAACTGTTACAGTCAAAGCCATCCAGAATGACACCAACACATACCCAGCTGGTGGTCCAGTAGGCTGAGGTGTCGCAGGGTCTCAGCTGAGGGGTTTGACAGACAGGCGAAGGAACAGGGAGTCACCAGACCCAGCATGAAGCTACAGGACAACCACCTCAGCTGCCTGCTGTTAGACAGCAGCTCCATGAACAACTGCTGGATTCTGCAGAGAGCACAGGGGAGGAGAATTAGCTCATACTCACTTTAGCAGCTGGATTACAGCTTCTTGACACCATAAAAGCAGTATATGCCCAAATAAAAGAACATGTGATTCTCCAGGTAAACCTTGTGGATGAAGAATTTAAAAAAGGGTCACTATATATTTGTGCCAAGTGAAAGATGTGCGGGTAGTCCTACAAAGCAGAACATAGAACGTATGAATCAACATGATATTTTCATGCGATGCCACCCACCTCACTACCACAGAGCTGCAAAACAAACCCTCACTGGCTGCTAGGAATAGGAAATACTGATGCGATAAGAGGAAAGGCAATTGAAATGCTGTGTGTTCTGCTCTAGATCAATGGGCTGTGAATGTTGAAAGGCCATTATAAGGAAACCCTATGTTATCTTTCTCATATTTGAGAGCACTAGCATGAACAATACTTCCGATTCGACCACATATTCTAACATTGTTCTAGGAGAAGTTGGCTTAGTGGATTATTTTAAAAATGTTACATCAGGATTTGCAATTCAATTTCAGTGTGTTTAGTTTAGTGTGTTGTGGTGTGGTGATGCCGGGAACCTGCTGACTGGATGATGACAAACTGTCCTATATATTTTGAAGATGTATTGTCAAAGGGAGGATATGATTTTTTTAGTTTGATTGCATGTGGCTATGCTCAGGCTTACTCATTGATCTTTTTATCCCCCTGGTGAATTTGGTGCAGGTTGGAGCTGTCCAATAGTCCCTCTTGCTGGAGAACGCAGGTGTCTCCATAAAGACTCAGCTTCCGCAGGTTTCTGGAGAAAGATAAAGAGCCAATGTCAGAAATGTAGGAAAAAAGGTTTTAATAATAGATGCACATATGCTTATATTAGGGATGCTCCGATCGCCGGAATCAGTATCGGCCGATCGGCCCCAAAGTTGGCGATCGGAGCATCCCTAAATAATACATTACAAACAGATGGGTTGATTTACCTCAGTATTCTGCCTTCTACATCAACAGGTAAGCAAGTGATATTCTTACCAAATAACAGCGTGCAATGATAGTCATTACTGAGACCCCTGAACTAAAGAAAAACAATGATGCATTTTGTAACTTGAGAAAATCACAAAAAGGATGGTCATTGTCATATGTTTGCCGAGTCAACATTTGTGAATGTTATCTTATGTAATTTGTGAATATGATTATATTAAAAGGAGTGCCAAAGGGATCCTGGGATATTGTAAACAGAAGCAACAGTAGTTACACTAGGATTCATGTTTAACCATTTCCTGTCCTTCACCAGCCTTCGCCTGGAACTGTAGTGATTTCCTGAAATGTATTCTAGCTTGGTTCTGTATATAAATGGATATTTGCTTATCATGCGAGAGCTTGCACTTTGCTGCACCTTCTGTCTAGAGACCTTTACATCCTGGTGCCCAAAATAGATGTGACATTATCTTTTGCAATATTGTCTGCTGCTTTATTATCTAATGCATCTGATTACATAATGTCTGTTATGGTTTTAAAAATGATGTTTAGAAGATAAAAGTTGTACATTGAGGGAAATAAGTGTGTGCAACAATGATGTAGGCTTGTACCTGTATGGTACAATGTTCATTATGTTAGATGTAGCCCACTTCCTGTAAATGAACAGAGGGCTAAGCTTCACAAAGAGCCTCTGCAGAAACCAACAGCAGTCTTATGTGCAGCTACTTAGTGTGCAAAACCACTAGTGATGTGTCGGTCGCGAACGAGCCGACTCTTTTGAACGGCTCTTTGGTACGAACGAGGGGAACCGAGTCCTACTTGGTGAGAGCCGTTCTTGTTATCGTTCAATCGTTGGTCCGCACTCACTGCCTGCCAAAATCCACTCGCCTTTTAAAAAGCTTGATTTTGTTCCCCAAACGTATTCTGTGAAGATCCGCCCCTACTCTGTTTGGTAGGTTTCAGCACGAGGAGTGAGATGGGGTGGGTCTTAACGGAATACGCGAGAGAGAGAAGTCATAACAAGTGGTACAGGACAGGTAGACAACGTGTTTTTCGGATGGAAAATGAGCCAAACGCGAAAACGCAGCAGCATTTGGATTCACTTCAACCAAAACCCAGTCAGTGATAAAGCGCACCATTTGTAAAGGCAAAATATCCTTTAAAGCAGGATCAACAAATAATCTCCATCGCCACTTAAAAACACACTACTAATATTAAGAGTTGCGTGAATTTCATTCAAGGCAAGGCAACTTTATTTACTTAACACATACAGAGGGTAAATTCAAAGTACATTCACTGACATGATGACATGGATATGGCGCCACCTTGTGTCATGTTTACAATGCCGATTATTGACATTAGGTCTGGCAATACAGTCAATCATTATCCTGGTGATTATTTTGCAGATAAACCTAGTAACCTTAAAAAAACGGCTCTTTTGAACGGCTCTTTTGAACGGCTCTTTGAAAGGAACGGAGCCATAAGATCCGGCTCCCTTCAAAGAGCCATAATTCCCATCACTAAAAACCACTAGTAAAGGAACAATGGGTTATCTATTCTCATTTTTTTTTTTTTTTACATGTTACAGTACCAAAAGAGTTGGACTGATGTTAGCTGAATGAAAAACTTCAGTATCCTCATATGATAACATGGATTCCTTAAGATACGGTGGGAAATGTATTTTAAAATGTATTTTGTTATATTTCTTAAATTACATTTCTATCAATATATCAAAATCCTTGACAAAGTATATGTCGCTGGTGATGGACTGTAATAAGTCGACTTGCCTTACAACCTGCGTGCAATTTGCCGTAGCCGTAATTGCCTTTCTGAAAGTACTAACAATAGCCAAGTTTGCTGTTTTGTTTTATTATTATTACACGTCCTTTTTGTGGAATTAGCTTGGAAGGATACCTGAAGTGACAGACAGTCAGTGTAGCCAACTTTTCCCAAAATGTCGGACTTTTGGAGCTAGCAATTTAAGCTACTTGCATTGGAAAAGAGTTGCAACATTTGGCTTGGTTTTTGGTTACGTTGGGACTTAATACAAAATGTTGAATAACATAATCTAGTCTGGCACATTTTCTCATAACATACTGCTAAAAATGCTCACTCGCCAAGTCAACATTTTGTATTGCTGGTGCGCTAATAGAAGTCTGGAACTAGGAAACTACACAGGACCTGCCGCAATATCTATTTTCTAGAGTTCTAGCAGTGTACTACAACATGCTACTTTAATGTACTAAATACTACGTTTCATGCCATGGCTTTCCTTTCTATACAAGAAATAAGCCAACTTTATTCTTTAGTACACAAAGTAAATGATACAAATCCTGTATCAACCAATGCAAAATTAGATGTACATATTCTAAAGAGGAAGTTTACTTTGTGAAACAAAATGATCCACTGATACAGTGCAGTATGACAACTGACATCCAGGTGTATTGAATGTTGATACTTTCCAGGATGAATGTGGGAAACAGGTCTTTTTTGTCAGTGTTTTTTTAATGGAAATTGTTGTTAGCTGTTCAATGAGGAGAAGTGTGACAACTGAAACGGTTTCAAGCCCCCTCAGCAGAACTAAGACATGGACTGCACAACATTGGATGAATGCTGTTTTGACACTACAAAGCAGAGAATAATAAAGAATGTGGGAGAAGGTATTATATAGAGGAGTTCTGCACTGAAACAGGAAACTTTTCCATTTAAATAAACATTTGACAGGAAACAACTTCCACAGCAGAAAGTGGCTAGAATGTAAGTACGCAGCACATAGGTGATTATATCCAACAGTATGTAACGACATTCCAGAGCTAAATATATACATATACACTGTATATGTGTGCTGATATCAGCACGTTACAGCCAACAAAGCCTTCTCTAGCCACCAGCAGTGCTGCATTGTATCTGCTGGTATGAAGACCCCAATGCAACGCAGAAAATAGAACTGGCAACAATAGAAACGCAGGCAAGCGTTTAAACGTCGTCACATATGCATACACCACAAATATGTCATTATGTAAAAGTAAAACTGTAAAGGAAAGACAAAGAAATGCCTCCTGTTGTATTGATAATGCCCTCAGAGACATTTAGCGTCGGATGCTAACTGCACTGCAAAGACATGACCCTATTACGTAACGGCTAATGTCAGGGTTTGTTTATAGCTAACTATGCTAGCTTGCTGCGACGCACCAAATACTACGGATTTAAAAAAAAGCAGAGGGTGTCATGGAAATTACAGACATTGAATACAAATAAACACTCAGAAAGTGATTTTAGAGCAAGTTTTTCTGTAACATTACCTGTTGTTACGGGTGCTGGAGAACACACATAACACCTGATCCAAGTAGGTGGCCATGGCGTCCCTCCATCGCTCGGAGAGCTGCGGGTCGCCGTCTGGCTGGTCCATCCTGGGGGGGGACGGGTCGTTGCTCAGGGGACTAAGGTAACCCTCCACCGGGGCAAGCTCCAGTTGCAGCTCCCGCACGAATGAACCGAACTTACGCATGAGGAACTCCAGCTTCGGGGTCTCCTCTGAGGTGGATCCGCCACCGTTACATCCACCACCTACCCGCAGCTTGAGCTCAGTCCACAGCGCGGGGTAGAAGAGACACTCCCTCCAGCGTGAGCACACGGACGAGGCCCGGAGCTTGTCTCGGTCGGACAGAAAGGAGAATATATGAACGATAAGCTCGCTGGGCAAAGCCATGGCTCCGATACCCTCACACAGAGCCATGGCAAGCAATAAAAGCTGCTTTGCGAGAACCAACCAGCTATAAAATAAATGGTACAACCGTTTTTAAAAATTGGTGCTTCTGCAGATAACAGCAACGCTTCTTCCTCTGGGTGAAAACAAGTCGTTTTTTCAGCGTTGCCTTCAATACTATTGGACCGTACCACCACTTTTCAATGAAGGGGAACAAAACAATCCTCACGCAGGTTACACAAATCCCCTTTGCCGCAAAAGTACCACTGTTTGTGAATTTTAACCTAAAGATATTATTTATTTAACAATATGACGGCTCTTGTGATTTAAAAATATTTTTTTTTGGTAACTAGTGACTGCATCGCAACGTTGTCAGTGAATGGTTTAGTCCTGAAGTGCTGTTATTTTTGCCATACTGCCATACCCCCGCGGGAGGGCGCTGTTTTGCTGCAGTAGAAAAACTCACACACGTGATATTTATTTTGGAATTGGTTGTATCAACACAGACACAACTCTTCTCCTTAATAATCAATGGATTACAACCTTTATATATACAGTCTATGATTACAACCCATCCAGGCTATGCACTCCACTTTAAACACGTATTACACAAGGTGGAAATAACCACAGCACAACAAAGTTAAAGTGATAACAGTTTGGCAGTCCTAACAAACTCCTATGCCTGATTGATTGATTGATTGAAAAGTTTATTAACAGCTTGTATATTGGGTACAGTACAGTACAGCTCAAAACATACAATTGTTAAGGGGATGCAGACCAGAGAAAGACTTTCGTCTTGTTTACATCAGGGTCCCCCATTTCCAATTCATCATATCATTTAAGACATATAAGACATAATTGACATACAGATGGCTTATTTACAATTTACATACAGGTGTTTTTTTATATACAGATGGCTTATTTACAATTTTCAATTTTCATTTTAGATTTCATTCTAATACATCCTAACCGGACATTTAAGACATACCAAGTCTACAGATATACAGTTAGTAACAGAGTCTAAAATGCGAGTATATACATAGATGGGGGGGGGGAAGCTGTCCATTGTACGACAGGTTGAGATTTGTACCATTACCGGGGCCAGTTTTGCAATGCTCTCCCCCGAAGGTGCTCTTTAAGAGAGGTTTTGAAGGTAAGTATAGTTTTACTTTCCTTTACAGTTGTGGGAAGAGCGTTCCACCTTGATGTGGCATAATTGCGAAACGTGTATTCCCCCTTTTTTGTGCCAAATCTGGGTTTTACATGATTTGTGGAGCTCCCTCTGGTGTTATGATCATGGTATTCCTTGACCTTTGGGAAGAATTTTGACATGTACATGGGTACCATAGAGGTGTAGTGGATCTTGTAGACCAGGCCCATTGCAAGTAGCTGTACTCTGTCGTCTACTCTAAGCCATCCTAGGTTGTCAAAGTGGGCAGAGGTGAGGTGGGTTCTAGATGAAAGGTCAAGCAGTAGTCTGACCAGTTTATTTTGCGATGTTTGAAGTTTTATTTTTAGCGCCTTGGAGGTGCTATGGTACCATGACGTGCAAGCATAGTCATAGTACCCTTGAATGAGTGCTCCTGCCAGAGTTTTCAGGGTGTTTTTGTTAACCAGAGAGGAGATCCGGTATAGGAATCCAGTTCTTTGATTGACTTTTTTTATTATATTGGATGCCATTTTGTCACAGGAGAGGTTTGCCTCAAGAATAGATCCTAGGTATGTAATTTCCTTCTTACTAGTGACAATAATGTCACCCACTGCAACTGAGAAGTCGTCGGATTTGCTGAGATTATGTTTCGAACCGAAGAGAATGGACTCTGTTTTACCCAGGTGTAATGATAATTTATTATCGGCGAGCCAGGTGCAGATTCTGCCGAGCTCGGAGCTGAGGGTTTTTTCAACCTGCAATCTGCTCCTGCCAGAGACCAGAGGGCTGAGTCGTCCGCGAACAGGAACAAGTTGCAGTCACATGCTGATGACATGTCATTTGCATAAATTAGGAACAGTAACGGACCTAATATGCTTCCTTGTGGAACACCACAGCTCACTGGGAGGGGGGGGGGACAGAGTACCGTACCTCACAAAATGTTCAGGCAGTAGGCTGTTGCACTGGAAAGCATTAACATTCCTGGTATTTTATCTGACAGCTGTGCACCACACTGCAATCATACTGTATCTATAAACCTTCACCTCAGCCTTTTATTAAAGAAACTAATGTATTATTTCAAAAACCAACACACATCTTAAGCCATATAACTAACAACAATACTGTAACGTTCCACAATAGGAGTCGGAAACAGGCCTCAAGTTATTAGGTTTAATAACTCCTTTGATAGCATACAGATATAGGTTCATAGGTCACAGGTTACAGGTCGCAGGTTCAACATCTCCACTCCCTAACTCACACACACACAGCAGGGTCAACGTCACACACTCTCCAGCCCTCCCCCTCTGCTCCCCCAACCACAGGCCCGCACACCGACCAGCATTACTGTGCAGCTCTGTGATTGGCAGAGAGACGGGGGATGCTTGAGTGACCCACACAGCACCCTATACCGGGTCGCTACAATACATTTAAACTGACAAAATATTATTAATTCACAATGTAATGACATTGTGGATATGCATACGCAGCAATGAAGCTGCTAAAATAACTGATTGATCAAATAATTTATAAATCATCTGATCATTGATGCACATGTAAATTCATATTAAAGACGTTTGTAGATTCACACTTCCAACATGAAAAGTAAGGATTTCACAGTTTCATCAACAACAACAACAAAATAGAAGGGTCATATTACATTACATTTCATTTAGCTGACGCTTTTATCCAAAGCGATTTACAATTACCAATTACAGGGACATTCTCCCTGGAGTAACTGAGGGCTAAGTGCCTTACTCAAGGGCACACTAGTGGTGGTGTTCCAGGCAGAATTTGAACTCACAACCTTCCGATCTTCAGCCCACCTCACTATCCATTAGACCACCACTACCCACTCATATAAGATAAATACACATAAATAGATGCTAGATGTTGAACATGTATTAATCTGAATTTGATAAAACTGCAGGGCAGGGGAACAAACTGAAAAAGAATAACAATAAATAAACTTTAATTATTTTAAGTCAAATGCTTCATTAAGGTATAAGTGAAGTTCTGAATTTGAACCATATTGTTCAACAGTTTTTTTGAGTGTACATCCAGTTGCCTTGTTAGTTATTATTTGACACAGATGTGACCCCAATACATGAGGGAGAGAGAACGTTTTAAGTAACATTGTCGAATAAAATATGTATTTGTCTTTGTTAAAAATCATCATTGCTTAGGACATACTGTCCTACTTAGCATGCTTACTTATATACAATACTGGCTTTTTAAATAAAGAAGATCCAGTTTTTCTTGAGTGCCCTCATGTGACAACAGTCTTTACATTAATTGAGATGGGACTCGCTGAGATCAAAATGTAGTTCAATGCATACAAACGAGCAACCCTGACATCATCAACTGAGTCCAACACATTTTATGGTGTCATCTAAACTGAAAAATGCTGCCATCTACTGCTTAGAGAGAAAACCCAAATAAAATGTACATCAGACTGGTGAACATACTAGTTTATATTTAAAATATGCATTTATAGTGCCTTGTCTTCAATTGATCTGTATGTGTGTTGTATTGTATTTCATAGTATCATACCTGAATAATTAATATTCGTTGCTTTTGGTTAATGTTTTCCATTATGTATTGTATATGTATTTCCATCATATTTCCAATGGCTATTTATTTTACATTATGACAATTTTCATACTCTTCACTTGATTGATCACCTAAGTAAAGAGTTTTCTAGTCATTTTCAGGCAATCGAAATGTTACAATTAACGTTCATGAACTAAAAACAAACTTAAAGAGTCAAAGTTGTGAGATGAACACAATGAAATCACCCAACACTGTGGCAGCAACCTTAAGCACAAGGTAGCCTTGCCCTAAAGCAGGGGCGGTTCTAGGGGGCAACAGGGGCCAGTTCCCCCCTAACAGTGACCAGGGACCCCCCTGTGGCCCCCCTCCAAAAAATGTTTACAATATTACGATTTATTGGAACTAAATCAAATCAGAGACCCGGATGTACAGTGGGGATAAAACTGTTCATTACCCTATAAAAGCCAATACTGTTTATGTTTTTTAATGAAATTGTCACTTAAAGTTACTAAAACAAATACTCTAAATGAAAAAAACTACTGAAACAAAGGACTGTAACTTAAATGTAATAAAACAAATAACTTTATAAAAAAACAAATACCAATTACTGTATTTTATGTTTATTTTACACAATTACTTTATACTGTCTTTGTCTTTTTAACCCGCTTTTATTGTGCCCCTCTCCTTAAATAACTGGCCCCAGCCTGGCCCCCCCAGTAAAATTGGTCTAGAACCGCCACTGCCCTAAAGTATACGCTACTTTATCGACTATTTTACCGCAATTTGGACCATCATTTCCAAAATGAACACCTTGCTGTATTAAATAGGGTTTGAAATTAGCTATTGAGACAACACATTCATTAGAAACATATGTACTAAGGTAATACATTAAATTAGAAATAGGTTAATTTTCTCATAGACTTTTATACAATTTGACTTTTTTTTGCGACTGTTGGATTTGCCCCCTGCTGGCAATAAGAAAGAATGCAGGTTAAAGCACTTATACATTTGCCTAGCTTCAAAGGGGACCTATCATGCAAAATGCACTTTTGTACGTCTTTTATACATGAATATGTGTCCCAGGTGTGTCAGGGAACTCACCAAGTGTCAGAAAACACAACCCTCTCTCTTTTCCTCCATACCCAAATCTCTAAAAACGGGGCTGCAACGGATCTGATACAGACTGATACAGATTTGAAATTGTTCTGACGTCAGAAACAGGGAGCTCCACCTATATGGGCAACTCTCCACCTATCAGGGGAATGGGGGGTTGGGCCACGGCCATTGCCGCTCGAAAGCGCTGGAGACGCTGTAGTACATATGCCAGGCCTGTAAGTGGCGCTGTAGTCTGCCACAAAAGCAGCGAAGAAGACTTCTCACAGAATCAGCCCTTGCAAAAACAGGGCTGGAAAAGAGCAAATAGAGCAAAATGAGGCATGGC